AATCATTGATCTCAAGCGTTTCCTGAACGCTTGGGATTCCGTGATCGCCGGCATGAAAAGGCCGCCGGAAGAGAAGGTGTTGAAAGACATCTTGCTTCGCCAAGTGAGAAGCTGCCATCTGTTGCGGTATGACATTGACACATATGATCGTTGCCGTGATGATGATCCCAACAAATCGTACGATTTCCTAATGCGTTGCATGAGGGATCTAATCGAGAGGGATAGGCTCCGCGAGAACCGAGAGCGCGTGTCCAAGGTCAATGCTAGTAAAGCCCCAACGCCCAAGGCTGGTGCTGCCGCCCCTGAAAAGAGGGACCCCAAGAAAAAGAGCGCGCCTAAGCCGAAGGACACCGAGGAGAAGTACTGCTTTGACTTCCAGAAGGGCTCGTGCACGAGGGGGGCAAACTGCCCTTACGCGCACCGCAAGGAGCCGCGTGGACGCTCAGCGACCCGTGGCAGGCCAAGTTCCCCTAAAGGCGGAAAAGGAGAGAAAGCACCGTGTTCTTTCTTTGCCCAAGGGAAGTGCACTAGAGGTGACAAATGCAAGTTTAGCCATGCCTCCACGGGCGGCAAATCTGCCGCCGCGGCATCGAGCAGCGAGGCCAATGCAAATCCTGCGGCTAAGAAGCGTGCAAATTCACCTAAGCCTAAGCCCAAGGCCAAAGCCGCTGCAGTCTGCACCAGGTACGCCATGTTCGCAAAGCCGATCGATCCAATCGGAGTGTCATTCGACACCAATGCTCATGTTCATGAGATCCCCGCCGAAGGCGATGGTTTCAAGCTTGAGTATGAGGAACGTCAGTACAATAGGATGTTTCCAAGTGCCAAGGACTGCCCCAGGCCGACCAAAGGGACTAACAAGGCAGCGCGCAAGGCCGCGAATCAGTTGAATGCCGTAGTCAAAGCCATGGAGAATGGAGCCCAGCCCGCTTGCGGTTTCATGTGCGATGTGGAATCCGATTCCATCTCAAGCCTATCGTGTGATGAGTGCCTGAGAGTTGCCATGCCGCCTCACGATGTTCGCAAGGATGTCGAAGCGCCAAGGGCAGCCACCCCTGCCCCAAAGGGAAAGGATGTGTGGCTCATTGATTCCGGCAGTGAGCAGGACCTCATCAGCAAAGCTGCACTGAGGAATGCGTCCAAGGCAATTCGAAAACAGGCCCCTCAGCCCATTCGCCTTGTGACTGCAAACGGAAACATCACTGCTTCCGAAATCGCCGACATCAAGGTCGATGCATTGTGTGAGCCTGCTCAGCCTTACATCCTCGAGAGTTCTCCCGCAGTGCTGTCGCTGGGTGTAAAGTGTCTGGATCAAGGATATTCCTTTCATTGGGAATCCGGGAAGGCACCAACCATGGTTCGCCCTGATGGTGCTCTGATCCAGCTCAAGGTTGACGGTCATGTGCCATACATGGACTCTAGTTGTGAAGCTGAGCCATCGTTAAGTGCAGTAGCAGCATCCAAGCCAGCGCATGCGCCGGTTCATGACGAAGGCATCGACGAAGGTGATGATCCCGACGACGAAGTTGAGCGGTTTGTGAGATCCCGCAAAGAGGAAGATCTGGTTGCCGAAGCGAGTACCAAAGAGCACTTGTTTGCACACTATCCGAAGAATCCCTTTTGCCGCACTTGCCAACGCGCCAAGATGCTTGCCCCATATGCGAGATCGAAAGGCGGGCAGGGAAGGCTCGAAACGAAAGCGTTTGGAGATCACATCATTGCTGATCATGTGATCCTCAAGACAAACATCGAGCAAGGTATCAAAGGTGAATGGTGTGCGCTCGTGATCAAGGACGTGCATACGCAGTTCAGGTACGTTTACCCATCGACCAGCAAAAGCACGGAGCAATCCGTTGCAGGGATCCAGCATTTCATTTCCGGTAGGGATGAGGTTGAAGTTCTCTACACTGATAACTCCCGGGAATTGAAAGCCGCAATAGAGCAGTTGGGGTATCGTCATCAGACCTCCATTGAATATGTTGATTCCTCCAAATCTTTCGTGGAAAGAGAAATCAGACATCTGTTGGAGGGAGCACGTGCGAACCTTGTTCAGTCGGGGTTCCCACTGTCGATGTGGCCATTTGCTATCCAGCACAATGCAGTCGCGACCAACATCCTGCCACAGTTGAATGGAAACGATTCGCCATGGTACCTCAGGTTTAACAAGACCTTTGATGAAGCTGAGATACCTTTCGGAGCAAAGATACTGTTCTGGAATAACCCTGCGCGAGCTGACAATCAGGCAGGCAAGACTTCGCCAACCTCGAACGAAGGCGTGTTTCTCGGGTACCATATTCAGCCTGGGTTCGCATGGAAGGGTGAGTTCCTCGTTGCAAAACTAGAAGGGCTCGATTACCATATCGAACATGCGTCCCTCACGGTACAGCGAACCAAGCGCATTGAGCTTCCGACTGATGAGTTCATCTTCCCGATGAGGTTGTTGAAAGACCCTGCATCTCATCCACCTGTTGCCAGTGCTAGGACACGAGATGATCCTGTGCCGTTGGAGCGTGGGCAAGCCCACATCGAGGAACCCGCCGCATCGGAGAAATCCGAAGCGAAGACCAAGCCTGTCGTGCCCGACAAAGGCGGTGCATTCGACCCGAGCATAATGCCTGATGGGTCACCAGTACCTGATGGCTACGTGTGGGATGGGGTTCGGCTCGTCCGTAGGAAGGCCGGATCCAAAAGGCCTCCCGATATCCCGTCTGACATGTGGGTCATGCTCGGCAGTCAGGACCGAAAGGCCCTAACCCAGCAGTACGAAGATCAGCTCCGTGCAGATGCCAAGAAGGCAGTGCTTGAGACAGCAGTCTCTTCGGAGGCCAGATCCGAGCACCCCGAAGCCGCATCGAGTGCAAAGCCGACCAGCGCCGCCCGCGAGGGCGAGCCGACATTGCCTGTGATCCGGCACGCGCCTGCGATGTCCGTTCTTCCGGAACGTGACAAGTCATCGAAGGAGCCGCATCGCCCGCAATTGCGTGAGTTGGTCAAAGAGCGAATCAAGAAAGTTGAATTTGATGTTGCTCTTGAACTGTTCAGTGCAGTCGTTGCTAGGCTCGTGCCGAAAGCCGAAGTAGCCAATACGCCAAAGGCCCAAGCTGCCCTCGACAAGGAATGGGAAAACCTTCGAAAGAAAGGCACTTGGGATTTCAGAGTAAATGAGTGTAGGCGCGTCATCAGAGAAGCCCAGAGCAAAGGGGAAAAGGTTCACATTGGAAGGATTTTCGAGGCTTGTTACGAGAAGGGTAGCGAGCTTCCTGATGATGATCCCAACAAGAAATTCAAAGGAAGGACCGTTTTCCAAGGGAACAATGTTTATGATGAAAACTCTGTTGCAGCATTATTTGCGGAGCTAGGGTCCAGCCCAGCGTCAATGGAGGCAGCCAAAATCCTCGACGCTTTCGGGTCGCAGCCCGGCTACCGCAAGGCGCAAGCCGATGCGAAACAAGCCTACATCCAAGCCCTGTTCAAAGGCGTTCCCACATGGCTTAGATTGCCCAAGAACAGATGGCCCAGCCATTGGAGCAAACAATACATTGACCCCATTGTTCCACTTGTGCTAGCCTTGTACGGACATCCCGATTCAGGGGGGCTTTGGGAAAAGCACCTCGAAGATGCCCTCAGCAAGCAAGGCTTTGTAAGAGTGTTGCCCGAAATATGGACATCCATTTTCCATCAACCGGAACTCGACCTGCTGCTAGTCGTATATGTTGATGATTTCAAGCTTGCAGGACCTGCCGGTAGCCTTGATAAGGGATGGGAACTGATCGGGAAGGTTGTCGAGATCGACGCGCCCGAGCCATTCGGAAGATACTTTGGGTGCCATCACATTGAAAAGAACAATGTAAGATTGTCCAAAGAGGAACACCCTTTCAATCACGTGTTTGAGGGTTCAGCGCAACACGCGGGTGTTTGCTCTCAAAGAAGGACTGAGGACTACTGGGAGCATGATGAGAACACGAAAACGTGGATACGCTATCACTTGCAGCCCAGAAAGTGTCTTTTCCGTCCCAAGGAGCAAATGAGTGCATTCGCTTGCAGCCTCGACCCCCAGCGTGTGACAATCAAAGATCAATCCAAATCAAGTCCAATTTGCGATGAGTGGTCGCGTCATGCAAGTGATCGCATTTCTGCGGACACCGCGTGGTGGACCGGACGTACTGTGTTTTCCTACGGTGAAAATCAGGAAGCAGCTTTGCAATGTGCATTGCCCTCAAAGCCTGGATCAATGAGAGACAAAACCGCGGCCAAGAAAGAAGTTAAGGTTTCGAAGTTCAAAGGACCCGAAACGATATGCGATAAACCTGTTGGTTGTATGACTAAAGAAGTCAACATTGTTGAGTACGACATGTCCGATTTCCTCAAGTCATGCGTTGACGCATATTGCGAACTTGCCAAGGTGAACATTTCTTCGTTGAGTAAGGTTAGCACTCCATTCATTGGTTCGAAGGTCGCGAGACCTGTCGTAAATGAAGAGGAGCCAAAGGGCAGGCTTCAAACGATCGCTGCAAAAGTACTAATGAAGATTCTATTCGCAGCCCGCATGGCTAAGTATGACCTGCTAAGAGCCACGCAAAGCCTTGCCTCACGTGTGAGTAAATGGTCCACTGAGTGCGACAGCGCTCTACATCGGCTTGTGTCTTACATACACTGTTCGAAGGACCTAAAGATGCGAGGTTTTATCGGGGATAAGTTCTCTGATTGTAGGCTGTGGTTGTTCGCTGATGCGGATTGGGCAGGCGAATACGACTCGCATAGTACAACTGGTTGCACCATGATCCTGGTAGGACCAAACACGTACTACCCACTGAATGCCTTCAGTAGGAAGCAGACAGCGACCGCAACAAGCTCGACTGAAGCCGAGGTCATCGCTGCGAACCAGGCGCTCAGAGCGGAGGGATTGCCGACACTGTCGCTTTTCTGCCAGCTCAGCCTGTTTGGGAAAGAAGCACATGGGTATGCTCAAAAGGCGGGAAAAGCCTCCCTTGATGTGCCCGATGGCATTGTCGCTCGCATTGACCCCGAGTTGGATGAAATTCGGTACGGAAATGTTGATGCGGGCACAAGTGTAGCGAACATCAATGCCCTAACTGTGCATCTCAGTGATAAGTGGAAAGTTAAGCTGATGGAAGACAATCAGGCCACGATCACTATCCTGCAGCAGGGACACTCACAGAAGCTAAGGCACACGGATAGGACCCAACGCATCAGCTTCAGATGGCTCCAGGAGCAATTCGTGAATAGGCAGTTCGAATTAATCAATGTTGACACTACCCTCCAAGCTGCAGACATCTTGACCAAGGCGTTTGACAGCACCCCAGTGTGGCACCATGCACTTGAGCTGATCGGTATCTCCCCCAATCGCCAGGCGCGAGCCTGTGCCACCAGTTTGCTGCTCTCCCCGTGCACGAAGGCCGGAGAAGTTAGTGATCAGGGGGGGCAGATCGCCGCGCTATGCAACGCTCAGCCCAAGCGCCTCCTTATTGAATTCTGTTGTTCGACGACCTCACGGTTGGGCGAATCAAGAGACTCCTCAAAAGGATGTCGTGTCATTCGGGTAACTGAAACCGAAGACGGGTGCTCTGATACATGCAGGCAGTGGCTAGTTCATGAAATTGCCGAGTTTAGGAGCAAGAATCCTAAAGGTGCAATAATGTTCTATGTTTCGTTGCCTTGCACTGGAGGATGCCCGTGGGGTTATGTCAACCAGCAAACTCCCAAAGGTGCTGCCAAAATTGAGGGTCACATCAAGCAATTCCGATCACTGTTGAGAGGGTTCAAACGCATTCTCAATGATGTCTATTCTGATGACGTTAGAGTTGCTTTTGAACTTCCCAAGGCGTGTCGTTATTGGAAATGGCCCGAACTATGGAGTTTCTTGACTAAGTATAAGATGAACAAGTATGAATTCCATGGTTGCAAAATCGGCATTAAAGGGAGAAATGGAAAACCTATGAAAAAGCAGTGGGTCGTTGCCAGTAATATGCCCACTATTTCCGTGGTTGAGTACTTCAAGTGTGATGGTTCTCACGAGCATGATGAAAGCCGTGGCACGCATTTGAAGGAAGCCGAGGGATACACGTTTGTTTACACCGATGCCGTTCACAATGCATTTTCTGAACATGCCACCATGCAGCCGTTGCTTTCGAGTGATTGTGCTGCATCTTCTTCGCAATGAGCAGCGCGACGGCTATGGCGCATCCCGCGAGGGATTGCGATCCGGCATGGAGGAGATGGATGGAGAATGTCGCTACCACTTCGGTATGCACGAACGGCAAATACGACGCTAACCTCGCCGCCACGGTCAAGGGCCTCCTCGAGACGACCTCTGCACAGTCGCTTATTCATACATGGGTGCAGGACCAACCGCACTACCTGCAATTGCTTACACCCCTGTTAACCATAAGCGAACCGTACTTGAAAGTCTTGCAGGCCCCACGTGTACCAGACCGCGACCTCCTTATCTATGTGACTGTCGCTGATTCAGGACTGTCCATGGTTTCGGGCAAGAAGCGCAAGCTTCGCAAGTACGACTTTGCGGAGCGTTTGGATGCCTCTCGCCCGGCGCGCGTCGGTGCATGGAGGTCTGAAATGCTTTGGGGCAAGGGCTTACAACAGCTGTGCAAGCGGTTGGCCGCCCTCATCGACGAGGTGCGTACCGACTACCCAGCAGCCACCATCATTCCGATGATTTACTGGAATGGCAACGAGCTCGTTGGGAAGGACGGCCTCGAGCCCACTGGTACATATCCTTACGACACCCCCATCGGAGACGCCGAGCAACTTCTTGCCGACTCCAAACGGCACCTGGCTTGGACCAGGGATTTCGCGGCCCGCAAGGGCTGCGCATGCCTTGGAGTCATGACCGGCGCGAAGAGCTATCTCTACGGCTTCTCTATGATTTGGGACCGTTTCATGACGGAAGTCCGGGATTACATCATCGGCGACCCCAACAATATGTTTGTGTACGTGGATGCCACACCCTTCGTCGAGACCATCGATTTGCTGGACAGGTATCATATGTGCTTCAGTGATGACAATATCACGAAGACCGTCCAGTTTATGCGCGGAACCCATCACATGTTGTATATGCTTTCCATCTTGCGCCCCGCAATGGGCAGCGTAGCCGAGCTGACACGTTCGCATGATTGCACCATGCGTCCGATCGATGTGCTCGAGGTGCGCCACCAAGAGGATTGCACAGTCAACGTTGAGGTTCTCGCGTACTGCAAGGAAACGCTAACGAAGTGCGGTGTTTCATTGTCAGAGATGATTGGGCTCCCTTTCACTCGTGAAGAAGTGGAGGTCCGGCAGCCCCTCGATTTCGCCCCTGTCGATCCAGCCGAGTTTGCAACTTCAGGTGAGCCTTCCGGTGCTGATGTTTCCGAAAGTGTTCGCCCGGCGCAAGCCGGTGCAAAGGCGGCTGCGGTGGCACAGAGGGTCGAGGCGACGAGCAGGCCGGTACCACTCGACTCCTACGGGAGGAACGTGACTGGAGGCCACTACGATTGTTGGGTTTATAGCATCCATGATGGCGTGAAGTATGTTGACTATGGTGAGGGCCCCAAGCGACTCGAAATCATCAAGCAGCCCTCCTTTGATTACGACCCTTCCGTCAGGAGAATCAGCAACGAGTACCACAGCTCCCTGACGTGCATCTCAAAGATCCTCCGTGGTCGTGGGACAGAAGGATGTGGGTACGTGATGGATGAGGACGGCTACATGGACCTTGAAGATTTGGGACTCGCGCTTCGCAAGGAGCTGCGACATCCCATTCCATGGAATGTTCAGAATATCATGGACATCTTCAAGCTCGACAAAAAGCAGAGTCGTTCATTGCGCTTGGTTGCCCGGACGCAAGCCGGTGCGGAGACGTCCCATGTTCTCATTGGATTTTCAAGATCAAGGCCTCTCAAAGCCACGAGGACTGGCTCCAAATCGACGATTCCGGCATCGCGAAGGAGTGGTACGTGAACCCGGGGACTGACCTCGGGCGCTGGTCTGGCTGGAACGTCTGCAGCAACCCTCCTACGGTGCTCTATCATCGCACCGATAAGCGGAACTTCGCCAGCATTATGCGAAACGGACTGCTTCCAGGAGGAGGTGACCAGCACGAGACAGGCAGACCTCACGTTTTCTTCGCTGACATCCCGAGCACGAATGAAAATTACATCTCAGGTGTACGTGCTAACAAGCCCTTGGAAATACAGATCGACCTCAGGATGGCCATTCGCGCAGGGCTTTGCTTTTTCAAGACAGAGAGCGATGGCGTCCTCACGCGTGACAAGGTGCCCAACTACACGATTATTTCTGTATTGGACGCTACAAATGGCGATGTATGGTACACTCGCTCTGAGCAATCGGACGCAGGTGCACCAGCTGAGGCGACTGAGGATGACCCCCAGGGGATGAAGCGCGACCAAGCCGTGGTTGATGATCGGTCTACAGCACTGGAGCGCATTGCTACAACCCGCACCAATGTGGCGTCTCCTCGCGCCCCGCAAGGGGAAGCGAAGAGACAGAAGACTTTCAACCCAATGGAGAACGTTGAGCTGAATGTCGCCACGTGCCCGGTTTGCAACAACAGTGTGTTCGAGGGGCAGGTCCACTGCTCATCATGTGGGCAGTTGTCACCCCTCAATCCTCGCCTGTTGAAAGAGCAGCAAAAGAATTACCTTGTGCAGCGTTCCAATTTGCTGAAGAAGATGGGCCTCAGCACCCATGTCACAGCTCAGGTTTTGGCATCCGTGGGAACTTTTGACCTCCGCGAGGAGGATCGGAGTAGCATCCTTCGTGGCTTGAACTCCCCGGACAGTGCTGTACTTCAGGAGGCCCGGAAGAAGCACAAGTCCGCCCTGAAGAACGGCTACCACTCTCTGCTTGATCGCTATGAACTCGACCTTCAATACAGGGTTCGTATGCTTGAGGTGGGCCGTCGGGATGCGGATATGCTCCGCATGGAGTTGTGTGCAAACCTCGTCTTGGCTGCTCCAAAGCAGTCGCAAGCCCAGCGCACTCTGGGAGTTGGCCTTGGATCAACTTCGAGTCGCGAATCGCAAGGCTCGCGTACGTGAAGACGGAGTTGGAGTTCTTGCCCAGTGAATTGCAGGATGCACTCAGTTCCCGCTGGATCATTATGTTCCAAGGTATGCCATACAGTCCTCGGGCTTTTGTGAATGTTGTCTCCGAGCAGGACAAGCCTCGCAGCATTGGGTGTTGGAATGGCATCATCCATTTGCGTAGCAACGCCCTCGAGGACCTCCGCCACGAAATGGACTGGATATTCAGCCAGAACGAGCGTTACGCTCAGAACTCGATCGAGTTTTCGAGGAACGAGAGCAGCAAGCACCTCGCTCGCAACGCCGCTCGCTATGCCGATGCAAGTGCTCCCGCCGCCCGCGAGGGTGAGCATTGGAGCCAAGGCAGCTGGCAGAACTGGTCCGGATGGAGCGGATGGGACAACAGTAGTGGAAACTACTCTACGTGGCAGTGGCGCTAAAAGCGCAACTGTCATGGTTTGCATGTGTCAATGGTTCCCCTGACCTCTCCCTCTGTTGTGTTACTGTTTGGCTGCTTTGTGAAAGGCCCCTTTAACACGCAGAGGGGGGTGAAGAATTTGATCGGTCAGTTTGGGGTTTTACATCCATTGCATCCGCAGTGTGGCTGTTCAAGCGTGAAAATGTGCGAGCAGCGCACTTGGACGGTTTGTTGTTTCCTTTTGGGCCCCAAACCGACAACCCTTGAATCTATACAAGTCGCCAAAAGAACAACCAAGAGACACCGAGGCTTTCCGCTCCATGCCGGCGCCCCCGCAGGCGCTCAGAGCAAGACGACCTCGGCCGGCCCGGCGAAGGTGCCAAAGACCGCGAAGCCACGGAAGGCGAAGACGAAGCGGCAGCCGGTGCCATCCTTCCTGCCGGGAGCCTCGAGCGCTGCGGTGGGCGAAATCCCTTCGAGGAAACATGTGCCCCCTCCCCAATTTTCCGGTAAGTTTTGAGGGGTTAGGGATACTACTGGGATGGCTGCGAAATCACTTCGACGCCATGATTGAAACCAAAAGGTTTCTTGAAAATTGAGGGGAATTTAATCGCTCCGTTGGGTTTGTTAGGCGGTGCGATTTCTGGATTTTGCAACCATCCACAGTGGTATCCCTGACCCTTTCAAAACGGGGCCAAGGGTTCTGGAATTCTGTGTGTGGCAACCAATTTTTCCTTGGGGCTAGGGAAATGGAATTGGGTCCCGGACACCCCAAAATGAATACTATAGTCAAACCGATTCGAGTACATGAAAGGGAAAACCCAATGATAGGTGAGCCGGTTGCAACATTCGAGCGTGGGGGTTTGGACTCCCCAAAATGGCGCTCTCTTTGGGTTCCCTTCAGAATCGCAAGCATGGGTACCGACTTCAAGAACGACACGCCCATTTGTGGGTGGACTCTAATACCAGTCTTCGATTTTGACTCTGAGTGACCCTGGGAGAAAAGTGGACCGTTCTTGCTTAGTGTCTTTGGGCGATCACGCCGAATTGCCGGGTGAAAGGGGTCCTGGAGGATAGAAGGGGTATTAGAAAAAAAAACAAGCAGATGAAGGAGGTGTTGTGGGAGGCCCAATGAGGTGTATCCCCCTTAATCGAGGCGAAACAAGGAGGGTGTAACACGATACCGGGTTAATATGTGCCATGGTCAAAAGACCCTTCTACCCAGAGTTGTCATTGGCCCCCAGTCTGTTTAAGGCTACCATTTAGGGGTTGCTTTCAAGGAAAACAAGCACTCCTTCGAGGGTGTCCCCTATTCTGAGACACACCTGTATGGTTCTTTGGGCCGATGGGGTTGTCTCAAAGTACCCTTGCTTGGTGGCCTTTTGATTCCGAAAGGTCCCCTCGGATCGAGGTTTCAGGAGAACGAGCAGACGGAGGAAGTTGGTCCCGCTTTGGGCGAAGTGGAGGTGTTCATGACGGTGGCCGGAAGGCAAGGCAAAGGCTACGCAGCTGCAGGGAGTGTGCTTCCAGTTGCTTAAGGCTTGTTTGTATTTTACCCTCTTGATGTGAAAAGGACATCTATCGCTATAGAAAATACGTCGTTTTGTTCTCAGGGGGCGCAAGCAATGGAGGAATAGGGGGGTTGGGAATGAATTTGGGGATCCCCGCACAAAAGAAGCCACCAGTTGGATGGTTCATGCCGGTCATTAGGTCATTCCCTCATTCCCTGCTGAGCGCCAGCACGAAAAGGGGAAAAGTGTTTAGGATGTTTGGCGAGATACCAGAATCGAAACCTCAACCCGGAGTCTCCTTCGGACCCTTAAACAAATGGTTGGTCAGTACTCACAGCAAAGGGATCATGGACCCATTTTAAAGGGTCATGGACAAATCCAGGGACATATCCTTGCGGTTTAAAGTGAACATGTTTAGTTCTCAACACTTTAGGGTTCCCTTGAAACCACATGTTTTATAAGGATTCTCAACACGATGGGCTTGTTTTCCCATCAAAACAGCCACGGAATTGTTCAACGACTTGGCGGTCGCCTTCGGTCCCCGGCGTCGGTTTGGTGCGGCTTCGGCTTGGCGAAGCAACATCCCAGGGGGGTCGGTGACACGCCGGGCCAGCGTGGAGGAGATGGAGAAGATGGCGCCTCGGTTTGCGAGCGCAGAACGGCTCAGGTTAGATGGGTCTGGTTCCTTTGGTGTAGTGGGCATCACTTTGGGATTTACTTCCATCCACCTTAAAAAGGTGCCTGGACCCGAAAGAAATCTCCCAGCCTTAAAAATGGGAATTATTGCCTGCCCCAAAATGATGGAATTGGTGAATTATCCCTTTTTTTATTGGTAGTTTGAGGGTTCAGGTGGTTCTTTAGGATTCCCCGGGATTTTGGAGTGGAAACCAAAAGGACACTCTCCTTTCTCAAGGTTTCTGGTCTGGGTTGCATCTTTCAGGGCTAAGAAGCAGGGAATTCGTGGAAGGAAATAATCCGAGGACCCTCAAGTCTAGCTAAGGGACAAACATATTTCGGGCGGACATCCGCACCTCTTCCTTCCCTGATCCGAGTTTCGCCTTCCCAAATCTCTATGATTGAACTTGCTGGTTGAAATGCTGGTTTCCCCACTCGCCCCATCCGAAAGGGTTGGCCTTAAGCCTGATGAACGAATATGGCATGCTCCGATGTGCAACACACCCCAGGCATGTATGATACACTTAAGGGTATAGCTGGGGTTAGTTGGCATATACCTGGAGTCTCCATGACCCTTCGAAAATGGTGGGCCACTACCCAACATAAAGGGGTTATGGATCCATATTGTAAGGGTTATGGAGACTCCAGGTGGCCATGGTTAGCCTGAACATCGAGCTGGGGCCTTGACGAGGTGCCGGTCTCCTTTGTGCCCAACCTTCTTCCACAGCCCTTTGCGGATCACCTGCTGCGCGCCTTCCTGCAGGAGGCGAGCGCGAAGCAGAGCTTGGTTCACGGGGTTTGAAGGTTGGAGCTTGGCCCCCTGAACCCTCAATCTGCCCGTGAAGCAAAAAACAAGTGGGAATTTTCCAACCCCGCAAAACTGCTTGATGGCTCATCCCCTGCCTTGGTTAGGGCGAAACCACGTAGAGTCTCCATGACCCTTTAAATTTGGGGTCCTTACCCCAAAATTTCGGGGTCATGACCAACCATTTTCTCCATGGAGGCCTCCGGCTGGCACACCTCCAAGCGACTTGGTGGGTGGCGGGGTGCTTCAACAAGCTGGTTGAGGGGAGCAAATCAGCAGGGGCGAGCGATTTTGCCCACAAAATATAGGATACAAGCGAGAATTGTTTCGTACCTGCCAGTCGAGCCTCAGCAAGCTTATGACCAAACCATTGCCAGACCGAAGTCGTACCTTTCAACTGTCCGTCTTCATTCCCTTGTTAGGAAATGCACGTTTGGGTGTCTAAATCTAGCCTAGAAACCCAAGCCCAGACGCTCATGGAGGCCCTCAAATAGCTTCTTTGTGGAGGCGGGCAGCCGTCATGAGCCTTTGCAAGGGTTGCAGAATGGCTGTGGGTCAAAAACTGGTACCCACTGGTGAATAGAACCAAGGAGGTGAAGCCTGCGGTTTTTGTGGTGGTTTAAGTTTGACCCATCCGCAAATCATGGTTCTTCCCGTTGCTTTCCTGGAGGCAGAAGGGACTCGCTGAGGTCTAATCTCAATTTTTAAAATGGGGGTATGGCAACCCAAACTTGCGGAATTGGCGAATGCCAACTTGTCTATAGGTAGCTTGAAGGTGACTGGAATTCCCCCTCAAAAGTTGCAAGTTGCTGGTGGTGTCCATTGAGACTGCCACTTTCCAAAAAGGGAAATGCCAACCTTCGTTTTTTGGGCAGTGTGAGGGTTCAGGTACATCCTTGGTATGGACTTCCGCTGGCTTCGATCCCGGGCCGTCATGAGGTGGTCAATTAGTGGCAAGCGGCAAGTTGGAACTTGTTCGGCTAAGTGAGCCTCGCCCCTGTTCTCCATTTTGGCAGGTGGCTTTACCTGGTTTCATGGTGACCATAGTTTTGCATATGTTAACCACATTTGTATTAAGCAGAGCGTCACCAGCTCAGCCATATGTTTGTTGTTCTTCTCGGAGAGGGGCTTCGTTTATATCCAGGGGGTGTTCTTGAACGGATTTATGGCGTGATGCTTTCAACATGATTCGTTTTTTGCACAGGGTAAACCAGTCGATTTACGGGTCTCTAGGTGTGTGCTTGGAACCCTTCTTGGGGTCGGCTTCAACGGAAACCAAAAGGACACGACCTGTGAGGGTTCCGAGCCAAAGCCTTTCGCCGAGGCGGTGGCTTCATGAGCGCGAGATCGCTGGGCGCTGAGATGTCGCTCGCTGAATCCCTGGTAGGTGAACACGATTGAACACGTCTGAGATCACATGCGTGCCAAGTAGCCCAATCGTTTTTTTTTCTCCATATGCCAGGACCCTCAACATTCCATCTCAAATATGGGGTTATTGGAACCCACAATTATGGTTGTTATGGTTGGTGACATCCAAGTTGCTTTGTGGATAGTTCTTTCGGGTCCGGGTAGATCCGTCTGGAGCCGAACCAATTTTTGTCTTGGGTGGACTAGAACTGGAAGATCTGCGTGCCTGAGCAAAAATGGGTCCATGACCCCTTTATTTGGGGTAATCGCCCCATGTTTGAAGGGTCATGGAGCTCCAGGCACAAGTATAAGCCTGGGGTGGTCAAAATGAAGGGTTGGCGAATCCTAATCCATACTCCCAATTGAGACCCTTCATGGAGACTCCAGGTATGTATTTTATATCTTTCCATTCGTTCCTCTTTTGGCTTTCGAGTTCTCGATCCAAACGGAGCTCAGCTCAGGAGAGTTCCCGCCTGGAGTCTGGCTTCAGCTCCCTGGATACGGTGATGCCTTCAGAGTGAGCGCCCCAAGTGGTTGATATCCCACCCCCCGAAGTTTGACAGGTCACCCCCCTTTTTTAGGGGAATTAACTGGGGGTGGCTCAAAAGAACGGGGTAACCCGATTGTGTGGTCTTCCTTCTTTTGTTGTCCTTAACTGGGGGTGTCTCAAAATCGGGGTAACTAGCCCACAGTTGGTGGTGTTCCTTTTGGTTTTTGTTTGAAGCAACCCAAAAGGGGTCATTGCATGGGTTGATTCATTCATTATCCAGGTTTCATGCATGGCTTCCCCGCAAATGATAGCAAAGGATTTTCCCGGATGCATGGTATGGCCTAAACCAGGTGCTTGTCCATCCTTTGAGCACGACAAAGGGTCCTTAACAAAAGGCATACCCATACGTGAGCATGTGGCATTTCCGCTAGTTCGTTTTTGGGTGGTCCTTTGCCTATCAACTTCTGGTGGTAATATTGATATGAAATAATATACATTGTATAATTTTGTATATGTACATATTATTTGAGTGTATCCATACATTGTCTGTTTTGCAAGGAGCAAGTGTGGGCAGTTTCTGGTGGTCATATTGTACTCTTGTGGCCCAGCGCGCCTAGTGAAACTCCTGCTGGGTAAAGCAGCATTGTTTAAACAACCTGAACCCTCAAACTACCGAAGAAAAGGGACCGACCCCCATCATTTTGGGTTGCAACAACCCATCTTTGTTCACGAAGCTTCTTTTTTCTGGCCCGTTGAATGGGCCAGTTGTGTTGGATCATTTTGTTCCAAGCATCTTGCCTGACACCTGGATCTCGATGTTAAAACAGCGGCGCTCTTTTGGGCTACCCATCGTTGTTGCTTGATAGTGCCTTGGGTTAAAGGTACTTATCGGGCTGTTCAAATAAAGTTCCGTACCTCGGTGTATGAAAATGGTGTTGCTTTGTAGTGGTCTTGCAGTTGGGAGGATGGACAAGGATTCGCCCGCCAACACTCCATTTTGACCACCCCAGGCTTTTATTTGGCTACGACGACGACTTTTCTTAATGAACCACCTCGGAAGTGGTGGACATTGTTCCCATCGACTGCTAATGCCCACCAAAAAGTCCGGGACCCATGAAATGTCACACCTGTCTCATGCGGATGATTCCACCTTTTTTGGTTGCTCCTAGCCATCCGGTTCCTAGCCGTTGACCTTTTTAGTTGGCCTGGTTGGGTTTCCATTTAAGCCACTAAGAGTTATCGACTTTTGAAATCCCCTTTTTATGGGTAGTTCTTTCGGTCCAGGCATTCTCGGGGTTGATTCCCCATTCTTTTCAACCATCGTTCTTTTCAAAAACATTTTGTCCAGGGTTTTGGGTGGTTTCTGGAAAGATTCGGATCCCTGGATTCAGAATGGTTGGAAGTGCCCCCTAGAATACCCGGAGTCTCCTTCTGACCCTTCAAAAATGGTTGGTCATTACACAAAATAAAGAAGGGGTCAGGGATCCATTTTTGATTGGGGTCAGATTCGGAGTCTCCAGGTATGGAGTCTCGTCAATTGTCGCCCTAGAGCTCTTCTTGCTGAAGCGAAGCCAAGAGAAGCCGCCTGCAAGCCAAGGCTTCAGCGACGGCCTGAGCAGCTCCCGCGGATTCAGCCGCACGGCTCCGTGAGAAGCAACGTGTCGTTTTTGGTGGGGGGGGGCGTGAAAACTTGGTGGCTCCCAGGCATCCGGTTCCTTAGCCTTTTAGCTTTTGAGTGTTTAGTGGTAGTTTCCATTTAACCCACTAAAAGTTAAACTTTTAGTGTGTTTTTTCCCGGTTGGTTTCTCGTTACAACCCAAAAGGAAGTTTCCCAAAAGGGGGTTTCCCTTTTTGGGGGGGACTGAGAAGGAACTCTTTTGCCGAGGGCATGTTGAAGTTGGGTGTTTTTTTCCCCAGCTGGAAGCTGTGGGTGGTTTGGGCCAGCTTTCAGAAGGGTTCCGCAGGGTTCCAGGAAATTCCGGTTGGGGATACCACCTGCGTTTACTTGGATTCATTGGGGACCCGAAAAGTGGTGGTTTTGTTCTGGTGGTTTCCCTTTACAACCACACCCAAACGTTACCTAAAAAAGGCACACCCATTTTGGGATGAGTTCAAGCCGCCGGTGAAAAGGAAGCGTCTGAGCGTAAAAGGGATCACACACGCACACACCTCCTTCAACCCCTGTTTTTGGGTTACAATCCCAGTGTCTTGTTAGATGTGTCAAGTTTCACTTGACACCAGGCAGCAAGCCCAACACCTCGAAACCGCCAATCCAAACCACCAATTGGGGGGAAGCTGAATCCTTGGTGTTGCAGTCCGGCGATTCCAGCGCAGTAGGCAATTCCGGGTTTGCCACTATTCAGAGACTAAGAAGAGAAACGTGAAAGGTTGCCTATAAGGGTGTCCCTGAAATCCATAGGGGGCACGACAAACAAACAGAACCAACAAAGATCAGACAAAACACATGCCCCAGCACAACCCAATGACTGTGAAATGACCATAAAGATGGCCAAACGAATGATGCTTGAGCCAGTTTGTACACATTTTTCTGTGACATACCCTTGGCATACACGACTCCAAACAGCTTGTTGTTCATGTTCTTCGGCCTTCGCTTTCCCACCGATCTTAAGGCAGGGTTTCCTCTATGTCCCTGTTTGGATCCTCCCAAAAGTGGCTGTTTCAATGAACACCACCAATAGATTGATCAACTTGTGAAAATAAAATCCAGTCATTTCTGTGAAACAAAAAAAGTTTGCTTATTTGTTTGCTTACCCTGCCAGGGGTTGAAAAGGAGTTGTGTTTTCTCTCTCTGAAACATTTCGTGCCGGCCCCAAAAGAGGCCCAAAACGGGCGGAAAAGCCTCGCCCAGCCAGACCTCCAGTGGCGTAGTTCCTTTTTCAGCTGGAAGCTGTGGGTCGATGGGCCCAGATAGGTTCGACAAGGGGTGGTTTGGCGATTCGGCAGCTTGCAAAAGGAGATTCGGTTCCAGGGATTTGGGTCCGGGCGGGTTGGATCCCGATACCAGCCGAGTTTAGTTGCGCCTTTTTTTGGCAGGGGACGGTGGGCTCCTTTGAAAGTCACCTGGAGCCTCGAAATTATATTTCGTGCAAAAATTGGAAACCATGAAAATTGTGGCTTCCCCTTTAGACTCCCTCTGAAACCACCCAAACCCTCAACAAAAACAACTTAAACATGGGGCACATTGCAACTCAAAATTTCTGGAATTGGTGAAGTCCAATCTTTTTTACTGGTTAGTTTCAGGGTTCAGGGGGCCGATGCTTTTGTCCCATGACCATAAACATCTGAGCCACTTATGAAGGTTAAGGGACAGTCCCAGCCATGAACAAGTGCAGCAGCCCTTTGGATGTGATCGTGTAGTCCCTGGTTTTGATTGTGTCACGCCTGCAAACCAAAAGATGTGCCCCGAATTTGCCGGCGTTCGGCTTCATTGATTATGAGTCACCCGAGCCCTTTGAAGCTGAGTTTTCTGGTGGGGTGATGTCAACCATCCAATCAACTCGCCGACCAACTCACCTACCAACCCGCCTACCAACCCGCCTACCAACCCGCCTACCAACCCGCCTACCAACCCGCCTACCAACCCGCCTACCAAGCCACCTACCAACCACCACCCCATCCCACGATCCCATGCCCGACTGAAGGCAAGCGCTGGGAGAATGGTGGCTTTGGGGACGACCTCCGACACCTTCGGAACTTGGCGCCCGTGGCAAAAAGCGGTTGCCGTCGCCCGAGGTTGTCCTTACACTTCTACCTGCAGTCTCCATGACCTCAACAAAGTCTTAAGCATGGGTCATGGAGACTCCAGGTAGACATTAGACTTCGGTTTGCAAGAATGAGAAGTGGACAAGCCCTTGCAAGTGGATGGTAGTACTCCAAAGCTCTTGAAGGGTGTACTTTTGCCCAAGGGTACACCAAATTTAAGCCGGGACACACACACAATTGTCCCACTGAAATTAAACATAGGTTATTGCAACTGTAAAATTGGTTGTTAATTATCCTCTTTTTCGTGGGGTTCAGGTAGACAATAGACCTCCATTTGCGTTTCCCCCTAGCTTTAAAGGGACGGTAGACTTTTAGGCTTTTAGACCTTTCGTGTTTGGAGGGGTTTATGGCATATCCCACCAAAGGTTGAACTTTTAGCAAGGGATCACCAAACCCCCGAGCAAGCAATCCTGGGGCTGGTGACTTCCCGGTTGTTTGCTGGCACCATGTTTCCTCGGTTTTCAAATCGGTTTTCAAAAGGGGTTCCACTGCATAACCAACAAGAGGCGTCCGGTTTGCCGGACGTCAGTTGTTCAGCACCCTCATTGCCTTGTTGCGGAGGCTCCCCCTTGTTAGGACTGGGGGCGCCTTTATTTAGGGACCCTCCTGTACCTTAGTTGCCGTTGTTTGTCCTTTGCCCCTTTTTGCGCTTGTGCACAAGGAGCCGCAACCCCCGAAGACTAGGTCTCAGGGTTATTGGGGCAATGCCCGTAACCCTACACGACCAATCCCAAACACGTAGGAAACCCTTTGCACTTTGCAAAATAGCAGGACTCCTTCTAATAAGGCATTATCCTTTGGCGGGGGGTCTTTGAGTAATTCGGGGGTGGGATGACTATCTTACATTGTGTTTTGCCTTCGTTGGCCTTACTTTGCGCTCATGAAGCGGGCTTACTATTTGAAGTTGGGAGATTTTCTAAAGGATGCCCTGATTGCAAAGGACGGGTTGGGTGGCGGTGCGTGGCACAATTTTCCGTGTTTGGGTTTAGTCACCTTGAGCTGTGCTGAGATGGAGTCATGTTGTCGGCTTCGTCATGGCCCTCCCTTGGGGTGCGTTGTTTACGGGTATCCATGGATAAGCCAAGGATACGCCCGTACGGCCTGGGTGTAATAGTCCCTTGAGGTTCATGATCCTTAGCAAGGTCCATGATTAGATCGCGAGATAGACTTCAGCTTAGGGGTTGTTGTTGTTCCTGGGGTTAAGTCTACCTTATGGATCCTTGGGGCCTACAAAACGGAGCCCTGTTCCTTAGAAAGCTGCTTTGGTGAACTTGCAGAATTCAATCTTCAAGTAGGCATTCACCACTTCCACAGAAAATTTCGGGTTGCAAAAACCCAGCCTTAAGTTGGAAGGTCTTTCGGGTCCAGGTAGCCTTTGAGGCCGTTTTTGGGGGGTTTCCTTCGCCCAGCGCGCGCCGAAAGTTTCTGAGGTCTCCGCTGCGGTGCAGCGCTCGCGCGTGGAGCTGCGGCAGCGCTGGCGCGGAACTTGCCCGGAGGAAGCGCAGAGGTGCTGGGTCCGTCCACCCATGGGTGGGGTACTTAAAAGACTTCCAGTTGCCTAAGAATATGTGTTTATTTTCCTTTGTTTTTTTTGCTCGAGGGGACTTAAGCAAATGGAGGATGACCGACCCACCTGAAGAATATGTGTTTGTTTTCCTTTGTTGGTTTAATGCAATTTCCAGGGAACTTAAGCAAATGTTGGACAATCCCACTGTTGGATTCATCCAGGGCACTGAAGCAACCGGAGGATGACCAACCCTTTTAGGGGGTGAGCTGTTCTTTAAGGGCAAGCCCCAATTACAAGGTGGCTTCGCTTTGAGGAGGGTATTCGCAGGTCAGTGGGTTTGTGTCCCGGGTAAGTCCCCGTTCCATTGATTTTATGTGAGGCAAATCCACTTATTGGGGATATCTACCAGATACTAAGTGGGGTGGTCAGCCAAGCATGTAATTACCCCCCCTCCCTCTAACAGGAGTGTCCATGTAGGGGCAATGGATCGTCCAGTTTGTTTTGCATGCTGCTTCTTGGTGCCTCCCAGTCATCCCCCTTGGCTTTTTAGCCTTTTAGTGTTTAGCGGGGATTTCCAGTACAGCTCAGGATTGTGTTTGTGCGTTGACACTAGCCAGTGTGTGGCGGCAGAGAGCAAAGTTCGGCAAGAAATGCGGCCATTTTTTTAAGGGTGTCAAAATTAAGGGCCCGGATCCACAAAAAACCAACCAAAGCATGGGTTACACCCGAAAATTGTGGAAATTTCGAATTCCCCCCCCCCCCCCATTTTTTAGGGTGGTTCGTTTGGGTTCAAGAAGGCCCTTTTTGGCAATTTGTCTTGCAGTTCTGTGGCACAGGCCAGCGTGGGGTTTCGGGACTCCAGGGACGGGAAGAAGCTAAGGGACTTCTTTGGCCTTTGCCTGAGCACGGATCCCAGTTGCAAGCCACGGTAGCCCCATTGGTCCTTTTGATTTTGGGCGGCAAGCCTTTTGCTACGGCTACCTAGGGCAGGAAAATGGAATCACTGGCTGGCCTTCTTCGTCCTAAGGAGCTACCCCTTAGGGTCTTGGGGCCTTCTGGTGGTGGGGTCCCGGATATATTCAGACAAAGCGGATCTGTGCAGCTGGCGAAATCGGTGCTTTGTGGATCCGATGTGGGGTGTGTGTCTAAGACTCTTTGACGGTAGTTTGGGTATTCAATAATTACAGGAAACCAAAGAGAACCTACCCATTCTTGGGGGTCCATTTCGAGACAAAACCATGTCCACCCAATATGTTTGTCCTTTCGAATGAAGGTTGGCAATGCGTGTTGGATTTCCTGGAACCTCAAGCTGCCCATGCAAAACCAAATTCACCCATAATTTGGGAGGGAGTTTTGAGGGTCCGGGCTGATGTATGGGATGTGTTTTGCAGGTTTGCTCTTGGGCACTGACCCTGCTCGGGGAATGAGGGAATGCCCACTATGAATGATCCCTTGTGATTTGCTTTTCAGGGAACATTTGGTGATTTCCTGCTGAGAACCTTCAAGTCAACGACTGATTGTACGAACCCATGGTCCCCTTTGGTGACGAGCTTTCTGAAAGCAAAGCCACGATCAGTGTTAACCGACACACTCGAGTGCTTCATAGCAAGGGTAGGACACCACGCTGTGGCCGGTTTTGATTCATTCCCAAAACCATCCCTTCCCAGGTGAATCTCCTCTAATTCTTTCTAGGCATTGATCTTCTTGTTTCCTCCTGAGAGCCAGGGAGCGATCGCTGGCCTCTAACCTTTTAGAGATCAACACCTGAAGTTTCCTTCTGAGCCTTACACAATTGTTGGTCATTACCCCCCAAAAAGGGGCTATGGCGGACACATTGTTTGAGGGTTAGAAGGAGACTCCAGGTATCCTCTAAGGAACCCATGTGTTAGGTTGGTTTCGAAGCAATACCCAAAAACAAAACGGTATCACCCGCAAAACTCCAGGAACCGTAGCCCGCAGGATCCGCTGGGCTAAAGCGGCGGTTGTGGTCCTCACTTGGGTGTTCGATTCGCCAAGTAAGTAAGCTGTTGGTAACCTAGGGTTTTCACACACTCTCCGGAGTCTCCATGATCCTTTTTGTTTACCCAAAATAAAGGGGCCCTGGACCCATTTATAAAGGGTCAGCCTGCCAACTACCTGGAGTCTCCATGACCCTTGAAAAATGGTTGGTCACTACCAAAACAGAATGGGCTACTGTGGATGGACGAAATCCTGCACCACTTTAAAACCATGGGGAAATCGCTTTTTGTTGGTATTTACAGGAGAATCGTCATTCTATGGCTTCTCAGGTGACAGGATTTCGTCCATCCACAGTATGACCCCTTTTTCTTGGGGTGGAGACTCTAGGTACGAACATCCAAGCGCAGCGTTTGGATTCGTAGGCCGCTGAGTCGCCACGCGCTGGCGCAAGAGACCGTGGCCTTGGCCAGCCGGGGGCAGCAGCTGTCCCCGGAGAGCATCGAGTGGCTGGAAGCTCGGCCAAAGACCTGGTGGATTTTGCTCGACCCTCAGAACTCCCACTTGACTTTGTCGCTATTGGGAAACATTTTACATGTTTGTCAATTGTTGCTCCCCTTCCAACGTCAACCGAGTTAAAGAACCCCAAAATTACCCACAGCCCCCGTGGTTTGCCGGCACCCCCTAATCCACCCTTGTCCAGCACGTGGTTCAAGTATGGCACCCCTTACTACTCAAGTAGCACAACTCGTGCAGCCATACCTGACACGTGGTGACCTGCGTTCTCTTCAGAACGTGGGGCCGTGGTACCACGAGGCGTGGGTAGCAGGCAGGTCTGCGGGTTTTTAGGGTTTAGGTTTAGGGTGGAGGGTTTAGGTTTAGGGTTTTTAGGGCTTAGGTTTCTGCAAGCAGGTTTGGGTCTTTTTAGGGTTTCGGTTTAGGGTTTTAGGGTTTAGGTTTAGGTTTTTTAGGGTTTAGGTTTAGGGTTTTTAGGGTTTGGGTTTAGGGTTAGGCTTAGGGTTTTAGGGTTGAGGTTTAGGGTTTTTAGGGTTTAGATTTATGGTTTTTAGGGTTTAGGTTTAGGGTTTTTGTGTCGGGACGTTGGCTCGGGGCGCAGGCAAACCTCAGGGGCTGGCCGCAAAATTATGGGTTGGTGAATCCCCCCTTTTATGTGTACCTGGAGTCTCCGAGACCGACCCTGAAAAAATGGTTGGTCATTACCCAAAATAAAGGGGTCATGGACCATTTTTTAAGGGTCATGGAGATTCCAGGTACCCGTAAAAAAGGCGGGGAAGGGAGCCCCAGTCGTTGGAGAAGTGGCTTCTGGTCTGGTGGGGGGGGGGGGTTGTGGGTCCCTAACAAATTGCAAGTAAGCCAACCAAACACTTTGCACAATTAGCATGAGGGTCTAAATGATAATGCACACATTGTTCCCCTGTGATGTATTGCTAAATTGGTTCTACAGTACCCTGCACCGACGTTCTAATAGTCCAGCATTTCCCGTCAACTGGAACCACGTCAAAAGGTGGACATGAACCCCCACCGGATTCTGAAGTCCAACAAAGGGTCCAACCAGTTAAAACTACCCGGCCCCTCAAATCTCCCACTTTTAAACAATGGGCCCAATTTCCACCGATTCACGGCTAAAACGTCCAGTTTTTTGGAATCCTGACTCCGGATTTGGGCACATTTCTGCAATTTATCCCAACTTCTGTGTTGTTTTCCTTAAGGGACCACATCCAAGCGATGATTTTGGGAGCATTAAATCCTTTTCGAATGCCCTCACAGTCCGGGGGCTGGCCGCTGGGCTTTGCTTTGGCTTCTTCGCTTCGGGAAATGGACTGTCCCATCCGCATGTACAGAAAAGCAACACGGGGAGATTAGCGTTTATGAACACAATGGGTAAAGAGCATGGGGAATCAACAAGAACATTTGCATACGAAAGTTGGTTTGATGTCTTCGCCGGCAGACGGCCAACCCAGCTGGCATTTGGTTTAAAGGCTTGCAATCAAAGAAGCCCCCTATTCTAGCGGTTGATTCCCCATTCTTTTCAGCCATCGTTCTTTTCAAAAACCAGCCATTTGCCCAGGGCCTTTTGGTTTTCTAGAAAACCTGGAAAGAATGGGGAAGTTATCCCTAGACCCATTGGTCGCGCTCCAGTTCGGCTTCCATGCCTGAGTGCATCCTATAGGAACCAATGAGCCAGTTGGATCCTTCCTCTGTGAGGATTCCATCGTGAACCGTGTGCAATGGCGCCGGCTGGTTGCAAAATCCTTGCTTTGGCTTGATAGATCCCAAGAACATTGTCCTCTTCAGGAAGCTCAAATTCTGCCCTGACCCGAATCAAAAAAAGATCCACAACCCCTTTCTTTTCGGGTAGTGACCCCATTTGTAAGGGTCAGAAGGAGACTCCAGGCGGGTCTTATCCGGCTCGCTCCGAACATCACGGATTCCCAGTTGGTGATGTTCAAGCCACACCGTTCGACCCTACGCACACCCCTCAGGGCCAAACTTGCTATCTCCAGCACTGTTTTTTTTGACCACCAGCTTTCCAACCCCAAACCAGTTTTCTCACCCTTTAACCTCCTAAGACCTCGGCTTTTGATTCATGGGCGCAACAAGCAGCTTCAGAACGACTGGGTTTGATGTTAGGTCCGGTACGCGGGCAGCTACGCCTTGAAGGCATGGCGATGGGAACCCAACTTCGCGGTGGCCAACCTCTACAAAGACAAGGCGCCATTGCCCTCTGCTGGAGGTTCAACCTGCTTAGTAGGTTTGCTACCCATGGCTATAGCTGAGACAACCCCAGTGATCCCCTGAACATCCAAGTGGGGTTGCTGGGTTCGAAGTGAACTTAGGAGTCTCCTCCTCACCCTTAAGCAAATGGTTGATGTCATTACCCAAAATGAAGACATGGGTCGTGGACCCCGTTTTTGAAGGGTCATTGAGTCATGGAGATTCCAGGTGCGTAGTAGGTCTGCTATACCCATGGCTAAAGCTGAGACAACCCCAGTTGGTTGACATATAAGCATGGTTATGACCTACTTAACTTTGTTGTTCTTGGGAAACATTTTACATTTTTGCTTATTGTGCTTTAGTGGTTGAAATCCCCACTTAACTGCTCAAATTTGAATTGTTGCTCCAACGTCAACCAAGTTAAGTCTGAACATTCAAGTGGGGTTGCTGGCTTCGAAGTGAGGCCGATGTCGCCTTCCTTATATACAGATGCTATGAACTTTCTTTATCTGGACATGGGGGGCCACCAAACCTTCCCATGCTCTCTTGGGTTCTCTTCAGAAGAATGTTATATCTTATGTAGGCAAATATGAAGCATAATCTGAACATGGAATTGGTGTAGCAGGAAGTTGGGCCAGGTCTACCCTATCCCACCGCTCCTTCTCGGAAAGGGTTCGGGGGTAACAGGTTCGGGTTACTGAAGATTGGCGGTTCGGGAACCGCCATTCCTCACAAAAGAACTTTGTTTAACCTTTGTTCTTCGCAACAAACGCAGTTGAGCACCCCCTGGCGGGGGCAACCGTAGTTTCACCAACCCCAGTGAATCCATTGACCTGTACAATAGGTCAACCAGGGAACCATTTGCCTGCGATCCATCCACAATATTTATAGGTCCTTGAGCCATTTGCATTGTTGCATTGTTCTCCGGGTTTTCCATTTTAATGTCCCACATTACCTCCCCTCCCCCTCCTTCTCAGCCAACGCCCCCCCCCAAAAAAACAAAAACAAAAACGGTCACCGGAGTTCGCGTTTATCCCGATAAAGTCCATATTAATGTCCATATACCAAATGTGCATTGTTTTTGTTCCCCTATGAATTTACCAATAAAGTCCCCCATTGACAATCCCTAGATCAACTCCCCTCCCCCCACCCCCCCCCCCCAACTCCCCCCCCACCAGCCCCTCCAGCAACCCCCACTCCCCCCCACCCCCCCCCCCCCCCACCTTCCCAGCCCCCCAACCACCAACCCCCCCACTCCCCAAGCAACGCCCCACTTGAAGGGGCAGACTGAGTAAGCGCTTAGTAAGCCAGGTTATAACCCACATCGACCTTTGGCCATGGCTTTTGTGGGTAAGGCGTAAGCCAACCACTCACCTGACGGTGCCATGCCCCGTGCAGCCCACCCAGCCAGGAGGACTTTTTGGGCGCCCACAGCGACCCGGTGGAGTCCATCGGGCCCTGGGCCATCATCGCCTCGCTGACCTTCGGCGCGGCGCGGCTCTTCCGGATGAAGCCGGTGGGGCCCATACGCGCCGAAGGCGCGAAAGAGGGGACCTTGGGGGTTTTGGGGGGTGGGGTTGGGGGTGGTGGGGGGGGGTGGAGACTGTGGGGGGGGGGTTGGGTTTGGGGGGGGGTTGGCTGGTTTTGTTTTTTTTGGGGGGGGAGACCCACATTTTTCGGGGTTTCCATTTCTTCCACTTGTTTTTGCCACCTGAAAAAGGGTAGCCTCCACCACAAAAAACATTCTTGACTGTCCAATACAAACCATAAAACAAGTTGCTTGCTTGGAGCCAACCCCCAGACCCGCCAGTCTCCCATTGCCTTGTTCAACCGTACCCAACCCCAGTCTTCCCCCACCCACCCCACCTTTCTCCGAATCTCCAAACCTTAGACCCTAATCCGATTCCAGTCTTCACCAAACCTACCCCCACCCCCCACCACCCCACGTATTTTGAGACAAAGCCAGGGGTCTGGGGTTAGCTGGGTCTCCGAACCAAACAAGGCTTGCGGGATTGACGAGATGGTTTAAAAATACTTGGCCACCTAGGAACTCCTTGCGAGTTGGCCTCAACGGTGACTTTCTCATCGCCCCAATCGGGCTCAGTCTTGGGTGTTTTTTTTACCCAACTTAGCTGGTAGGCTGTAACCAGGTAGGTTGTAAGAGCTTGAGAACTGGGACGACAGAGGTAACCAGAGCTTTGTTTGACCATGCTTGGTTCCACAATGTTGACCTCGGATGAAGAAAAACCCCTTATGGGAGTGTTCCCCTCCAAAAGAGGTCCGACTCCCCACGCCTTGTTTGAATTAGTTGGGGTTGATAAATACTGTGGATGGACGAGATCCAGCACCACGAAATGAAACCATGGGAAAACATAGTTTTTTTGTTGTTTAAAGGGGACTCATCCTTCCAGGGTTTCTGAAAGGTGTTGCGAAACGGATTTCGTCCATCCACAGTACAGGGTCAACATTACCTGCGGGTCGTTTACATCCAAGTTCCGATGTTCTCAGAGGTGGCCGCGTCACCTCCTTCAGCGTCCGACTGCCGCACAACAGCTTGCTGGTGTGCTGGGAGGGTTTTCAAGAGTTCTGGCGCCATGAGGCGGCGCCCGCGACCCGCGACTCGCGACCGTCCGTCGGGTGCTGTCACAGGATACACGGCCACTCTTCCGGCAACGATATGGAGGGTATACAAATATACCCGACTTTTTTCTGGAGGTGGTGGTTTGGGGGTAGTCAAAACCATCTTACATAGAAGGTTAGTGTGGTATTCCCAGCCAGAAATTTGTGAGGTTGTCCACCCGTTAGATTATTTACATGATTTAGAGGTGACCCCTTTGTCAGGTTTGGGTTGTGGCTTTTGGCCTATCCTTTCAGGCTCGGGCAACCCATCTAATCAAAGGGCGCTCCTATTGAAGCACTCGTGTCTCGGCTGCGACGAATCGCATGTGTTGTCCGCTTGAGCTAGGTGTCTCTTTGGTTTGTGCAAAGCAATGTTGTTGCAAGTTGTTGAAATCACGGTTTCCTGCCCAAGTTTAACTGTTGAGGGTTCGAAGAGCAAACCCAATGCTCTTGAACTGTGTATTTGAGATGACAAGATGGGACTAGCGTGCTTCCCAACATTCAACATGAGCGACCCCTTTTCGTTGGCAGGTGCTTCCGGGAAATAAGCCATAAACCAACCATACCAAAAGCAGCAATTGAACTGCATGGTTGCTTCAATCCAATTTGCCACTGACGTCTAAGATCCACATCGGTAAAACAAGACTTTGGGCAACAGGCAATTTGCAAATGTAATTGGTTGGTAGAGAGCTTTGCATTTACATCCAAGGTGACGCTTTGGTTTGCAGCTTTTGCACTGTGGGCACCGTTTTGGCTAAACGAGGTTCTGATAATCCTTCATCGTTTCTTAGAAGGCCCCTTCCGCAGTCTTTTTGCAAACGGCCCTCGGATGCCCTATGCACTCTTGAACTTAAACACCACTGAATATGCACAGCGCACCATGACTTGTGTTTACGAAATGAAACCATGGTTGAAGCCAAAACGTTTGTCTGTATGTTCATTGGCAATTGGGAAATCACCTTAGGTGATGCGAGACTTGCAGATTTCGCAACCATCCACAGTAGCATTTGTGTCACGGCTGAGTTTTGAATAATAAATGGAGCAAATTCATCGAATGATTTCAACTTCACGAGGTATACCTGGGCCCGAAAGAAGTTCCAACTTACACAATGGGGTGAATTGCAACCCAACATCATGGTTGGTTAACCCCCTAGACTGCCAACTTAAGCATGGGCCCTTGCAACCCAAAGCCTAAAGTTCCGTCTTAAACATGGTTCATTGCAACCCAACATTATGGTTGGTGAATTCCGAAAAACAATCCAATTTAAACATGATTTATTGCAGCCAATTATTATGATTGGTGAATTCCCTCAAAGCTTCCAACTTAAAATTGGTTATTGCAACCCAACATTCTGGTTGGTGATTTCCCTTCTTTTTGTTTGCGGAGGTAGACATGTTCAATGATAATCCGGAGGCTCCTCTGCACAGGTGCCCAAAGACAACGGCTTGAAGTGCCACCCCATCAGCGGCTCGAGTCGCCTGAACTTCACCTTTCGCAAGTCCGCGGCTCCGGCGAAGTTTAGTGCTAACGATTTCCAGCGACAGACGCAGGTCCACCAACACTACAGAGGTTGGCCTTGAACATGTGTGTGTTTGTGTTCTACGCGACCCCCAACATGTTGGTGCACCTTGTGGTGTTCCTTAAAAGCCAAAAAAACAAAGCAAACAATGATTCGGGGAGACCAAGGTTTAAGGGAAAGTCCCGACCAGAAATAGGTGCACCCTCCCTTTGGATTCTTTACACCGTTTTGGGCAGACCACCTCAAATCCAGGGTTTCATTGGAGAAGCAATGTGTGAACATCTAGGGCAAATCTCACTTGGGGTTTCCTCCCTTGAAAGGCAAATTGTTGGGCTGACTAAGGCTTGCGGTAGCCTTTATCAGGTGTCCTAGGGCTTACTAAGGCAAGGGTTGCAGAGGCTTTTCGATAGGGGCCTCTTTCGGGGTGACCCCTGCATGATCTCAGGAAGGGTGTCCGCTTGTTTTGCTGCAAAGGCACCCTTTTGGAAGCAGGGCTTCCCGCCTTGACACAAGAAGACCACCCGAGGATCTGGATCTTGCTTGGATCACCAGTTCGGTGAATTTTCCCCAGTTCGAACGTCTCGCTCAGATGCAGGGTATATTCTTAGGGCAATTACTGGGTGTGGCTGTTTTGGAGGGTATCCAAAAGGAGAACCACACTTTCTTTCTTGTTTCATTAAAAAAAAAAAAAAATCTTGGGGGGGAGGGGGTCTCTTAAAACAAACAAACGAGAACAACGAGAAAACTGAAAAACAGTACTTGTAGAAATCCCAACCTCCCAAGAGGTCCAAAGAAATGACACCTCCGCTCGTATGCAACAAACATTTCATGGGACCAGGAGACGCCTCACAAGAACCTCGCAAGCCTCGCTTCCACTTGCAACAAGTTGAACTGCGCAAGGGTCAATAGCCATGTATGGTATATAAATATACAACGACCTGAAACGGGTTCCTAAAAAAGTAGAAACAAACTCAGATGATTTTCGGCCTCAAGATTGCTGGTAGTTTGTGGTCGGGCTCACTAAGCTACCCACATAACCCAGGCGACTCGCGAATGTCCCACTCGTAAATTTGGATGCGGCTCACCCATATTGGTATCAATTGCAGTTGGGGACCTTTTGGTGGACGTCATTAGGTGGTCTACGTCCAGCCACCAGCGCATTCCCTTGAAAATGGCGTATGGCCCCAAAATCATGATTGGTGAATTCCTTCTTGGTAGGTCTTTCAGGTCTATTACTGGGTGAAATCCTTTTTTAAAATCATGGCAGTTAAACCTTACCTCTTAAAAACACAACTTTTCAACTTTTTGGGTAACATGGGCTATATGTCTGTAAAAGATTAACTTCCCCAGGGCTTGGAGTTTTAAGGGGTAAGAAACCATTCAAACGCACGCTTCCAAATTCCAAAGCTTGGGTTTGTCTGCAAGGTGGGCTCAGTGGCTGCCCGCAAACCCTTCTGCCATTGCGGGCGCAAGGCGGACTTGAAACCTGCCCTGCGCTCAGATTCCACTCGGGTTAGAAATGCTACTCCTCACTTCCTGAGGTCCGGTTCGGACTTCAGCCACTTGGGTCTGGAACCAGTTTGGTGGTACTGTAGATGGACGAAATGTTGCACCACTTTGAAACCATGACAAACCAGTGATTGCTGCTATTTACAGTGGAATTATCACTCCAAGGTTTCTTGGGTGGTGCGAAATGGATTTTTGTCCATCCACAGTAGGTACCCCTCTGAAGTTGGAGTAAGGGAAGATACGTGTGTGTGTGTGTGTGTGTGTGTGTCTGTGTGTCTGTGTGTCTGTGTGTCTGTGTGTCTGTGTGTCTGTGTGTCTGTGTGTCTGTGTGTCTGTGTGTCTGTGTGTCTGTGTGTCTGTGTGTCTGTGTGTCTGTGTGTCTGTGTGTCTGTGTGTCTGTGTGTCTGTGTGTCTGTGTGTCTGTGTGTCTGTGTGTCTGTGTGTCTGTGTGTCTGTGTGTCTGTGTGTCTGTGTGTCTGTGTTTGTTAAGGGTATGCTGTTCAGGTTGAATGAAAGGGCACCTATTTGGGGTTCAAATCCTCCATTGGACACATACCCATATACGCCCGACTCTAAATTACCCCAGCTTGTTCTTGGGGGGCATGAAAAACCAATTTTAGGTGGTCAGACACTGTTTTGGTCAAGGGCTAATACAATACCATCTCGGAAAAGCGGGTATCTGGATCAGGTCATCCGGGTGATCGGATGGTTTTCCATGCGACACACAATTGACTGTTCCATCGGTTTTGCACGCATGTGGCGGTCAGGGTTCGACTGTTGAACATAAAGGGATCCCAACAGTGCAGTCCGCTATTTCCGACTAAGTAAGGAGGTGGTTAGTTAGGGCTGGTCCCCTTATTTGCACAGGAGGTCAAGCAATAGACGTCAATGTTTTCGGCCTGTCCGCACAACTGCACGCGCCATGTTATCATTGTTGTGAGCTGAGGGTACCCTGTTTGGGCTGTTTCAAAGGTAAGCCTAGTGGAACATGTCCATGCTGTCCAGCATACCACCAACAAGTCCAGGGCAAGTTTCAAAAGCAGGTTTGTGAAAAGAGCAACGGGTGAACAGAATTAGGAACACCTAAACCCACGTCTGTTGCCAGCGCAATGAGGTCCTCAAGGCTTCACGGAACCGCGGCCGCTACTTCTGGTCTTGCCGAAATCCCCGCGTCAAGATGCTTGGAGAATGGTTGGGCCTACCTTAAGGCGCTTCAGATTCCCAGCTGCTCAGGTCCCTTGGTTGTCAGGTCCTCCCCCCCAAAAGAGGGGACCCCCGAAAAAACAGACACCGAAGAAGCCTTGTTTGTCACCATTTGTATTGAGATTGGGGGGGGCTTCTTTCCCCTTTCTGGGCATTTGGTTGGATCTTTGGACAGGGCTCCTTAAAAGATGCATTTTGCCCATTTGAAACATGGCTTTTTCCACCAAAATAATGGAAACCACCATCTGCAAGGCAATGTTCAGGTGTATAATGTAAGGATCCCTGTTGGACTTTAACTCTTGGTTGAAGCCGGTCCTTGCTTTTCCGACTTGGACCCACAAGTGAAATACTGGTTGCAGAGAGGTCTCGCCAGCGGCTGCTCGCTGGTAGAAAGAGGGCCTAGGAACAGTCACTGACATGATCAATTAAAAGCGTTAACAGTTGGCACCTGAAGCCGGTGTCAAAGATGCCATATTTTGTTTGCGCAGTCGCAAATGGGGCGAAAGGACATGTGGGTACTTGGCCACTCCCCCCGCCCCGTTGGCTATTTTAGTATGTTGTTAATATGTGTACATATATATATATATATATACACATACACGTGTATATATATATATGTGCTTGTTTTGGCGAGGATACCCCTTGTGGAGTGGTTTCGACGGGAAGGCCAAGGGGGATAGGCGCATGATCCTCAGCCCAAGGCGTACGGAAAGGGTGGTATCTACATACAAACACCAGACAAGAAAATGCAAGAACTATGAGGGGCAACATGATTTCCATCTTACCCCTGTCGTCACTAAGACTAAAGTACTATGAGAGGCAACATTACTAGTTTACCCCTAACTATCATGACTAAGTTTCACAAGCCTATTCTATTTTTGTGTGGTCCTTAGATTACGTGGTTGGGACCGTTTGTTTGTTTGTCGCTTCAGGAAGGGCACCTACCGCACCTGCGACTTCTTCAAGTGGGATGACGAGCTGGTCCAAGCCCAGGACGATTCGCTTTCCGAGTCCCAGAACCTCTGCCTGGAGTCTCCGTGACCCTGCAAAATGGGTCCATAAGCCCTTTCTTTGGGAACAACTCGAATGACCCCTTTTTTCCTATGGCCTACTTGTCACCCACCTGCCTTCCTGCCTGAACGGCAAGGGTAGGTTTCCAAACAAAGTTGAAGCAATACGTGTGGATACCCCAATTGCCCGTAGAGGCAACCGCCTGGGCCCTTATAAGATTCCCTAAACAAATGGTGATTGCCCAACATTATGGAGCCAATTCCCCCTTTTTGATGGTAGCTTGAGGGTCCAAGCAGCCATTTTCCTTTCAGCTTTTCTCGGGTGGTTCCCTTAACTGTTGGTTACACTTGGATTGCACAATTGGCAATTTCAGGTTGGGAGTTTATGAATCTCTTGAGTTGTTTGGAATTGGTTCCCATTTGGATTCCCCTGGTCTCTTTCCTCAAAGATTGGGAGGGGAACCTTTGGCTTCTCGCAGTTGACGAAATTGGAGAACCAAAGGAACCACCAACCCTGAACAAAGACAAACCCATGTTTGGAGGGTCATGTAGACACCAGGAATGTACGGACCCCCTACAGTGGATGGCGCGAAGTCCATGGGTTCCCCAACCTCAACTTGGTGGCTCCCAGACATCCGGTTCCTTAGCCTTGTAGACTTTTCGTGTTTAGTGAGGGTTGCCATTTGACCCACTAAAAGTTATACTTTTAGCAGGGGATCTGAGGGCAGCCCAGTCAAAACCAAGAAACGTTATGCTCAAACGCTTACTACCGGTCCTCCGACAAGACGCTATTTGAGGGTTTTGAGGTGTCCCTAGAAGGGGCCGGAAGCGTCCATGAGCGTCTGGGTGCTGAAAATGCCATGGTTACATCAACCGTCGGATGACTCGTCCAGGAGAAGGCGCCATTGCCCAACGCCAACTCTCGCCTCGTGGAGGTCCCAGGCGCGTTGCGCCTGGGCAGTTTGGAGACTTGACCAGTTCCATGGTTGTTGGAAAGAAGGTACCATTTGAAGCGTCTTTGCCCTTATCATATGATGGAGGTAAAGGGTGGAAGTCTCAGGTTTAAGGTTGAACGTGGGCAAGACCTTTCTGAGTGGCCCGTCATTTCTCGTTGATTGGTCCAGACGAGGACCTTGGCTTCTCCATGATTCGCAGGGTTGATGAAACCCATGGAAGGGGATACAATTCCAGCGAATCGATCTGATCTGACCTGGTCGTGGTTGTCCATGTTGAGTGCCCCCCAGGTGATCACCTTCCGGTGTATTCCCAATAGTGGAGTTCTGTACTGAGAGCCAGCAAGATGTGCTGAGTGCCTAGTGACCCCTTGGCAACTTGAAGACTTGGAAGAACAACCTGGAGTGCTCGAGACCAGGGAAAAAGAATAAAAACAACAACATGGGGCCATGAAGCAAGGGGCCCTTTGTTTTGTGGCATATGACTATATATATATATATATATGTATGTATGTATAAGAATCCATGGGAAATTCTTTGGTCATGGAGACTTCAAGTATGCAATGGGGACATGACTTGTTCTCTGCTATGATCGCCGACAGCTTGCGGCTGCCTCATTCATTGCTTAAGGGTACCCTTTTCACCGCTCTAAAAACTAACAAGGAGGTCGCCTTATAGGCCGGGTTCCCCCATTTGGAGACACCTACCAATGTCTCACTTTCAGACTGTGTTCCCCTGGGAAGATGAAAAAATGCGAATTGGCGGGCGAGTGCGGACTTCTGGCAGGATCCAAAGTCAATTCGGCACTGGCGAGTATCCCCAGCAATACCTGACTTCCAAAATTTGTGAAAACAAAAGCCCTGCAAAATATTCAGCATATAGAGTAAACATAGCAAACTTTACTTTGTGGCATCAACATGCCACCACACCATTTGTCAACCAAGTGGAGCACCCCCTGCTGCTACAGCCTTGGAACCTACCAGGTTGCTAGCTACCCGCCTTCAATTGAGATAGCCAATACTTTTTTGACGGTTTCTCTGGTTGTAGGTTTCTCTGGTTTTCTTACTTGGCTTGCCTAAAACTGGGCTGTACCAAGCTCTGGGCTCCAGATACTGGTGGGTGAATTGTGGATTCAACTTTTGTCGAAGGGAGGCATGTGCCTCGGAACGACTTGTTTTGTTAGAACTATGCTCAAGAAAGGTTGCTTGCAGTTCCTGGATGACTGCCCCAAGGAAGTGGTTGATATTCTGGTGAGCCAATTGCTTTTCTTGGGTGGTCGGGGAAGCATTCACTTATTGGCGTGAGCCAATTGCTTTTCTTGGGCGTTCGGGGAAGCGTTCACACCTTCATGCAGGCTCTGATTCGACCCGGAAGGCCTCCAATTCATAATTCGCCCAACTGGGCTTTGCCGATGGGGCGATTTGGCCACTGGGTACCGAAGGGTTTGATAGCGAGCTCCTGGACTTCAAGTTCATATTTTGGGAAGACCATATTGTTGGCAAACAGTTTAGACGTGGCCAACGCACCAACGCACTCAGGAATTGAGTTCTAGTTGCATGTGTAGGGGTGCTGCATACTCTCAAGCGCCCTCTTAGCTCCCCAATGGGACAGCGTCCTGTGGTGGAGGAAAAAGCCGGAGCGCTCAACTCTTTTGGCATTGGCCGAAGGATGAGTTGGTTGTGGCGAGCTTGCCCAGGTCCCTTGCGGATCCAACTATTGTCTGGGCTGTTCAAAGGCAATCCGCAAGATCCTTACCTTGGGTCACGCAAGAGTGCCCCCTTTGTAGTGGCTTGACCTTCCGATAGGGATTATGGACTAGGATTGGCCAACACTCCATTTTGAACAGCCCAAAATTGTTGTATTTCCGGTTTTAGACTGATAGAATTTGCCGATGGAATGGATCTGGACACTTGTTTCACGAGCTTACATCAGGGCCGCGGCCGGGGGAATCCCCTTCTTTCCGGTTGGTGAATTCAGGAATCCATTTCGCACCACGTTGAAACCATGGGAAACCATTCGTTGGTATTTACAGGGGCAGCGTCATTTCCAAGGTTTTTTGGTGCAGGATTTCGTCCATCCGCGGTAGCATTATGGTTCAGATTCGAGTAATCAAACAGATTTCAGTAGAGGGTCTTCTGTCTTCCCAGTTTCTGGCTTTGTACCTTTTTGTTGGGAAGACCTTAGTGGCAAAGGAAGAGTGTGCACGCTTTGCGGCCAGAATGCGACTCGAGGAATATGGAGCACGCAACACTCTACACGGTGATTGCAGCTTGCTCTTTGGTTCTGAGATCTGACGAAGCAAGTTTTTAAGCTTTTCGGAATGGCTGTTTTCTCTGCCTCCCTAGCAAGCAATCTACTTTTCTGCAGCAATCTTAAACAAGAAAAGGGATCCCGAATTGGAGATTTGTCTAAAAGGATGGTGGTCTTGCTGGTGCTCATTAGGGAATGAGGGAATGAACCTGGGGATTTTCCTTAAAGGAAACCATTGGGGATGGTTTATAAGGGTCATTCCCTCATTCCCTTCTGAGCACCAGCAAGTATTGGGGGTTCCATGTTTATCAGAGGAGGCCTTTCCGATGGTCAAAGATCACGCGACGCCGACGGGGTGTGTCACGCCTCGCCGTTTTCAAGCGGACAACATATCACCGCCACAAAAGTAGCAGCTTGCACCAATGTTCCCAAGCCACATGGATGAACCTTATGGTCCCCCCGTAAATACCAACAGACAATGCTTTTCACCATGGTTTCTTAGGTGGTGCGACATGGATTTCGTGCATCCACGGTATTGCAGTCAAGCACCCACCCCAGAGAAGTTCCCATTCTGTGGATTTGCCCAAACGCCTTAACCAAGACTGTTAACCTCTTGCGTGACGCGTCAACCAAGTTGTTTTTTTGGGTTCCGGGCAGTCCGGTTCCCTTACAGTGCTGGTGCCGTGCCTGACCAGGCTTGCGACAGTTGTTTTCCGGATCCTATTGTTATGTCGACAAACCGATTCCCTTTTCTCCTCCGGGTGGTTTCAACATGAGACAATGCTGAATGGGTTCCCCTAAAAGGCGTCAAAGAAGACACCTAGAGTGCGCGATGTTTTGGAATCAAATGGATTTTTAGACTTTCTCAACATTAGATTCAACCACACTGTTATAATATCTAGTTATTAGATATTCTAGCAAAACCATTTGTTTGTGTAAGGGGGTCAGAGGAAGCCCCTCTTCAGCGGGTGTCCTTTTTGGCCTCCCGGGCCAAAGCGAGCCATGGGTGACCTTTTGCTGTCGGAGCGCCAGAGACTCAGTTGGAACTCTCAGGTGGCCCGCAGGCCCGTAGAGACTTTTTTCGAAAGAAATGGCTGGCCGTGGTGGTCAAAACCGTTTTGGGATCCCATTTTGGTTGGTAGGTGAATTCACCACCCATTTTTGAACCTATTTTAGTGGTTGGATTCAATCGGATGTTCACTGGGGGTACGATTTGGATTTTGACACATGGCCAAATGAGTTTGCCTGGACCCTCAAAATTCCATCGTAAAAATGGAGGGAAAGCACAACAACCCGAAACGATGGTTGGTGAGTTCCCACTTTTTTGGGGTAGTTTGAGGGTTCATGTTTTTTTGTTTTTGATTTGGTACCCCCCCCCCCCCCGTCTTTTTGTGGTTCTTCGAGGGAAAGCAAATTAAATGGACAGCCACCATTTGGGGGGGTCTACTGAAATGCACACCCAATATTAAACCTACAGCCGGTCAGACATCTTGGACAAGAAGAACCCAGCTGATCGTCCATTCCTTCAGGAGAGCGGAGTCACTTGGGGGGCAACCAAAGAAATATTTAGCAGGCTGACGCAACCGACGAATTGGGTTGCCACTGACCACCAACCAATGAAAAATATCTGTTCAAACCTGCCACAGGTCCAATTGCAGGGCCAGCTCCAGGGCCAGCCCTAGGGCCAGGTCCTGGGAATCCGTTTGCTGATGCCCCTGCGACAAGTCCTCGACTTTGGACACCCCACCAGGCCCCACCACTCCCTTCCTGAGTGGATGGGCCAAAACAGCCCAAACTGTTTCTTTGCCACCAACATGGTCTTCCCAAAAAGTGACTAAAGTCGATGAACTCAGAAAGATTAAAAAAAAAAAAAAATCAAAACCACGAAACACACCTAAGGAACCCAATCGATTTCTGGATGGCTGGGAACCACCAAGAGGGGCTGTCTTTGACATTCGGCGTGCATGGGTCCGACGGTCTCTCTTTTGGGTGGTTGCATATCACTTGGACCTATCCTGATTGATTAAACAAGTGCTGCAAGCACGCTAAAACAAAAGGCTGGACCAACCTTGCTTACCCTCCCTGCAATATTAAGGCAGCCCGCGTGCAAATGGAACTTAGTTTCCAGGATGGTTTCTGAGAGGAACAAGGGTCGTATCTTCTTTACTCAGGAACCCTTAGGGGAATCCGCCGACCCCTCCTGCTGTTAGCCACTCACACCGAGGAGGGGACTGGCGTGGTTTACAAAATATTGAACTGTAGCAATGGGGGAAACTCCTCACTTTCCTAAAATGTGCGGGTGGAACCCTGTGAAAAACCACGAGTGGACCTGACCCCTCAAACCCATAAACAAAAGTTTCATTCCACACAACTATTTTTCACGGCTTTGTGAATAGGATGTTGGGGCAAAAATCCATTGTTAGGGGAATGTTGAAGGGTCCGGTGGATTTCACCCACGACTTTGGCTTTCAACTTGCGCATTTGGAACTTGGAAGTTTGATATGTTCCAGTGGAGCTAATTTTGTAGGTATGGCCTAAAAGGAGCGGCTGCAGCCGAATCCTGTGGTTGTCAAATGCCCAACTCGGGCCCCTCAACCCCAATAGGGGAGGAAACAAAAATGGAACGCGCGCGCTGGGGGGTGGGGGGGGAATGAATTGTCTGGTTCCTGTGGAGGGCAAAATTGGAAGCCACCCCCCCCCCCCCCCGACGGCAAAAAAAAAGAACAACAGAACGAGGGGATTTGTCCTGGTTCTTGTGGAAGGTATATTGGACCCCCCCCGCAAAAACACAAACAGCATCAACAAAAAGAACAGGTTTCGAGGGCCGCACATGCCATCGAGGTCAGGTCTCCCTGCTGGATGAGCTTGCTGTGAGCTCCGGTGCCTCGACTTTCCCAATGGAGTTGCAAGTTGCGGGTCATCCAAAACCATAGACGTGATTATATAGGGTATTATAGAGTGATGTTTGGTGTGTCATGATTCAGCCTCTTGGAATCATGACCATGTCCCTCGGAGTTTTGCCCATGGCACGTTAATACTTACTAACATAGAACTTGACTGGGGGGAAGGTCCCGCAAGCTTCCTTTGACGGGACCTATGGCCCTCAGAGTCTTGAGCGTGGCACATATATCATAGCTGACAGTTTGTTTGCTAGTCTTGGTGTGGGGAGGACCTGGGGGAAACCCATGTCTTTCTCGCGAAAGTCACGGGTTCAGACAAGCCCAATTTTGTCATGTCATAGGAGAAACAAGCCACGACGTCCCTTCCCGTTCTTGGCAACTGTGTATTTCCAGTTTGTTTTGGGATCTGTTCATGTTTGGCGGCGGTAGTGCAACATATGCCGTCGCAGTTGCTAACGCACGGGTTGGTATTCGCTGGTCATATGGACCGAACCGAGGTGTACCCTCTGGTAGCGCCAAGGAGGAGCCGAACGCCTTCGAGGCGGGCGGTGAGTTTCCCTCAACCCTCCACAATTCTGGTTGGTGAATTTCATTTTGTTTTTAATGGGTGGCTTGAGGGTTCAGGTAGTGCTAACTGGAAGCACGGGGCACTAGCTCATATTTGCTGGGAGCCTTACAGTTGTGTCAAAAAGACCAGCCGCTGTTGGATAGAGAATCGACTCAGATCTCAGCGATTCCATTCGCCTTGCCAGACGTTTCACAAGCACTGGCAGACGGTGCGAGCTCGACATGGTCAGCGGGAGGCACTGGTCATTTTTTCCGAGGGCGTGCCGGGAAGCGATTTGAGCCACAATCAGACCCCGTGTAGATGAGGGCAAGAGACAGTCCCAGCCAGAAATAGGTTCGGATATCGGCCCTTTTAACTCTTTATTGTTCCCAGACGCTGACATTTCGAACGGGAGGGGAGGGGTCCACCCCTCTGAACGGGACACCTGAAGTAGCTTCTTGTTGAACGGGCTTTGCCGTCGTGCGCCTCTGGGTGTTGGTCCAGACCCCTGACCAGCACCAGGTTTCGATTCTGACTCATTTAGGGCTTCGTTACCCTCCGATGGAATCGCACAGAAGCCCCCCTTTCAAATACAGAAAACTGTCAATTTCAAGAGGGGTCTGTGCTCCAAACCATGTTGGGGTGGGAGGCTATTTCCGGCCTTAGGGGGAATTCCTCTACTACTTGTGGAGGGGTTCGTTCCATTGGTTCCATGTTGATTCGCAGGGTTGCGAGGAACTTCCTTTCCACTTTCAACCCAAACCAATCCACCGACCTTTCCACATATTCCACTTGGCGTCCTTTCGACGGGACGTCGGTCAAAAACAGCTACCGTTGCTCCCGACGATTCCACGGAAGCTTCAATGACTTTCCAGGGGACCCCGGCCTCAATGGGTTCTAATCAACGAGTTCTAGAACCCAGTGGATCCATTTGCCAGTATAGGTAACCTGGGGAACTGAGACCACCCTAAAAATACCAAAAGGGAACTAGCTGGTCACCCACTATATGGGAACCCGACTGACGGTGTTGTTTGACAACCGAGCATTCCCAATTTACCACACCCAGTTTGTTTTTCTCGGGCCGTTTTTCTTGGTCGATATCCCGTACCCCAGCGGTGAATCTCCCTCTAGTCATTGAGTCTAGTGGGTGAACTGGGGTTTGCCTTTCTACCCACTTTGGGGACTTACCCAAAGATCTAGGAACCACTTACCTGACGCCTTTTTACGACGAGAACCCCGGCCACTCCGCGTGTAAAAACAAAAAATCCCGCGGAGCCTGGCCCACTCGACCCGCGGAGTCCGAGCCCATCGCAGGGCTCGAAGAGACGGGGCCGCTGGCAATGGACCCACGAGTTGCGAGTCGCACGGCTCGGGGTTCGCTTTTTGACCTCCTCACTTCCTGAGTTGGTGGACTTTAGTCACTTTTTGGGTTTGGACCAGTTTAGTGGTAAATAAAAAGCTCATATATTTTTTTGGCCAGTCAACTTGGGAAGTGAGCCTCCATTCTTTTCACTGGATCGGAGTTGCCACACAAGTAGCCTGTTCAGCGGGTTTGTGGACATATCTCACACTTTTAGCGAGGGATCAACGAAGGGCCAAGTATCAATGTAGTAGGGAATCAGATCGTGTAAAACCTGGAGAACCTTCAGAAAACCGTGTTGCATCGTGTTGCCTTTAGTACCTGGAAGCACTGGGCCCTGTACAATGGAAGCGGACAGCCGCTTCAAAGAGGCCACTCGTCGTGCAACAAAATCCTGTCGGCTTCCATTTGAAGGAGATTAGACTGAGGAAAAGGTCTCCAGGAACCGTCAGTGAAGAGACTTGTGAGCCCAAGGGGAGTGAGAGCGACCCTGTCAGCAGCAGCGTGTGGAGAGTGTGCACCTGGAGTCGCCATGACCCTTTAAAAATGGGTCCATGACCCCTTTATTTTGGGTAATGACCCCATTTGTTTAAGGGTCATGGAGACTCCAGGCAAGTGCCTACCGGGTCTGAGGGTGACTTGAAAGCGCCCGAGTGTCGAGTGCCGCTTCCTTGCTGGCAATTCTTCTGGACATTGGGATTCGGTTTGTTGGTGTGACCGAGGGGCCGTTTGGAAATACAATACATGTTTTTTTCTTTCAACCTGCCAAAGGTGATGGACCTGTTGCTCAGGGGGAAGAGAAAGCCCTACCCTGCAGGCTTTCCTCCATTGACCCCTGGGTTGGTTGAGTCTCCTTAAGGGTCCGGCTTCCCATACCACAGCCCAGTTTTGCCCCTTGCTGTCCACGCCTATTTGGGTGCCCAAACTCCATCGATCGGAGCCTTAGATGGGTTCAGTCCAAAGCGAAAAAGGCAAGGTGTCCTTATACCTCCCAAGAACAATCCACATCTCGATCAAAGGAGACCTGGCAAAGCCTTGCATGGTCTTGGATTGGTCTCCTTGTGGCGAGTGCCACTCGCAGTGTTCCCCCGGCGCTTTCTAATTGTTTGACTCGAGCTTGTTGGAGAAACAGGGTTCGGATCGAACGCCTCCAGAGGACTGCTCAGTGTTTCGGTCCTGGACTTTCTGCACGGGAAGACCTATTTGGTGGGATGCACACAAATAGTCACCTGGACCCCTTTTGGTTTTAGTGTTTGCCCACAAAATGTTGGGGTGAATTCCCTGTTTTATGGGTACGCAAATAGCTTGAGGGTCCAGGGACATGTTTTGGCCGATCCACTCAGGAAGTGAGAGAATCATGTGTAGTATCCGAAAGGAGCCCAGCCAGTCATTCAACTCCTCCGTGAGTTTGGGTCGCAGCGCCAGGATTTACCGGGTCCAGGAGATTTGCAACTCTGCCTGCGAGGAGTAGGGAGCTTGGAGTGATCAGGCCAGCAATATCTCACTTGCCCAAAGCCGACCTTTTGATCTTTTGGTTTCCCCTTTTGGTCCATTTTTAGTAAAGGTCCCAAAAGGTTAACCTTTTATTTCTGGGTCCTTTGGGCAACTGAGATATATGTCCACCTAGGTGATTGAGGATTTTGGTTGACCCAATAACAGGGTCCCTACATTTCCCTCCCGTTTAAACATCGCCTGGGTCTTGGTGGGGGGATGACGCTTAAGACCAACAGTCAATGCAAGGGTCCGATGGATGGATTAAGTTATTTGTTCTTCTTTTCTTTTTTTTTTTGGGGGGGGGAATCAAATGGGCGCTTTTTGCGACCCCATCCGCTCAAGTCAGGGGTGTTCCATGGTTTTCCCGGTTCGGAAAATTACAAGCCCCCCGCCGCGTCACTATGGCTCAAGTATTCGGTTGATTAGTGTCTCCATTTGCGATCAGTTCATCCATGAAGCCTTAAGCCTTATGTGGTTTTACTTTGCCTAGCTGAACAGTCAATTCAGTCGCCTATTTGTTGTCCCTATAAAGAACTCTTGAAGGCATCCACGCAATGCTCGCGGCAATTTGTTGATTAGAAGCTTTTGGGGGATCAACGACTTAATACAGCCCACACATTTTGTCCAGGCATGCAGCTGCGATCCACAGTTATGGAATGCAAGACAACGTACCCATTCTGACCGAACAACTCCCACAAAATTCTGCACATCTCCCGCACAAACCCACAAACTCTCCCGCAAGTCTGAACATGTCGTAGTTGTCTTAAGGCCTGTGCATTGACTTTGCAAGGCCAGAGAGCGGCTGGAAGCGCATAATATGTGTTTTTGGCCACATTGTAGCCAAACTAGATTTTGCTAAATTGTAGGGGTCCCCTACAACTCCCCCTCATTTCGCGGAGTTTGAAGGTTCAGGTTGGGTGTTTCCTGCATTTGTCCAAAACAAACACCCTGAACACAGATCAAGTTTGGGGGCTGCCTGTCGAACCAGGAAATTGCCAAAGCTGCTTCTTGGTGGAATCGCGTTGAACTTAACGCTAAGATCACTGACAACTGTCCACCAATTCAAGGGGTTCGAGAAGGGATGTACTTCAGGGAACTCACAAGACATCTGGCCCATGAGGGCCCTTGTTAGTAAATCGCGCCCCAAATAGTCCATCACAAGATGTTGTTTTTCTCTGGAGGGACGTTGTTGGGTTTTTTGAGGGGCTTCAAAGTCAATGACCAAGTACCAACCAAAAAGGGCGTATTTAATCAATCAACGACCCCGGACCTCCGGTGGTGCCTGAATTTTACTCTTTGTCCTCCATTTGCTTAAGAATATTTTGTTTTTCCCTTGTTGGTGTTAACAGGAATTCATCACTACTGGAAATATGTTTATTTTTTCCTGGGGCTTCGTTTGAAATCAACTATACAACAAACATGTGCCCCTTTGTTTTTCGTGGACACTGGGGGTCGAGCCAACGTAGTCCGAACAGCAAGTTGTTAGTCTGAATGTGGGGGTCAACCGCCATGGGTCGACGGGGTTCGCATCATGCGTGTCCTTCTTAGTATGATTAGACATACGAGGGTTTAGAGTTGTGTTTTACGGTATGTCTAACTACCCCCTAGCCAACTACCCCCCCCCCCATGTTAATTTGACTGGGGCTAAAATAAGACCCAACTCGGACCTTGCCAACTACCAGAGAAGCCGTCTACCAGAGCAGGGCTCCTTAAAATATCTCCATTTTGCCACCATTTGAAACATGTTGCTTCTTCCACACCAAAATAAAGTTAGACACCACCAGAAAACAAGTTGCAATGTTAAGGTGTATTCACTGCATCAGGATCCCTGTAAAGTCTACCTTGTGGTAGTCGAAAAACGGATCCCTGCAGATCTAGAGAAGCCTATGCGATGTTTTCTCCTTCAAACGGTCCGTGGGGAGTTTCTGCCTTTGAGTCTTCGAGCCTAGGCTGGACGCGGTGCTTGAGCAGCTCTCGGAGCTAGATCGGCAGCGCTGTGAGGCTTTCGGCGCTTTCGTGTGGCGTGGGGCCGTGGGGCCGGGGGGCCGTGGGGCCGGGGCCTGCTTCAGGTTACGAGTCGGTGGGTTGGAGTGGAAACTGAAAGACTTGAACCGGAAACTGGGGTTTGAAGTTTTGGTTCTTGAGGGTCAGGGGGAGAATGTGAAGCGAACGCTGCTTGATGTTTGAAGGGTCAGGTTGATGTTCGAGCCACAGCGCTGCTCTCCCAACCGCCCGAGAGCGCTAAAGAGACACCGCTCCGAACCAGCAGGCCCATGGCATGCTTGGACCGCCGTTCTGCGGGCCATGGGTACAACACTGAGCCGTCATAGGGAAGAAAAATCCCAAAGTTGTTGTGTTTCTTTCCCCCTGCACCACCGAAGAAGCCATGGTTCCTGGATCTTCGTTTGGCAGGTTTTTTTCTGTTCCCACCCGGTCCCACCCCCAGACGGATGCTTTTCAGCAAAACGGCCATGTTCTTGGAAACGCACGCTTTTTTGGAAGCGAGTGTTTTTGTTGGGACCCTGTGCACACAGGTGTGAAACAGCGAGATTCCGGCCAAGCAAGTAGGCCGCAATTTTCTGCACAAGGACGCAACTTCGCGCAAACGGGCGCAATTTCAAGATTCGTACTTTTTAGCTGTCCCTCTTCCGTTCTGTATTGATGAAAGCGAACACTTTTTGAGCAAACGGCATGGTTTTCACGAAAACGGACGGATTTCATTCCGAGCAGAAAAAGCGCAGTTGGAAGATCCAGGTTGAATCAGGTGTTTCTTGCGTATTTGCCGGGTTTCTGAACGGTGGTGCGAAATGGCTCTCGCAACCATCCGCAGAAGGTGGGATTCACAGGGGAGTGTGGGGCTCAGTGTTTGGCTTGGGCCAGAGTCGACGTGCTTGGACGGATCAGTTAAGCCAAGGGGACTTCTCTGGGAAGAATAGGCCCACTCACCCTCCCTCATCCAAGTAGGGCCACTGAGGGTTCCCTTGATTTTCCGGTTCGGTTTCAAGACATCACCACCAAGGGGCCTGGTGTGAGAGAATCAGAGGGGAAATGGGAACCCCATAGATAGGAACGCGCCGCGGGAGCCTCGGCGCAAAAAAACAACTCGGCTCTTGGTTTAAAACATCACCAATGTAGGGAACCCCATAGAGACATCCAATAGAAAACTGTTCCACGGATCCCTCCTGCGCGGAACGCGCCGCGCAAAATTTGCCTCGGCCTCGGCCAGGTGCTGCGGAAGACCACGGCGCTGCACGAGGAGTGCGAGCACATGGTCCAGGACCAGGAGCGCCTGGCGGCCGACGCCCAGGCGAAGCGGGGTCGTGGACGGGGCGAAGCGAGAAAAAATCTGTTCGGCAGGGGTCGTGGACGGGTCGTGGGCATTTTACGCGGGTTGGCCACATATTTGTTGACCTGTTGGACCATTTCTAGGTCCCCCAGTAGTGCCCTTTCTCACCCCTCTTTTGGGGGAGGGTTCCCCTACTAAAATAGACTACAGAAAAAAGGGTACCCTTATTCTAGCCTCTCTACTGGAGGACCTAGTGGCGCTTTTCCCATTTCGGGCAAGGCCCAGCATGTTTGGCCTTAGGGATCCTCAAATTCTTTCTGGAGCACCGGGCAGTAGTCGTGAGCCTTTCAAAGGAGGATTTCCCATGTGCTTGTCTAAGGGTCATGTCCCCTCCATGCAGACCCCATAAGGGGCCCTCCAATGAAGAACCCCTCAAAATCCCTCGAAAACAGCCAGTGTTGAGGTCCCCAACAACCATCAGGACCCTTAGAACTTTTGGTTTTCCAAGTGTCGACCATTTTAGTCAAGGTCCCAATAGGTTAAGCTTTTATCTCCTGGTCAAGTGAGTCTTATCAGCGATGCTTTTATCTCCCGGTCAAGCGAGTCCAAATGCATCAATGGAGAACCATGCCCTAGCGGACAGGACAGTCCTTGAAAGTAAATGGACAATAAGATGAGCAAGGGTTATCCACTCTTCGGGTTTCTGGACTTGTACTTTTTGGGAGCCACTTCTCCTCGGCTCATGACATCATGAGCCGAAGTTTGGCGGTCGACAACCGTTTGTGTATATCGTGGCTTTTTGCAAGTTCAGGTTTCCTCACCCAAAGAACCTGGAAACAAAACAGGTATCCATTTGGGCCGCCACGAACACAAAATCGTGCGGGACAAATGGGGACACCAAAGGTGACCTGGAATCCCGAATTTCCCTTACAAATGGCTTATTGCCCCAAATGTATGGGGTGCATTCCCTTTTTCATGTATTTCTTTCGGATCCTGGGACTCGCTTGGTAGAAATGAATGTGGGGCGAAATGGTTGGACATTCCTTTCACAAACCGGCCCTTCGGCCAGTGCGTCCCATTCAAGGTGGGCTTGCTCGCAGTCTAAACCTTCTTGGACGCTCATGGACCCTTGCTCGACCCCTCTTAGTATGCTCAATGCCTTCTGTTTGGAGGCCCGGGCCAAACTGCCCCGGTGGATCCATTGGCCTCCGTAACCAGGGGCTTGCCAGGACAACAGCTAGGGCAACTGGGATCCGTCGGGTGCCAGTGGACTGGAAAGCTCGAAAAGTGTTGGTCCGTTCTTGTCGGTTTGCCTTGATTTTTTGCCAACATTTGAGGGTTACACTTGTTGAAGATGTTGTAAGTCCTTGAAACCTGTGTTTTTCGGAGTTTGAAACATATGAAAATTGGTCTTCCAGCTTTCGGGTGACCCCCCACCCTACACCACCAAGTTCCCGCCCCTTTGGCCAAGTTTGGCACAAGAGCGCAGGGTTCCTAAAGGGAACCCAAAGCAGAATTGTTTCATCAATCATCGTCCTGGACTCTCAAACTGCCCTTCAAAAAGGAAGCTCGCCAACCACATGTTGTGGGCAGTGCCCCATTTTTCGAAGGGAATCTTAAGACTCCCAGTAGTGCTGTAGATGTTGTTGGAAGCATGTTTGAACAAGGGCTTGGCCGAAGCCTGCTGGCTTAGCCCTTAAGCCTTTCGGGGGGGGGGGGCTTTGTGGGGAGTTGTTTGCAGGCGTTCCATGTCGCTCTGCAGAATAGGAATCCCTTTAGAGGCGTGTTTGTTGGCGGCGGGGTTGGGGGGAGGTGGTACTTGGATGACCACGCGGCAGGGAAAGTGGTGACTATCCCCCAGTCAGTATGTCCCATGTAGGAGAGAAAACTCACGCCAGGGACCAAGGAACCACTACCCCCTATACTTTGTTTCTTTAATCCTATACTTGGTTTTCAACACAACCCCCTTCTAATTATCTACCTGTCCATGACCCTTATGAAGTGGGTATTATGACCCCGTTCTTTTGAGTAACGATCCCATTTTCGAAGGGTCGGAAGGAGGAGGTCAGGGCATCACCTGCTACATTCCAAAAACAAAAAAGATGTAGGTGCCCCACACAGTACGCAGGTATCCGTCGTTCCAATTCTCACTCCCCTATCGAACCAGCAAGTAGCGGTGCGGTTGAAACAACCTCCCAGACCCCCAAACTCCCACCACAAGGCCCTGGGTGAGCGCCTGGACTTCTTCGACCGTGTGGCGGACGTGGCGTGCGGGACCCGGTTTTGCCCAGTGCGTCGTCGCGGCCAAAGCGCGGCTCGTTGGAACCAAAAAAAACGCGGTCCCACAATCTCACTTCCTGAGTTCATGAACTTTAGACTTTTTGGGAAGACCATTGTAGTGGTAAATATAAAGTTTGGACTTTGTTTGGGCCATCCACTCAGCCAGGGAGTTATGGACCCTTCCAATCCCGCTTGACGCATCAAATGGCAGTAGTGAGTCGTAAGGGTCATGACAGTCATGACCCCTCCACTGCAGACCCGGCCCTCCAATGCAGAACCGCCGCAACCCCTTAGGGACTCAACCAGTTTTGAGGGCCCAGAAACAATCGGGACCCTCAGGCTTGATTGTTGTTGCGGAGGGGGAGACTGGGCAATTGGTGTCCGGTGTTCCACGCTTTGGTCTTGGCCTACTATACCGCCTTTCTCGGTTGCAACCAAAGGGGTGGCAAAAAGAAGGGACCCCCGAAATACTTCCAATACGCCTGCAAAAGGCAGGGTGAAGGGGCACGGTGTGTAAGTCCTGGACGACACCGGTAGTGTTGCCATGTACAAAATGTGAATCAACACGGATACCATGGCGAGCCCAGGCGCATGTCAAACCAACGGATCCCAGACTCGGCAACAAGCCAATGTTAGTTGGGTTTGAATGGTAGTTAGGGGGCCCTTTGATGGACATCATCTAGGTGAGATTCGTGTCCAACAACTTTTCCAACAGCTTTTGAGGTGCCCTCTTAAACTAAACCAGAATGGGAAATGGCGCCAAGGGAATCCCCCCATATCCCCGCTCCTTCCGTATCCCCGCTTGTTCGTTTGTCCACTGAAAAAAACAACCATGAGGTGGTTAGTGTTTGGGCGGCGCCGAGGGCGCCGAGGGGCCAGTCGTGCGCTTATGCAGCCCAGGTGCATGCTAGATCACCAATCAGCCAACGGTCTGCTGGCCGGCAACCTCAGAAAGCTGAGCGCTTGCAGTGCCACAGATGTGGCCCCCTACCAGGCTTGGCTTTTTCAGGGTTTCTTCAAGCTGAAACAATCTGGACGCTGAATTTGAACCAGGTGCCTGAATTTTCAGCACCAATTTTAGTTCAATGACCAAGTCGCCCAGCCCTGCCTTCTGCTCCATTCGGCGTTCGCAAGGCGTTGACTTCGACTGGGGGGGGGGTTCGGGTTGGGGAATCCACTGAGACGCCAGCCGGGCCCTTCGAACGGGGATCGAGCCCTCAAGAAGGCACCCAATACATTTCGGGGCCTGAAATGGCTTCTTTTTGGAGCGGACAGGCGTCAGTCGTGAGCCTGGGGACATGTGAGGTCAAAAGACTGGTTCCTTTGTTTGGGTCCGGTTCATTGCGATCATTCGCCTGGCCAGGTAAGGATCCACCAATGCGATGGTTCCTATGAAGAAACTAGAGAGAGCCACGACACAAAAATCGGCAACAAAAGAACGAACCGAGTGTTTTTGACCACGTCACATACGAACTTGGGGCATGGGCCACAAATACGTTGGGGTCCTATGGGTCTGTCGTTTGGAGGTCACCCGTTTCAAAGGGCACTAAACATACAGAGACAAGCTCATCCCCTCTTTGTGGTTTAATTATCAGCTTTTTGGGCCGCTGGTGATTGCTTTAAGAGGGCAACTAAGGAAACACAATCGACCAGCGACAGCAGAAACAAAAAGCTTTTGCTGGGAAGCCGGAACCAATTGGCCCAGATTCAAAAGCTGCCTGAAAAGGAGAGTTGCTTTCCTTTGACTACAAGGGGTACCCCCTTTTAGAGGAACAGCCCGGGTTGCAGTTTGAGGCATGCCTATGGTAAATGTCAGATGGAGATATGACAATTTTGCATGTCTACTGTAGGGGTAGTTGGAGGGTCCAGGCCACCTTTCAAGATCACACAGAAGTAGATTCATGGCGAGGTTGAAACCACCGAGAAAAGGAAATATAAGGACGCCAGCGCTCTGAACCATGTTTTGGAGTTGAGGGTACCCTGCCCAACATGAATGACACCTGACTGGGGTGAGGAAAACATATTTCTCAAAAGGAGCTTCTAGGTTCTTCCGTGGTAGCTGGTGTGAGGGTTTTAACTTGCAGGCATAGAAGACAAGAAGAGGACTATCAAATCTAATATCCAGTTACATTGGCATTTCTCATATTGGGCGTGCCAAGCCCCTGTCTCGGACCTGCCTTTTGCGGGGAAGCTCGGCCAACGGTGGCTCCGAGCGTTCCTGCATTTTGGCATCCCAAAGCAGGGCCAACCTTGGATTACAGGTTCCGGAAAACTGTGCACCTCAACTATGCTACGGACACCAGCCCATGTTTGCACCTCGAGGGCTCCCGAGTAAAACTGACACCAACTAGGCACCTGGACCCTTAAGCTAGCTCTGCAAAGGGAATTCGCCAGCCAGAATTTTGGGGTTGCAATACCCAATGTTCTAGTTGGCAAACTACCCATACATAAGGAAATTCACCAACCATCATGGGGGGCAATACCCATTTTGTTTGGTAGGAATCGTGTGGGTGGCAACAAAGGAATCTCAACTCGATGAGCATCGCCCGAGAAGAGACTCAGAACTCAGGCTGGCACCGGCGGCACGTGGGGAGCTGAGATCAAGAGTTGCCAGACGTTAGCCATTTGCAAGCAAAGGGACCTCAGGACAAGGCTTGATTGACCCTTTTGCCATCTGCTTTCGTGGGTTTCCTCATGTCTTTGTTTTTTGGCGCAGGAAAGAGTCAAGTCTGAGTCTCAAGAAGATGTTTGTCATTTTATATGTCCGATTGCTGAAATCCAACCTTTTTTGTGGTTGCCTGGAGCCTCCACGACCCGTCAAGAATCCATGACCCTTTTATTTTGGGTAATGACCACCCATTTTTCTGGGGCTCATGGAGACGCCGCGTTCTTTTTCGGGTTCGAGTAGCCCCCCCTCTCAACAGGAGTGCCGGGAGCGATTTCCAAGGCCTGGCAACCACTCAGAGTTTGCCTCGGCACGGGTCTCGAACTGGACTCGTCGAAAGGCCTTTCGCCGGACTGGACCTTCCTGGACCCACTTCCAACAGAGAAATGGGTGGCAAATTGCAACCCACACTTGTGGAATTGGTGAATTCTCGAAGCTTTTTTGGTTGCAGTTTGCAACCCAATCTTGTGAAATTGGCTGTTGCAACCCAATCTTGTGGGGTGAGAGTCATGTTTTTATGGGTCGTTTGAGGGTCTAGGTAGATGCTTGGCTCTTTTTTGGTCGGGTGAGCTCCAAGTTATTCGGGGAGTTGCCTGGAGGAAAATCGCCTCCGGGATCCTCCCCCAATCTGAAGGTGGTGATGCTGTTACCCCCTTCTTTGTAAGGGATTCGGTTTTCGGTTGTGTGTGTGTGTGTTGTTGTTGTTGTTGTTGTTTTCTTGCGGGCTTGAAGGGAAGCCAAAGGAAAAACAACTTTGTTTCGGAGGGGGGGAAGTGCAATTCCAAGCTTGGCGTATGAATCCCCAAGCGTCTCTGCTTCAACCCTATCTCAACCCGGGGAATAGTTGTGACTGTTCAGGCGTGTGTGTGTGTGTGTGTGTGTGTGTGTGTGTGTGTGTGTGTGTGTGTGTGTGTGTGTGTGTGTATGTGTTCAAGGTCAGATTGTTTTTTTTGTTTTTTTTTGGGGGGGGGTTGTTTCTGTTTGGGTGTTGTTTTGTTTGCTTGTTTGTTTGTTTGTTCGATGGTGCGTTTGTTCGTTTGTTTTTTGTTTGTTGGTTTGCCTGTTTGCCTGTTTGCTTGTTTGCTTGTTTGCTTGTTTGCTTGCTTGCTTGCTTGCTTGCTTGATTGCTTGATTGTTTGTTTGTTTGTTTGTTTTTTTGCTTGCTTGTTTGTTTGTTTGTTTGTCTGTCTGTTTGTCTGTCTGTCTGTCTGTTTGTATGTCTGTTTGCCTGCCTGTTTGTCTGCCTGCCTGTTTGTCGGTCTGTCTGTCTGTCTCTTTCTTTGTTTATGACTATCTTTGTTTATTGATGTGTTTGTTTGTGTCTTTCTTTCATGTTATTTATTTATTTCTTTATTTATTTATTTATGTTGGTATTTATTTCTTTATTTATTTCTTTTTTATTTCTTTATTTATGTATTTCTTTATATATTTATTTATGTTTTTATTTCTTTATTTATGTTGTTTTTTTTCTTTATTTTTGTTCCTTTCTTTATTTCTTTCTTTATTTCTTTCTTTGCTTTGTTTCATATGATTGTTTGCTTGCTCGTTTGTTTGTGTGTTTGTTTGTTTGTTTGTTTGTTTGTTTGTTCTTTTGGTTTGCTTCGTTTGTTTTCCTCTCTGTGTTGCCGATTTGTGCAGGCGAACTAGGTGAAGGGAACCCCTCCTAATGGGGGGGGGGGGTGTCAACAAATGAAGGATTCCCAGAAGGGGACACCCGTCCACAAAATCCAACCAAGAGTTTCTCAAATCTCTCTTGCCCAAAGCAATTCGACCTGATCTGACCTTCTGGTTTTGCCATTTTGCTTCTCATGTCTAGAGTGATCGCCGTGTATTTCTGGGTCCCAGCCAGGGCAACTGAGTAATGATCTTCTTAATGCGGGGCTTTCCAGCTCACAATCCGAAGTCCTGCCATGGTCCAACTCCGAAGTCCTCCTGCCATGCACGTTGGGGATGAGTTGCTTCAAACCGTGGCCTCCACTCCGGTTTATCAATTTGGCAAAAGTGTCTCCTCAATTGACATGAGGAATCAAAGTTGCAAGCATAAGATAAAGCTTATCAATCGAACATAGTTGAAGAATGATTGGTCTGGCCGAATCGCTACACTCCGAAACCGGAAGTCGAGGAACCCCTAAAAGACAGACCAGTGAGCTCGTCTTGCCCCGCGAAAACCAGAGCAGAAAAGAAAGCTTCAGCGCATTGGAGTTGGTGAGAAATCAAGTTGGTTGCCTTTTTGTCATTTCTTTGTTTCCTTTTTGAACAGCAAATTGATGGTAGCTATTTCAACTCTTTGCCTCTTTGTTTGTTCTTCGATTTTGTGTAGCCAGAGAGTCAACCCTTTGGTGTGCATTGGTGGGAAAAGGGAGGTTGAACCCAGCTCCCTTTTAAGCCAAAAGATGGTTGTTTCGAAACCCCCACTTATCTGCTAAAATTTAAACAGTTGCTCCCTTCCAACGTCAACCAAGAACAGAGGAAGGTAGTTTATTTGGTTTCCAAACCCAACCAAACCTCCAAATAGGGCACATGAGTCTTCACGACCCTTTAGTGAGTCCACCCCTTTATTTGTGGTAATGACCAACCAGTTGTTAAGGGTCAGGTTTGGATGGTGGGATCACAGCCCATATCCTAAACACTTTTCACCCACAATGCCCTGAAGTCGGTGGTGGACATGGATTTCGCCACCATCCACAGTAGGGGTCAGGTGATTTTAGGCAGCGGGTCTTCTTGCCACCTTTTGTGAGAAAAGTGGCGACCCCCTTAAAAAGGAATTCTTCACTACGAGGGGGTCGATCGATTGTCCACAAGAGGTGGCAAGAGAAGACCCCCCTGATTTCCTCCACCAACAAACATAGCACTGGTGGAAGGGTACCTAGCAAATCAGTTTCCTCTCAAAGGCATCCCCTGTGAGGTGCTATGTTGGTGGAAGGCTGGGTAAGGTGATTTTAGGCCTACTTCGTACGAGGTCCTGGACCAGATCGATGGCTCCATCACCTTTCTAGAGGCGCGGAGCCCGCAAAAATCCCATTGTTTCACGGATCTTTTACGCTAGGTCCCCCAGTAGTGCCCTCTTACCGTTTCTTTTTTGGGGGAGGCTTCCCCTAAAATAGACTACGGAAAAAAGGAAACACTTATTGTAACCTCTCTACTGCAGGACCTTAACTGGGCTGCACAGGGCAGCTTTCCAAGACATGGGCCTCAGCTTACCTTGAAGGAAAAAGCAACTTGTTTCGACTCTTTTCCCCCGAAGAACAGACTGCCTGGAGTCTCCTTCTCACACCGAAAAAAATGGGTGGTCATTGCCCAACGTAAAGTGGTTATGGACTTTTTGAGGGTGATGGAGACTCCAGGTGCAAAAGAAAGGATTGGGTGTTTTTTTCCGTCTGGGTGGTGGGTGGCATTGGTTTGTAAAGGGTAACTGTGAAACCACCCCTCCAAGCCAAACCGGCAAGGGGGAAGCTGGTTTCTCTCTTGTGGATCCTCAAAGGCGCCACGGGTGGATTTCCCTCTCGAGCCCTCAACCGAGCAGCCGTTTTAGTGGCGAGCAAAAGGCTTGGTAGTTTTTCCACTCAGGAAGTGAGCAGCTGGAGGCTGATGCCATGGGTGGCTAAACTTAATTCACCTATCACCTTGTGGCCTGGTCAATGTGAGTTTCTCTTGGTGGGTGTGTGGGTTTTTTGGGAAATACAGGAAACCCCTGACGCTTGGATTGATTCATGCGGTCCAGTGCATCTCAACGCCCGAAATGCCGTAAATGGGGGGGGCGCCTGCATGAGTCGCAGGCGCATCCGGACTTCTGCGCCCGCCTCAGGTATCAAGCACCCCCTCAAAAATGGCATTAGGGGTAGGGGAGTGACCCCTGAGATTCCGTGTATGGCTCCATCTGAGTTTTCCCTTTGATGCAAATGCTAGATATAAATATAAGTGGAGGAGAGACCCAGTAGGGATTGACCGTTTTGCAGGACATGCAAGATATAGTGCCTGGAGTCTCCATGACCCTCAAAAAATGAGGTCATTACCCAAAATCATGGGGTCATTGACCCATTTTAAAGGGTGATGGAGACTCCAGGTGGAATTGGGGGCACCCCCGGCAGGGGGGGGAACACGTTGCCATGTTGCTCATTGTTGGGTTTGCGTCACGGGCAGTGTCAGCCTCAGCACGTGAGCCGACCTCTGAGGGTGGCTTGGTTGGACACGTTGCGTGTATCACCAGCAATCACAACACGTTCCTTCTAGGGTTGATTGAACCTTTTCAATCCTTTTCAACCACCTGGACCCTCAGAACGTGCTTAGGCACGGGGAACCCAAAATTACGGTTGGTGAAATCCCTTCTTTATGGGTAGTTCTTTTTCGGTCCAGGCAGCTTTGAATCAGCTCTTCTAGGGGTTGATTCCTTCGAACCCTTCTTTTCAGCCATCCTTCTTTTCAATCACCGGCGGCTTCTGTTTCGCCGGGTGTTTGGGATGGTTTCCTGAACAGGAAAAGGAGGATCCCTGGGTTCAGAATGGGGGGCATCCTTCTTAAACCCAAAAAACCGAGTTCCAGCTCTTAAAACCTCGGGTTTCCGGAGGTTTTCTAGAAAGATAAATTCGGATCCCTGGAAAGAATGGAAATGGGGACGGTACCCCTAGATTCCTTCGTAATTATTTCTCTTTAAGCTCAGTCCAAAAGGCCATATCGACAGTTCCTGCAGGCTGGGTTATGTGTGCCCCAGCGCATTTCAATTGCAAGTTCCGGTTGATTTCCTGTAAATAACTTCCATTTGGGTTGTCTGCTGTGTTCCTCAGTTTGGTGGTTCGCAACCATACCCTCAGACTTTCCGATGTGTAGAGATTAGAGGGATTAGCAAATATCCCACCAACAAGTTCAACCTTTAGCAAGAAAACAACTGGGGTAGACTTAGGACACGTTTTGCATTTTACCAGTGACTCCATGTGAAGCAAACAATAAAAACATACATTCTATACCTGGGCCTAATTCTAATCATGGAACTGAGTGGCTCACTCCCCGACTTGGACTTTCGGCCCAAAAGCTTGGAGAGTCGGTCCATGGGAAGTGAGGCGTCAGTCTTTCGGTTTGCTTGGGGTCCAGGCCTTGGACCCTCCAAACAACAATCCCACCACAACCCGGCAGTTTCGGGGGGGGGGTGATCTGTTGTTTTTTTCTTTTTGGTGCCGTTTGAGCGTCCAGGCGTGATTGTTTTTGCTTTTCCGTGCGACGAAGACGAGTCGAGTCGTTTCAACGAAGCTCGGGCCCATGCTCTAGGGGTTGATCCCTTGTCCATTCTTTTCAAGCATCGTTCTTTTCAAAAAGCGGCCGGTTTCCCTTGGTTTCTGGAGGTTTTCTAGAAAGAAGGATCCCTGGAAAGAATGGAAATGGAAGGTACCCCTGGAAATGTGGGCTTAGGCCAGGCGCAGGCCTATACGCACCAGTCCGGGTGCCCGGAGGCTTTAAGCTCGTGGCTCCCTATGCGTCTGGAACTTTTAACATGGGTCTGTACCCAACATGAGTCTGCAAATGAGCCCTTTGATTAAATGGAGTTTCGCGATTTTGGGTTTTGGACCACTAGAAAGTGGTAAGTAAAGAGCTTAGACGTTCTTTGGCCAATTCACGCAGGAAGTGAGGGTTAGCGGGGCTGCGGGAAAGACACGAACACACAATTTTTGTTTGGGGCGAAATGAGCCATTTTCAATGGTACTTGTAGATGATAGCAAGGGAAAGGTGTCGGTTCTTATTGTAGATGTTCCAGATACAAGGGGCTAAATAGCTTCAAGCATCATTGCTGGCGGGGTGGTCCTTTTTCTGAAAGCCCATTTCACTTTCTAGGCGGTCACCCCCCCTTTTTGATTTCGAAGGGTTGATGAATCCACAGGGTCGACATTGATATGTTCATGGAAGGTCCCCCAGAACTTGGTTTGAGTTATCCAAGCCCTTAGAGAGCTTGCCCTTCTCACCTGCCTACCCTTTGTTCAACTTGTTTTTGGGAAGGGTGCCCATTGAACATCTAGCACCAACAACGGTGGTGCCCGGTTTGTTTCACGGATCATGGGGCTTCCCAGCCTTCAATTTCCCGCCCAAGTTGCCCTTTCAAACGGCACGAAAGCCCAGTCTCGGCTCATGCGAGCAGTACAACCGTTGTGTTCTAGGTCCCCGCTTCCTTCAGGGATGTTTTCAGAATTTCAGATTGGCTCGCTTTGCCTTCAAGACACTTTCTCGGCATTTAGCTACCCCGAAGATTCCATTTCTTTTAGGGGACGCCAACAAATGGTTCCTCGTGGTTTCCCTTTGAAACCCAAAACAAAGGGGTACTGTACCAACTCGGGAAACATGCAGGTCACCCAAAATCCATGGCCAAAGCTTTAAATCGGATCTTCCAAAGCCTACTCTTGAGAGGAATATGTTTCTGGGACACCTCACTGGTTCCAGGTGGGTGACCGCCCGACTCAGATTCGCATGGAATCGGGCACACCCTGAGAGGAACATCCCGGATCCATCTGGTTCCATGTTCCTGGACCCGAAAAAGAAATTCCAACTTAAACATGGGCTCTTGCAGCCCAATATTATGGAGCTTGTGAAAAAACAAACAAACAAGCCCAACTTTGTTAACTCATGCGACTCAGCCAGCCGCAACTGGGAGGTTTGAGCATCTGCGGAATCGCGCGTGCTTGGCTTTGCGCCCAGCACTCAGATTCTCCCCGTGGCTTTTCCGGACTCCTGGAACAAAGCTCAGCGGTCTTTGGATGTCTTTGGGTCCCAGTTGCAACACAAGGGAGGTACCAAGCCATTTCTACTTAGGGCTTTTGAAGGGTTCCTTTGGTTAGACCGCGAGAGAGACGTAAAGAAAGAGAGAGAGAGAGAGAGAGAGAGAGAGAGAGGGAGAGAGAGTCACCTGAGATGTGTCAGTTGCGTCTTGTGCGTGGTGGCCGTTGTTGTTGTTTTGTCTGTGGGTTTTCTTGTATCGGTTTTGTGGGTTGGATGTTGAAGCTGTTGCTGGACATGTCGATTTGATCCTCCGAGTTGGTTTGGCTCTTTCATGATCTTTGGCGCGACCAAATCGCCCGTAGTACCGTAGACCTTTTGGCAAGAGATGTGTTGGTTTTTCCATGAATACTGTGGATGGTCGAAATCCTGCACCACCTAAGAAACCCTGGAATGATGATTGTCCTGTAAGTGCCAACACATCATGGTTTCAACCATGGTTTGAAAGTGGTGTGAAATGGATTTCGTCCATCCACAGTAACACCCATAGACCATTTGCTCAAGAGGAGGTGTTGTTGCTCCATTAAATCTCTAACCCTTTTTGCTCGGGCTTGGAGCACACCAGTCTTAGGTTCGACGCTGCAAAGAAGTCTGGAGAAGTCTGCCACGCAGGCGGCACCGGGCGAGCCGGGCTTTGGGGCCCTGAGCCTTTCAGTTGACTGGGCTTCTGAGCCTTTCGTCTGAAAGCCGCGCAAATCTCAAGCTGGAGCTCTGCTAGGTCCCCCAGTAGTGCCCTTTCTCACCCCTTTTTTGGGGAAGGAGGGTTCGGGACCCTACTAAAATAGACGAAAAGGGCAGCCTTCTTCTAACCTCTCTACTGGAGGACCTAGTCTGAGATCCCCATGAAATACGGGGTTGTGAAAAAGAAACTCACTCCCGGAGTTTCTGGACCTTAGTCATTTTTTGGAACCGTGTTAGTGGCAAGCAACAAGTTTGGAAGTTGTGTGGCCATCCACTCGGGCAGTGAAACAATTCTGGTTGGTGAATTTTGCTTTTGTTAAAAAGCAAAAAGTAGTTTGAGGATTCACGTGTCTTTTTGAGGGTACGCCTGTTTGGCTGGTTTAAAGGAAAACCATCGAGCAACAATACCCAGGTCTTCGCGGTTGGGGATATTGGATTTGTCTATACCCCATAGTTTATTAGTTTTGTTTTGGTAATCTTCCCTACCTGCTCAGCCCAACAAGGTTTGCACATCATTGGAAAGCTTTATAGGCTTTTGCGACTCCCGGTGCTTTTCATTTGCTTTCCTTTTCATGTGTTTTCCATATTTGTTCCACTTCATTTCCCCATGTCCTTTCCATTTCCTTATCAAATTCCTGATAGTTCCTGTTCCATTTCCTTTTCCATTGCCTTTCCGCTTCCTTTCCATTTCCGTTTCCTCAGCCCAGCAACCTCAAACAGTTTCTCTGGTTGCAGAACCTAAGTAGTGTTTCATATTTGATTTTGAACCGTTAGCACGTGAGCCCTCCTCCGTTTCAATACCTTGTGCATGTGTTTGGAAAGCGTTTGCAATCCCCAGCGCGCCAAGAGCTAGAGCCAATACGGCTTTTGCGGTGACGAGCATCATGAACCGCGTTGATCACGGATCCTGCTGCCAGGCTTCGTCAAGCCTTGAAAGCTATGTTTTGGGGTGACGCGACTACGGCGCCGTCCAACATAACAGTGGCCGCTTTTTGCGAAGCCGGTCAGGTTAGAGGACCTTCCCAGGTGATGAATCCCAAGGGGCACCTGATCAAAATCAGTTAGGGCCGTCGTTCAATGTGTGGACCACCATTGCCGCAGAGAAAACTGTTGCGTTGTTGGAATGACCTCAAGCGGATCTTTGGTTTGACAGGTAAACTTGAGGTTTCGGGGAAGTGTGCTATAGTGTCTGTGCAATGATTGCATGCGTTTGACCAGCAAAAGGCCCTGTTCCACTTTTGAGTCCCCAAAAGAGAGAGGAACAAAGATAGTCGCGGGGTCTTTCTGGAACACATGAACCCCCCCGGCTTTAAACCCTTTGAAAGTTTGGAGGTACCCAAGGATGTTGTCCCAGTTGTGACAGTCGTACTTTTGCAGGGTGTCTGTTGGGTCAAAATTGGATATCAGTTCCCTTCTTGGCCCTTGAAACAGAAAAAGAGCAATCGATGATGGATATGATGGTGGGTCAAAACCAATGGTACCATGTTGTCTATTTTAGTGGGGATTAGGATGTTCACTGCGGGTACGGGATTTTGACCCAAATGATGGTGGACTTACAGCCTTTTAGGGTTGATTGTTGCCCAAGTCGCCTTGCAACCAAAAGATGGGACCTTGGGTCGCCTCCAAGCGCACCATTTTTGTGCGTCAACTCATGGACAGGTGGAGCACCAACTCAAGGAGGGCGCGACCGTGCAGACGCAGGCAGATCGAGCTTCGCAACGCGTGCAGTACACGTGGATGGACGAATGTTTAGTCCAGGCGTTTGGAATTCCAATGCGACATGTGGAAACTGGGTTTGGTTGGCTTGTAACTACGCTGGATGGTTGCGAAATCCGCGTCTTGCACCACCGAAGACACCATGGGTGAAACCATAAGGTACGAGGGAGTTCTGTCATTCCAAGGGTTTTTTAGGTGGTGCGAAATGGACTTGCTGGTTTACAACTTGAGTGCTATTGGGTTGGATCTTTAGACTTTAACTTTTTGGGGAAATCAAGGGGTTGTCCACTAAACCCCCAAAAAGTTAAGCTTTTTGCAGGGGGTCAACAGCAACCAAGACAAGGAAAACCAAAAATACAACCCAGCGATTTGGGGAACCAGCGAACTCAAGCGGTTGGTGGCCATGAATCCTCAGGTTTTCCATGGCAGCTCTTTGGAACACTTGGTTCCAATTACTGGGAGCTTCCATGTTAGAGGGAGGGTATGAGATTCGGACGAAATGTCAGAAATCAAGGGTAATTTGCTCTGAGGAAACCAAGTGAAGTTGACCGGTGGTTGCTCTTTGGCGTGACCATGTTATCCTTTTCCGGGAAGAGAATGCGAAGTAGGCCTAAGGGTTCAAGCAACTTAAGTAAAGATGTACCTGAACCCTCAAGGGGATTTCACTCCATAGTTTTGGGGCAAGAACCCAATTCTTAAGGGGCTTAGGCACGTCAACCTCCGTTTGACCCATTCGGAACTTTTCGGGATGCCCACTTTGACCCAAGGGTGTCTTGTTTTCCCAGTAAACGGGGGGGGGGGGGAAGCGCCGCAACCCGCCTGGCTGAAATGACATGCGGCAAACCAGCAACCCCTCGACCAAAAAATTGGGGCATTTCTCCACAAGGTTAAGCCCAAAGTGAAACACATGTTGGGTCGAACCGTTCATTTGGGGCTTTATCGATGTCGATTTCTGCCGGCCAGGCGCCAGGCGCCCAAAGATTGTCTTGCGCAACTTGCGGCCAAGAAATCTACGAATGCGCCGGTTTTGGGGATGCTCTCAGAGGATAAAACATAGGGGATTGTCGCAACAGTGGTCACTCCAACTCATTCCCTGCCTATCGCACCAACCAGGCTAAGGTAACTCAGTTTTCTTTCGAGGGTGGGTGGTGCCCAAGAAATCGAAGGGCGAGGTCTGTGAACTGTGAACATATCATGTTCTTTGACTTGTCATGTGGGTATTGGTCAAATTAGGGCACTCTGAACCCTCAAACTACCCATGAACAAAAGAAGAAGAAAAAGAAAAAGAAAAAAACAACGAACCAGAATTGCGGGTTGCAATCATTCCTTTGTTGAAGTTCCATTTTAAAGAAGGGGAATTCACGAACCATGATTGTGGGTTGCACCAATTCCCATGAAGTTTTGGAATTTTGGGGTTCGGGACGGATTTCCCCCCATGGGAGCTCCCTCGCTCAGGTTTTCTACACGCGGTTCAAAGCCGCTGCGGGAAACTTCAGGCGGACCTCGGATGCGCGACTTCGGATGCGAGCGGGATGGAGAAGGATTCAGCGACGACTGGGGGGATTTTCCGTAACTGGGGTAGACTTAGGATACCTTTTACATTTTACCAGTGGCTCAAAGGGAAGCAAACAATAGAATATACAGTCTATAACTGGGCCTAAGTCCAATCAGGGTAAGTCCTTTTCTTGGCAAGCGGCTGGTGGTTGCCCCCGGTTGGCCACTGTAAAATGGGTCACCAAGCCAGGGGAGCTTCCGCCAGTACCTTGCTAGCTGCTTCGAAGGGATAGCGAGCCTCGGGGTATCCAAGTTTGGCTTTGAGGAGGGAGCCTAGGGAGCTACCAGGAGTCTTGTATAAGGACATGGTAGCTCACTTCCTGAGTTGGTGGACTTTAAACTTTTTGGATTTGGACCATTTTAGTGGTAAATAAACAGTTTTTGGGCCAGTCAACTTGGGAAGTGAGGTAGTTGGGTAGCACAGATGAGCCATGTCACAATCAAATCCCAGGCCATAAGTGGGAAGGTTAATACTGTGGATGGTTGCGAAATCTTGCACCACCTAACACTGGAAGGATGATTCTCCGGTAAATACCAACAAGAAATGGTGTCCCATGGTTTCAAAGTGGTGCAGGATTTTGTCCATCCACAGTAGGGTAGTCGCCGTAGGTATGGAATCCACCCTCCCGATTCTTTACATGGGTCGGAGGCAGTGAGCGATTTTCACAAGTCTGGTTTCGCGAGCCCCACGGGGGCTTCCCTTTATATCAAACAGCTCGGGTGTGTCAATATGTTTCAGGGTGCCGCTTGAGGTTGGTTTAGTTTAGAGAAAAACAAATTGTCTAACCGTTGCGCCATTTTTCATGGGTACACCAGGTACTCCTATTAGTAAACAAAAATATGATTCGAGGTGTCCCTTTGGTTTCTACCTCTGTCGAGCATGCGGGCCAGTGGAATCGATTCAGTGCACCGAGTGTTGGGAGACGTGAATTTATTTGTTCGTGGTGCGGTTCTGAAGTACAGCATAGGGGGCAGTACAGCTTCCGGACCCTCTACATTCCTTTGAAGGATGCGTTGTTGTGGGTGGTTGCTGCCCCACAATTATGGGGGTGAATTCACTTCTTGTTTTTTTTTGGGTGCAGGATGATTTATCGCCAACGTGGATTATCTGGGTGTCGGCGTATCTTGGAATGAGGACTCCCCCCAACGAAAAAACATGATGTCAGGTGCTCGTTTGAAGCACCAATGGGTTTGTCCCAAATGAGGGAATTGTGCCAAACGCTTTCACTCAAATGTCATTGCTGGGGGCTTTTTGGACGACCTTAAGTGCTTCTCCGCCCTTAAATCCAAAGCTTTCTGCTTGGAAACAATTGCCCAGGATTGATACCCCCCAGATCGACAAATACGGGGCTTGTTGCTTTCATGGCGACCCCGGATCAATCAACCATGGGCGGGGGATTTTCCGACAGTGAAGGATTCCCATGACCAACCATTTTAACCATATGGTTCGGGAACGCAAAAGGAGTAAACCCCGCGTTAGTTGATGAAGGCGTGAACCTTTTTTGGGGATCCTCCACTTTTCGGGATTTCGGTTTTTCCCATCGCCAAAAGCAATCCGCAAGGTTTCCCAATCCAGGTTTAGACATCACCCCGGCAAAAAGTGATTCATGGCCCGTCCCAGGTGATATTCAAATCATTCAAGAATGTCAGGGATTTGTGCGATCTACTTTCACCCTGGTGTAATCCATCGTTGCCTTCTGGCTATGAAGATTAATAGGGAACCACCTCAAAAGTGGCTCACTGTATAAAACCTCAAAAGGCAGTAAAACCAGGGTCCATGAAAAGGAGGCATATATATATATATATATGTAGTTTCAAGAGTTGTTTTCAAGAGTTGTTTTCATGGGGGTCCATGATTCATGAGTTGTTTTCAAGAGTTCTCCCACCCAACGGCCAAATCCCTTAGACCTACTGTGGATGGTTGCGAAACTGTCAAAACAGGTGCCCCAAAATGGCTGGATATGTCTCATGTCGCTCTCGGCCAACGAAAGCTTTGGGCCTTTAGTTCCAGGCCCTTGCTGGTTCTCCTGCACCAGCGTGTGGATGTGCACGAGACCTATGCCGCCCCTCGGCCCTTGGATTTTTGGGTTAAAGCAAAATGGTGGTGGGGGGGGGAGGGGGGCTGGACCCAACCAACATGTCAACATTTTTCAATGTAATTGGCCAACAGCTATGGTTGGTGAATTCCCGGGTCTAATGGGTAGTTTGATTGAGGGGTTCAGGTACTTTCTGGTTGCAAAATGCAACCCATAATTCCGGAATTGGTGATTTGCTTATGGGTACTCTCTTGCAGATCAACACGGAAGGCCAATAACCACATTGTTAGAGGAATCTCCTGGAATCATCCCGGTTTGGATATGCGGGGATTATGGAATCCTTGGGGGGGTGGACCAAGGCTAGGAGTCCCAAGGCTCCCAAAGCCCAAAACGAGCGCTCTCTCCACTCTCTCTTGCTTTCTCATGCTCAGCGCCGCCCGAAGGGGGCACCCCAAAAAGAGTACACCCTGCAAACTCGACTAGCCCTTGCGTAGGCGCTAGAAGTCGCTAGTAGCCTTTATTGGGATTCGGCCATCGGCCCCTGGGTTCTATGGGGGCCCCTGACAAGATCTTAGATGCAGACGTTTCCCGACTTTTCCAGGGGGCATGATTGTGCGTGGCCTACCAGTTTTCTGGGGTCTCCTCCCAACTGTAGGGTTCGCTGAGCATGAAGCAAAGCCGAGTGTATTATTATCTGTGTACCTGGGCCCTCAAACTACCCATAAAGAAGGGAACTCACCCATAATTTTTGATTGCAAAAACCAACTTTCAAGTTGGAAGTTTGAGGGTCCAGGTATACCTCTTTTTCTGTGGCCCTTCCACTCTGCCAGGTGACGTTGGAGGAGTTGGAGGGTTTCTTTGTGCACTTGCGCTTGAAGCTGCTCACGCTCCCTGCCGCAGACCAAGCGAGCGAGCGCGGATCAACCAAATGGAACGCTTAAAACAGTGGCTTTTGAGCGAGCGACATTGGGTGCAACAGGAGCACAATTTGTTGGGGTCCCCTATTAGAAACGCCTGACTTACTCGGCCTGAACGAATTCCACATCGCTTCAAAGCCAAAGGGCTCAGACCTAGATGGACATGGACTCCTTCGCAGCCCAAGCAACGCCCAAGCCCGAGTTGCTCTTGTCATTTGGATGTTTTGTTGTAGTGAATCCCCGAAACTGGTGGGTGGTCCATTTGGTTTTCCTTTAAAACCACAAGAAAAGAAGGAACACAGACACATCGATTGTTTTGCCAGAGAATGGCAATGATTTTGGCCAAATTGAACAAGATACTTTTTTTTAGCCGCAGCCGGAACAAGCGGGGGGGGGGGGTGTCACCTTTTTTTAGGTCGCCCTTAGTTGATGGTTTTGATTGGGATTTGAACCCTTGGTGTTGGTAGAGGGTAGATGGGTTTCCTCCAAAGCGATCCAATCCACCAATTCGGGAAATTGACCGGCAAAAGAACATTGCGAGGTCCCTCCATTTTACGACAAAGCCAACGCCTGTTAATTTGATTTGGCCCCAAAGGGACTCCCAAACACTTCAAGCACCACCTAACATGGATGGCCGATTGCATTCGGCTCGATTCGATGTTTGATTCGACCAGTGCCAAAGCGATTCAAGCGATCCGATTCGAACCCTCAAAACTCCGGGGCTGATGACAGTCTCTACCTAGAGTCTCCATGACCCTTTAAAAATGGTTGGTCATTACCCAAAATGGGGTCATGGACCCATTTTTATTTCGGGTCAGCAGGAGACTCCAGGTAGAAACCGCACGGTCCATGCCAAAACGCGGGTTGTTTCGAGGCTCACATCTCTTGATGGCTTCCGTTGGCTTTTTTTTGGGATCCCACGGAAGCCAGATCTGAGGTGTCCACACATCTGCAGTCCGGACGCCCAGCTGGGTGGAAATCCTACCTCTGAAAGTCGCCTGAATAGTGTGTTTCTTTTGCATATATATATATATATACATACCTAGACGAATAAATAAATAAATAAACAAATAAATAAATAAATAAATATATATATATATATATTTGTACATATGAAAATACATATATAAGCATCAACGCTACATGGGAACAACCACTGCTTTACCAAAAAACAACACTTCTCTTTCTGACACCCAGCGGGGCCAGTGGAAGCTCATGGGAGCCGACCGTCGATTGATGATTTAAAGGCTGAATGTACATGCACATATATGAACCCCTGCCATGAACCCCCAACTTTATGGGTTATTTGACCCTCAGTTATGGCTTAGGCCAGGGGAAAATCAGCCCATAAAGGGTCCAACATGGCCATAGGTTAATACATGGGCCTATACAAGCAGCAGTTGAATGAGTATTCATTGGTCGGACCCTTTTGTAAACATCATTTAAGGGGGATTTATCGGGCCCAAAAACATACCGGCACCCGAAAGAACTACCCATAAGAAAAGGGAGTTCACCAACCATAAGTTTGACATAATATGGCTGTGGGTCAAAACCAATGGCACTGTTCTGGGGTGGGTGCACCACCCATGTTAGTCTATTCTAGTGGGGATGGGATGTTCACCGGGGGTACGGGATTTTGACCCATGGCCATATGTTCAAGAAAATTGTGAGGGTCCAGGATGCTCCAGGCATCCTTTTGGTGGGAACACGTCTTTTTGTCTCGAGCTGGATTTACAACAGGGGCCGAGATTCCTTGAGTCAAATCTCTAGAAACATTCCCATGAATCGGCTGGATCTTGCGGGCATGTCCGTGCCTCCAAATGGGTGCATGCGTCGTTTTGGGAGGTTTTCCTTGTGGTTTCCCTCTAAGCCACCACAGAAAGGGTACCCTCATACCCCAGACGGTTACCGAAATTCTGACATCGAATGCGGGTACACCGTAGATGCTCGGTGGCAATCTATGGGTGTGTCTTTAAGGTTGGACCCCAAAAAATGGTTTTTTTTTGGTGCTCCTTGAAAACCGACCTGAAAAGGGACACGATGAAGAACATGACACGCCCAATTGTCCTTGTTGATGGGTTGTGTCCACTTCCAAGAGTTGCCGTTTTGCTTCGGGGGTGCCAAGTAGGGTTGATCAATGTTCAAAAGACCATGGGTAATTTTCCCGTGTGAGGGATATCATCTGTGGTTTTCCAACCAATGGTCATCCCATGTAAAGAACCTTTTCATCAAAAGGACACCGCCGCTTTGGGGGCTAAATTTGAGGTGAGCCACACTCAAACCCCGGCTAAGTGAAGCTAAGTTTCAGCACCATAAATAGGTGCGGATGTCCGCATGGTTGATATGATTTTCGCCCTCTTTTTCCGGGTACAGCAGTTCAATACCGACCGCTGTTAGTGCTGACTCATGATGTGGCCGGTGTTTTTTTGGGTTCGAAGCCCCTGAAACCCAACCCCGTGGATCCCAGGCGAGCCATAGGCAACCAGCCATTTTGGCTTCAGGAGTCGTTCATCCCCTAAGGTACCCTCCCATGGAACCCTTCGACGTTTGGGCAGTCCCGGAAGATAACTTTTCGTTTTAAAGGGACCAGCTCCCGGATCCATGATATTTGGTGGAAGGGCAACTGAAACGTTTCAGCAATCATGGAAGTGGACAGGGTGATTGTTGCCCCCTTGTTTTTGCCTGGTTTTCCACTTCCATGATTCTTGGAGAGAAGAGAGATTGGTACCTTTGGCAAGAAGCATTTGGAAGCCGCCGAAATGTGGCCATGGGTCAAAACCCCGGTTAGCCCCGGTGAACATCCGATTCAATCCAACCACTAAAATAGGTTCTGCAAAAATGGGTGGTGAATTCACCTGTCAACCAAAATGGGATCCCAAAACGGTTTTGAACACTGGCCATGTGTTGCTCCCTCGCGGAAAATGTCCAAGGTCCATGGTCCACCAAGAGCTGGAGAGGAGCCAGCGCCAGCCTCGAACCTGTCGCTCCGAACCCCGCGAATCGCGAGTCCCGTGAAGTCGTCTTTGTTGGTTCCCCCCCCCCCGAAACAAATATGAATGGTGGGCTTTCTGTTGGCTTAAAATCAGAAAAGCCAGGTTCAAACTGGGCAAGTGAGAATTGTGTACTGTTCACTTTGTTCAGGTGGAGTGGGGAGGGACGAGGGAAGAAATGCGAGACTGGTAGAACTTCTCTGCGGTATGTGTTGTTCTTGTTTGACCTGCCAGCAACGCGACTGAATCGGTACATTTTACTTGTTGTTGTGTGTTTTCCGTTTTGTTGGCGGTACTGGAAGCAAGTTATTTGCATTTGGACCCCTTTGAAAATAATCAGACCCCGCCATTAGTTTGAGAGACACTCCTTTTCAGGTGTGCCAGAAACCTCCAAACCGCCAATTCCAAACCACCAATCATGGCCCCCATTTTTAATGGGTCATGGAGAATCCAGGTAGATTTCTTGGATTCCCAAATGGCTGAGTTTGACCCGTTTTGCTCGTTTGGGGGGGGGAAACACCGCATTCGAGGCTGACATGTTCCACAGGATGTCTTGTTTGGGGTTGGTACTCCCTTTGTTTTGGTTTTCAAAGCGAACCAGAAGGACACCCGAAGCCATGTTAATGTCGACCCCATATTCATAACCCCATCCCCCATTCTAAGAGGAAAAGGCATTTAGGGGGAGGACCTAGGTACCTTATGCATTTTATGTTTATGCATTTTTCTCCCCACGTAGAATCTATAGTGCGCTATCATACGTTATTCGTGAGATTACATGAGATTTGCTTTGCCATCATGTCTGGTCACATGTTGAAACAAGTGTGAGAGCATGTATGTGAGAGCATGTGATCCTTGGCGCCACCCCGGCGCCACCTTTGTTGAAAGTCTAGCATCTTATTGCAGTTCTTTTGCGCGGGCGAAAAAACAGCCGCCTGACTCCTCGTGCATCTCTTTACTTTGTTGGATTCCTTCATCCCGGTGGCGTCTCGAACCCTTTGGTTGCACTTGGGACTAGTGCATCGCTAAGCCATCGCGTTAAGGAAGAGTGCAAATCCGCTTACGCCCAGCGGCCGGAAGCAGATTTCGTGGCGCGGCAGCAGATTTCCAGCCTGAAATCCGCTAGCACGCTGGCAAATCCGCTTACGCCCAGCGGCCGGTAGCCGCCCAGCGGCCGAAAGCCGCTCACGCCAGTTTCAGCGCGCTAGCGGGTTTTTTGCCAGAAATCTGCTGTCGCACCACGAAATCTGCTTCCGGCCGCTGAACGTAAGCGGATTTGAAGGACTGCGCAAAGCGCTTGCGTGCAGCGGATAGCGCATGCTGAGCGGCTGGGTGTTGAGCGCGGAGGTATTTGCGACCAGGTTCATATGTAAATAGCCATCACTTGAGTCATGCGAGGGCATGCAAGGGTGTATCTCCATTTGTGGTCTTGCCAGATGTAGGTCAAAAAACACCTAAGTGGCGGTTGAAGGAGGCTTTGCGTCATGTCCTGGCTCCCGGATGTCGAGGGGACCTTAAAACTGCAGATATGCATTTTCCAGGTCCCCCACCCCTTATGAGTAGGGGATATAACCCCCTTGTTTTTGAATATGCGGGGGTTCCCCTCCAAAAGTGGTCTATATAAATCCCCACTAAAACCAGAATCGCACACCCCTTTATATAAATGTGCTGGGGTTATTAAGATGGTTGTTGTTGGGTAACATTTTACATGTTTGCTTATTGTGGTGCAGTGGGAACTCCTCACCTAGCTGCTAAAAATTGATCATTTTTGCTCCCCTTCCAACGTCAACCAAGGTAATACAGTGGATGGACGACCGCCCAAAACACCATGATGAAACCATTGTTTGTTGGTATTTGCAGGGGGGAACTCTGTCATTCCCTGGTTTCTTAGGTGGTGCTAGAAGCGGATTTCGCAACCATCCACAGTATGGGGTCAACATGAGTGGGACGCCACGACCCAGGCTAGCTCCTGCCACCCGGCAGGCCGCGGGTGGGTGGCCGAGACGAAGATCTCCAAGCTTTTTTTTCCGCGTGGGGTTCAGTTGCCACCATTAAATCAATGGTTGGTGGTTATTTGACCTAAGGATTGTCATCATCTAAATTGGGTCAACCTTTGTTCTAGGGGTTGAACCCCAGGCGTTTTCTGTGGGCCCATGCCACACCCAGTGGATTGCAGGCAAGCCAGTATAGTCACTATAGTCGGTGACCATTTCAGTGGCTTTTGTTGTTTTTTGGGGAGGGTTACCCAGACAGGTAAATGGATCTGGACCACACCAACCTTGTTTCATGGAGGTTGACAGAGTCGGATTCCCCCACGGAAACCAATCTTTGAAACCCTTCGGATCACCAGCTTCGATGGTTTTATGGGGAACCACCTCATAAGCGGGTGGGATGTCCACCTTATTCCCCACCTAAATGCTGTCCGCCAAAGGCTTCCCAGTAGAATTCACACCCAATTGATTTGTTGGGAAACACTAATCTGCCACTTGTGCAGCATAAGATTCATCGCTTCCGAATAGTTATACTTACTGTAGGGGTCTGGAAATTGTAGTGATGAGTCGGTTGCACTCATGAATGTCAGTTGCGGAGACGGAGGACCGTCAGAGGAACCCTTCAACATAGGTCATGTCCTTGAACGCGAAACCACCTTTCATTTGCATGGGCTTCCGAAGTCAAGCAGGGGGAACCGATGAGCGGAGGCTACTGGCAGTCTCTACTCTTTTCTGTTGCTCTGAAGGAACTATTGGGTGGTTTCGGATATCCACCCTTTCATTCTTTTGCAGGGTTTGGTTTTGAACGTCACTCGTTGCGCAATAATTAAACTCAATGAGCTCCGGGAGAAGCAACCCATAAAGAAGGCTTCGGGGATTCCTTTCCGCTGTAGGACATGTAATTCGCCCAGGTAGCGTTTGCACTTGCCATTTTATCGACTCAGAAGACACGTGGCACTTACTGCCTGCGTGTCCCCATCGTACTCAGACATGTCGGTCTCTTTTGAGGGGTGATTGAGAACCATGAGCATTTTGAACCTTATCTGGGGTTAGAGCGGTTTCCTTCAAAGTTTCTGCCCGCCAAGGGGGTCGAATCCTGAAAAGTGTTGATCCCTTTCAACCCTCAGCCCCTAACAGCCGTCCTTCTTTCCGCCAGGCAAGCGCCTACATCCTGGAGATCTCCCAACTCGAGCGCCAGCTTTTTGAGGCGCTCGCGCGCGCGCGAACTTGCGCCGAGGGTGTTGAAACCCTGAAAAGCAATTTTAGCAACCTTTTTGAAAAGGGAACCATGGAAGGGTCGAAGGCCCCCTATTTTGACACATACCCATCTCTTGCTAAATCCGACGGAGGAAATGCAAGCAAAAGACAGGTCTGTCCTGTCTTCTATTTGTAGTGAACGTGTTTAAAGCTTGTTTGGTTGGAATGTGCTTAATCCGGCCCTGATTGGGCGGAACCGCCCCTGCAAACTGTCCCTCAGGAACAGCCCCAGTGTATGGCCACGAAGAACGGCAAGCCCTTTGCTGCTTCCCTTTGTCTTTTCTTTCTGGAGAGGGTTTCGCCCATAGTGCTTGCCTTTTTCCAAAACATAGCCATTCCATGAAGGCTGACTACTCTGGACGAATTCCGCGCCGACAGGCACCAGTTGGTCTGGATTTTCACACCCGATTATACAGCAAAGCTGCCTCGAGGGTAGAACCTTCCCAATAAATTTATTTACCTTCACAGCACACAACCAAAGGAAGCGGCCTTCAAAAGCCCTTTCTTTGATCGCTTGCAACTGGGATCTACTGGTGCATGGCGCGGATTGTCTTGCAGCATTTGGCCGCTGGCCTTCTGATTCTCCTTCCTGACCTGGCGTCTCCATGATTGGGCAATGACCCCAGTTTTTAAGCGTCATGGAGACTCCGGGTAGTGTCTGCGCAGCATTTTGTTCCTAAAGACACCTGAGTTTTGCAGGCGACTGCCAGCCAATACTACTTTAAAGGCAGCGACAAGGTATGGCCAGAAGGTCTCTCTCAATAATTGGTTGGCACTTCCCAGAACCAGAAACTTATGATTTCAATTTGTCAAGCAAAGAGAAAGATTTGACAAGCTCGTAGAGGGTACCCCCCTTCAAGGCTAGCCACCGAATCATCCTCTAGCCGCGGAAAACATGGCCAAAACAGTTTCCTTTAAGTCTCCTATTGCACGCATATTGGCCAGACCAGGCGCACACAGAATAATACCGCAGAGGACTCGCCTTGTCCGGATTACCCCGAAAGGGGCCAGAAAGAATCCCTCATGATTTCTACCGCGCTTGTGAGGAGACTTCACTGGGTGATTCCCAGCCATCCGGTTTCTAGATTTTTAGGGTTTGGTGGGGGCTTCCGTTTAACCCACTGCAAGTTAAACTTGCAGGAGATCTGAGGATGGTCCAGTGAACTGGGGATACCCTATCACCCCAGAGGCTGCCATGCCAAACTTTCAGTTGTGGAGAAACGGGCTACGAACAATGTACTTGGCTGTTCGTTGCCAAGTAAGAAAGTGGTTAGCCCCCGTGGTGTTGGCCCAAAAAGATCAAGATGGACTCCACTTTGGGGGGTGTATAAGTGGGTCATTACCTGGGTTAACAACGACTTGCTAACTTGGCCGCATACCTATGTGGTTGCTGATTGCACCCGGCCCAGATGGCCCCCTGCATCCTCAATGGTAGCGCCGCCATCGATTTGCGCTTGCTGCAGCATGATCTGCTATTCGCATTGACACAGGAGCCGACACCCTTTTTCCACCTTTTTTTGTTGGGGGGGGGGGTGTCCTCTTGCAATATAGCGCGCTTGAACTAAACGCGGTGGGGTTTTCTCGCTCGCGTTGGCCAACGGCAAGTTGCCTGGCGACCTACGCTTGGGATGAGTTGCGAAAAGGCCTTAAGATTCGCGAGCGGGGCGTAGGGGCGCGCGCCGCATTCCACGCAAAAAGCAAGCTGCTTTTCAGTTTTTGCTCCGGCTTTGGTGTTCATTCAAGCGAGTTGTAGCCAACAGGTGCGATCCAACTTCCTAAGTCCCCCAAAGCAAGTTGCAACCGGGTCAACTTCCTACATGTTACTTTCGGTCACCTAACTTATCCACGCTCTAGTCGTCCGATTTCGTGCCTGCGACTACGGACGACGCGTGGAACGCCCCGTGCCTCAAGTCCGCGTTGCTCAGCCGAGCTGGCAAGCATGTGTCTTTGCATGTGCGCACGATGTCCGGGTTCCCACAAAATCCTCGGTCCGTTCTGCCACACTTACTCTTTATCAGCAAAGAGACTCCGCAGTATGTTTGCCAAATAAGGTGAGGCAGCTTCAGCGACAGTGCTGAAACGTTGCGCCCTTTTTTTGCTGACATATGGACCCTTCCGCGGAGCCTCTGCGAGCTCCACTCTAGAGCCATTCTGTCATGGACTAAGGCCAACTGGCCTTTGAGGCAGTTTCAACCGAGCTTTCAGGGCCACGGCAAGCAAGGATCACACCGGAGACCAAGTGGATGGCAAGGAAGATTGCACAATTCAACCAAATTCTCTCAAACCCAACCTTGGTATGTTCCATTCTAGAATGATTTGAATGTCCCCTGCGGCAGGTTGGTTTCGGTCTGGGCGTGGGGTCGTGTTTGAAAAGCCCCGCGAGGCTTATTTCGAGCTGCGGCAGCCCCAGGAGGCCATCTGTGAGGGTCCAGCGTTCGAGTCTTGCACCAGGGTTGACGAAGCCATGGGAATGAGAGCGTAACCTTTGTTTGTGCTTGCCTTGCAGAATCGTCATTCCGTTGGGTTTCTGAAAGGTGGTGTAATTCGCAACCATCCACTGCGTCGCTCGTTAGAACAATAGGTTTATGTAAGTGTATCAGGAAAATATTAAATATGTAGGTGCGCATATATATATATATACCTGGGGTTCGTTGCGGCGGATATTTCCGCCGCAATTTGATTAAAGGCGCCTTTGTGGATTTGCGGCATTGCTGTAATTTGCGATGTTTTTGTTTGCATAGCGGCAGAACTTGTTTTCTCACCTCCTCTCACCTCGGCTAACAGGACAACAACTTGTACGACTTCGCACTTGTGACATTGGGCTCACGTAAGGTTTCGCAAGCCTTTGTGCATGAGATGAGGTGAAACCTGAGAGGCACTGCCGCTGCTCCTTGATGCAATCGAGCTTTTGCTTGCGCAGCAGGAGTGTCACGGCCTGCCCTGCCCCAACTCAGCCGAAATCGGCCCAAATCAACCCGGTACAACTGTTCTTTTTGCATTTTTCAGCTTGTTCCACCCTCGACTGCGGCGGGGATTGGCGGGCGTGCGGGCGGAAACAGGCGGGAATGCGGCGGAAATTCCCGGAGAACAAAAGTGGTCCCTGATAGTTGTTTGGGGCAGAGAAAGCTCTTCGTGGCTTGCATCCGCACATTTTGGGTCAAATGGCAACATGAGTGGCAAAGGCTTAGAAGATGATTATCAAATCGATTCGGGTTGCTTTGATAGGTAGAAAGTCGTCCTCTATGATAGCATACTTGCTTTGAACCATTGTTCGGGGAATGGAGCTAGAAAGAAGCGGCGTGTGCCCAGCATGTTTGTTTGCCGGGGGGCACAGCCAGAAACTCTGGAAACAGTGTTGCGGCGTTTTTGTTTTTTACGGTTGATTTTCTGGAACGCGGCTGAAAATTCCGTTGCCACGCATGGCGGCAGCAATTTCTAGAAGTTCTAGGTATATAAGTTTTTTCTATCTATACATGTATTTAGTTGGGCCGACTATTGATTGCGGCAAACTTGTTCAGGGGCCTGGAACAAGAATTCTTGCATTTTTCGACACGGGGAACTTGATTTACTGGGTCTTGACGTAAAAGTTTAGGTGAACATTTGTGTGCATCTATTCATGGGGGGTGTTGTTCTTCCGGGTTCAATGTCAACCTTTGCCAGAGAAGTTCAGTTTGCCAGGCACGGCAGGAAACCAGAGTTTCGTGCTGGTTGTCTACATTTACTAGGTCCATGTAGTAGTGCCCTTTTACCGTTTCTTTTTGGGGGAGGGTTCCCCTAATAAAGTAGACTACAGAAAAAGGGGTTCCTTTTCCCACCCTCTCTACTGGAGGACCTAGTTGAATTGTGCCTGATACTTTGCCAGGAAGCTTCGAGGGTCAATTGGAAGCCCCTTCGTGTAGGCTTCCCAAATGCCTCCCGATGGGCCTAAAGAACCCCGTCAGCGCACCCCTTTTTAGTGGGGGTGAGTATTTTGTGCAAAATTTTGTGTGCACTGAGTTTTGTTTGGATGGGATTGCATGTGAAGGAGGTCATGAAAGCATTCGCTGTGATGGGTGTGCCTGATGTACGGCACCCGAAGCTTCTGGAGGGGTCTGAATTGGCCAAATAGCCATAAAGAGCCATGTGGGCAGTCACTGTCGTTTTGGCGTGGCAAGGTCAAGATAGGGGAGTATTTCAAAATTATGGGCAGCAGAATGGTTGGTTTTCTCTTGGTTCCCCTTTAAACCAACAGTGGGGGCCCCAACAAAAACAAGCACAATTATATCAAGGGTGGACCAGAGGGCTCGATGGCTGATGGGCCAATGGGGCTGAACTTCAAAGGCAATCCGGATTATTTTGGGTTACGAAACAGGGCTCCTTAAAAGAAACTCATTTTGCCACCATTTGACACATTTTGCTTGTTCAACACTCCAATAAAGTTGGAACCCGCCCGAAAACAAGTTGCAATGTTCAGGTGTATGCATCCGGATCCCTGCGAAGGGCTCCGGGATTTGGGATGACTTAGCGCTTGAGCCGTCCAAAAACGGATCTTTGGAACGAGGCCAAAGGACTCAAGAAAGCGCGTCCTCCCAGATGGCACACTGCAGGCTTTGCGGACTTTGCTGGAGACCGTGGCGGACATCTTTTACCAGCTCCTTGGATCCAATGAGCCAAATGATTCAGAGGTGGTGTGAGGATTCTTTTTTGGGAGGCTTTTAAATCTCGCAACTCGAACCTGAATACTCGAATACTCATGGGCGACATCCTGCACCACTTTCAATCCATCGGAACCGATTGTTTGTTGGCATTTACATGGTACCTTTGAAACCGTTTGTGTGTCTTTTTTCAGACTTTTCGAGAAAAAAATCTGTTTTTTCATGAAACGGCATTTTTCCAAAAGTCGACCTTTTTTGGAGTTTCGTGGGTAGAGTGCATCTTGGAGAGCCAAACAAGGGCGGAACACCGAAGAAACTCTGGAATGATTACCTGCGAAGCCCATGTGTGCGAAAAAAAAAAAAGAAAGGAAACAACAAAAAAAAAACCGCCTTCGAGCAAAAAGCACCAAATTTTGGTCGTTGTTCGGAAAAAAGATCGCTGTTTGGAAAGACAATTATTTTTGTGGAAAGGTAGCCTGGCTCATCTAAGATTCCCGGAATTTTCCGCCCTTTTCCGCTTGTTTCCGCCTTTGTTCCGGGTTTCAGGATTTTGTCCATCAGCAGGTTCACTGATGCTTCTCGGGTTTCCTTTGGCTTTCCTTGAGCCAAACAATGCTTTGTCAGGGCCAGGAGATGACAAGTGCATCGGCCTTTGGTGCTACATCCTATGGGCAATTCGGGTTGGGCGCCCTTGTGGGCTGTTTTCGGGAAGCCAAAAGTTGAACGCCTCCATTTCTCGGGCCTCTTTTCAAGGCGCGATTTCGTGAGGCTCCAGGTGCTTTGATCCGAAAGCAGTGTCAGGTCCCAAAAAACCACTCCCATCGCCCCCCGGATGTCCTTTTTGCACGATGTCCGCGTAGGTTGCGCAAGGTCGCTGTGGAAACGCGGGGCTTGGAATAAAAAGCCTTTGGTTACAACCTGTCGTAAGGAACATCCAATGAGTCTATATGGCCTGTGCCGCGGCTGAGCTTATGTGCCCATCGCAAGAATCGGCTCTGGGGTGTTTTTGGAGCTTGGGTGTTCAACCAACGTCAGCTAAGTAGGTTGTAACTTTGGTTGTAAGCCAACTAACGCCACTTACTCCAGGTTTAGCCTACTTACTACTTACTAAGTTGATTGTCTTTCGCTGTGGAATCCACAAGAGCAACCACGCTGGGTCCAACTAGCCGGCAGAAATAAGCTCACCGATTTGGGGCTCAACTTCGTGCTGCCGCATGGGGTGCTCTCATCAAATTCCTGGAAACCCACGCCCGGGTGGAGGTTGTTTGCCTTGCTCGAAGCCCAGTATTGCCCTGTCTACGTTTGGTAGATTCAACCATCACAAATGTCGGGGCTTCTGAAAGGCGAGTTTCTTCTTTGGTAGGGATGACACTTTAAGGGCAAATATAGGGAACCCTGAATCCAGTGGATATGAGGTTGGGTTGTCCCTCAAAGAGCCCAAAACCACGTCACGGTGTGTGGCTTTTTGCTCCCAATCTCCAGAAGCCTGGATCGGAGCGTGGAGAGTCCAGATGGCCATCTGTCGGGGTTTTGTTCAGGATGTTCAGGCTCTCCCAGAACAGCCCAGTGGGCAAGAAAGAGCCGGCCGCAAAACCAGGCGGAGGCTTTTGCCTTGTCTTATTCGCTTGGACGGAACCCTCCTCACCGGAACCCTCCTCACCCCACGCCCCCCAAAGGATCCTGCTACAAGGAAGAGGAACTGGGAGAAGGATTGCATGCCACTCAGGACGATGAGACCTCTCGTCCGGATCTCGGATCTGAGCCAAGGGATTTATTTTGTTCGCGAGTCATGAGAAAAAAATATGAGTCCAGCTCGAACTACCTTGCATCCAAGCTCCTTACGGCCTTTTGAAGAGGATCTTGGGTGCACAGGTGTCCCTTTGCTGTTTGATCTTGGTTTTTGAGGGCTAAACAGAAACAGCAACCCTGTTAATGTTGGGTGTTTGAGGAATAGCACAGAAACAATATCAGAATCTACTTGCACCCGGCCAAAAAAATGCGCACAATCTCGAGGAGATCCCTGGCTGTCTTGGACCGGGAAAAAAAACAAAAAAACACGAAGCAACACCGGAAACACCATCTCGAGATTTCTTGGCCCGTGGGACTCAATTCAACTACAAAATCAGTATATGGTCAATTCAATTTCCATCTACTAAGTCAGTATACATATATACATATTGTCATCCCCCAACTTTTTCTCTGACTAGCGACTCGACTCGCGACTCGACTCAAGCGTCCCTTGAGCGTCGCTCGACTCTTCGTCGCTCGCGTTGCGAGGTGCTGACCTGCGACTCCATCGACTCCTTGCGCGAGATCGCGGATTGTTTGCAGATGGACGTTATGGAGCCCCGGCAGCCGGGAGCCCAACATGAGAATTCCTGACCTGGGAAAAGGAGAGCTCAGTAGAGACCAGAGGCAAAGAGGGAGACCTGGGAGATCGGGGAGAGACCGGGAGCCGTTCGGCCCAGGATCCCTTTTTGGGGTCGGCTGGGCCTCAAAAACGACCGACCCAAAGGAGCTGAGAAGAGTACCAAAATGTAGCAACGATATGTGTGACGCCGAAGGATAGGCAAGAAGTTGAAGTGGGCCGGCAAGTTTGAAAACCCAATGTGACCCTTGATCAAAGCCTATTCCGGTTACCTCCAGAGAGAGAGGTTTGTGTTTCTTAGCGATGCGAGGGCATTGGTTACTCAGCCCAACTCGTTCCCCAAGGCGGTTTGTTTTTGTATCTCCCCCAACAGGGAACCACACCATCTCTCCCAAGCTTCCGAAACCACCAAACCAGCTTTTACCCATGGGAAGGCGACGCGACGGAAACTCGGGCCCGGTGTTGGTTTCTATATTCGCTCAGCTGACCTTGGATATCCCATGCATGGTCCATAGTCATGGCGCCAAAAGGTGATCATCTTGAGCCATGCCCAAACTGGGCAACTGGGAGCACTTTTGATTCGTAGCCTCCACGAATTGGAGATTTGGTGCATGAAGCCATTGTACGAACCAGTGAGGACCAGTCGCGAGGGGTACTTGGTTTTCCAGGCGTTGGCGTTGCTGATGTTTGTCAAAGGGAGTTTCCCACGCAGACGATTGGAACATATCGCCACAAACCATGAAGGAACCCTGCCACCCACCCATCCCTCAGACCCTCCGCGCAGGGCTCTGGCGGGTGGCACTTTGCGGACAGCCCCACCTCGCACTGTTTTACCTCCCGGTATCGTTTTGAAAGGTGCGATGCATGTTTTGAAATTTATTTTGCGACTCTTGGTTCCGCAGTGATTGTGGGCATGAAGACGACCTTTCTTCAGGGTGTGTCCCTAGGGGGAGTTTTTGTTTTGCCTTAAATGACTAGCTGGACCCTCGAAATTCCCTAAACATTGGTTATTGCAACCCACGATTCTGGGGTGAAGTCCCCTTGTGATGGGTACCTGGAGTCTCCATGACCCTTTAAACATGGGGTAATGACAAACCATTTTTTGAGAGTCAGAAGCAGACTCCAGGTAGTTCTTTCGCATCCAGGTACATTTGGGTATGGGTCAACATTGAAGCACCAGGGGACAGGTTTTAGTTCATGTTTCCATTTACCAGGGTTCCATTTTGGGGTTGCCCTATTTTTGACCCACATCAACGTTTTTTTTCCTCCGCTCTCCCGCCACTTCGCCAGGCGGTCCAAGTCCGAGTTGGTGTCCTTCTTGGGGGTGGTGTACCGCCTTCACAAGGCGCCGTTTTTTGCAATGGGTCCTGGTGGTTCTACGGGTCATAGGAAAACCTTCGCATAACTTTGACTTCCATTTTGTTCAGAACATTGTTAATTCCCCTGTTGGTTTTTAAGGGAATCTATCACTACCGGAAATATGTTCATTTTTCCAGGGGACTTCAGCAACTGGCGGAAAAGTCAATGGGTCTGTTGGAGCCTCAGCAAGTTGCAAGTTATATGATTTGTTTAGTGTCAGTGGCATTGCGTGCCAGTCAGATTCTTCCTGTCGGGGACAATGGTCCGTGGCTCATACTCAGACTTGAACAAGCAACAGCTCGGCCAGAAAACCAGGTGTGGCAAGACACCCTTCTGATTTCTTCTCATGGTTTATCTCGTGTTCACGCCAAGTTTCCAGCATGACTTACCCAGGATGGGTGGGTGGCAGGATGGGTGGGTGGATGGACCGATGGATGGATGGATGGATGGATGGATGGATGGATGGATGGATGGATGGATGGACGGATGGACGGATGGACGGATGGACGGATGGACGGATGGATGGATGGATAGATTGGGTCTTTATGTTTTGGGCTCTGCTTTGATGTTTTCACGCTGCGTTCACGGTCAATGATCGCGTTCATGTCGTAGTTTGGGCTGTACAACTGTAACATATGATTTCATCGCTTGAATGCATCGTTTGTTTGGAGTTCCTTCAATGGAAGCGATGGAAAGATGCGTTTTGATGCTGATGTTCTCTTTGGGGGACCTTGGAGACAGCCACTTGGACCAGGATGTGCAGGAGAAGCTCATTTATCGGGCCGGGGGCTTGATGCTGGCCTAGTGCATTGCTCAAAAAACATGTGATGTCTATTCAGATGCGGTCTTTTTTGGCATTTGTTGGCCTCTCTCTTGGACGTTGCTGGCAACACAATGCCCTAAACAGTTGATTGGGAGGCATCTTGGACCTTTCTGCGACCTTTGAGAAATACTGTGGATGGACAAAATCCTGCACCACTTTGAAACAATGGGCAACTATTGTTTGTTGGCATTTTCCATTCCAGGGTTTCTCAGGTGGTGCGAAATGGCCACAGTATGAAGGGAGAGCACCGCAATTCCAAACTCGGGCTTTGTCTTGTTGAGCAGGTTGGCGATGGCGCAATCGGGAGGTTTTGGACCAACACCTTGCAAGCTTTGTGGGTCTCAAAGATGATCTAGAAACCTGTTGGGATGTGGCTTTTGTGGATCCACCCCTGTAGGATATTCAGAAAGTACTAGCAGATTACTAAGAATGGACCAGCAGAGGGAAGAACACGTGATATAGACCAAACACGCATCCAAACATGTGACATGTGCTAGACATGGGCAGGAGTTTGATCAAGTTTCTTGCCCACTTCCTGTGAACTGTTGTTTTGCGTAGCTAGCAAGCCCCCTTGGGGTTTTGAGCGTCTGAATTTGGGTTGCCCGCGTTCCAGACCATTGAAAGCCCTTTGCTTTTTATTGGGGGGGTTTGGCTCCCAAGTTAACCAAAAGGTGCCAACTTGTTCCCAAGCGCGGGAGGTGTGGGGGTTGAGCACTTCTAGGGCTTGATTTCCCATTCTTTTCGACCATCGTTCTTTTTAATCGCCGGCTGTTTCCCAATGGTTTTGAGGGTTTCCTGAAAAGAAGGATCCCTGGAAAGAATGGGGAAGCTTCCCCTAGAGCACTGCTCAAAGGTGGAGATGTACATCCGAGACAACATCAAGGGGTGCTCGCCGGCCCATGATCGATGTTCTCAGTTTCCCAAGGTGAATCGACCTTGTGGCTGCAGAATTGGGTGCGGGGAAATTCTGTGGATGGCTATTCTCCCGATAATCCTAGCGAATGCCGAGCCCCGGGCTCCCCATATATGACACTGCTGGCCGTCCTAACTTTTACTTGTCCGAAATCCATCGGGACCCGCAAGTTCGCAAGCGATGTGGTTTATCCACATGGTCAGTTTCCCTTTGCATGGCATGGCAACCGGATGGAAGTGCTTTGAGAGCCATCCATTATGTTTTACCGGATCTCTTGAAGTTGGTTTATTCACCAGCCAATTGGGGCTGGTCCTTCGGGTTCACCTACAAACGTGTCAAATGTTAAACCTTGTTGATGCCCACTGTTGATGAGCGAAATCCTGTTCGCACCACGTCGAAGCCATGGGAAACCATATTTTGTTGGTATTTAGGGGCAATCATCCTTCCAGGGTTTCTTAGGTGCAGGATTTCGTCCATCCACAGTATGGTGAACAAAGAGCCGGAATCCACCGGAAAAGGGTGCAATCGGCCAACCACCTTTCAGCATGTTGAGGTTGGTTTTCTATATTTCTCAGTGTTTTGAACATCACCTGGGCAGTTTAAACTTATTCTTCCTGTTGCGTGCTCAGCGAAATACATATGGCGAACCCGATCAAGGCCACAGCGTGTTTTTTCTTCGCAGGGTTGGGACTGGCTACAATGTTCGTTGGTCCAGCCCTTTTCTCTGATTTTGTTTTGAGGGGGTGGGCCTTCCAAATTAAAGTCAGAGAGAGTAAACACGCAAAACGAGAGTGCCAGTTTTTTTGCCCCATTGCCACTGCTCCGGGTTGAACATAATCATTGATGTCTCGTTTTATTTAAACAACGGCCTGGCAGGTCTGGCGGTTTTTACGTCTCAAGCCTGACAGTTCTTTGACTTTCGAGATTGCAGAGTAGCTCTAAGGCACCCTGAACCCTCAAAGTTCCAACTTAACATGGGTTAGTGCAACCCAAGAAGCGTGGTTGGTCAATTCTCTTTTCTTCCTGGGTCCTTTCTTTAGCCCAGGAGCCCTCCGGAGCATTTGTTTGGCTTTGGGCTCGCGGGGTCGCGAGCCCCGGCGAGCGCGGACAGGTACATGCCCACCAGCGCGGACCTAGACTACCCGTGGGGACCCAAAGGCGAAAGAACTCAACCCCGCGGGTGCTTGGGACACCCACGACATGACACGCTAAACCTCTTTCATTGGCTGAAGCGTATGTTTATTCAATTTATTAGTATTCTTATTATTGTGATTATGTAGTATTTCCCCTGTTGGTTTTAGAGGGAGTCTATCACTACCGGACATATCTCTACTGTTGCGCGGGGACTTAAGCAAATGGAGGAACCTTGGTGGTTCCCAGTTGACTGCGGTTATTGTAGCAGTGTTTGGGGTCAAATTCAGAAAACGGCGGGTGGACCCCTTCAATCGACCAATTGGGCAACTTTGATGGCGAAAAAAGGCTGTGGCCAGTGCATTGCCGCTTGTTCACGGGTTAGTTCTGTAGGCTTTCTCTATTGACTCCCCGGAATGTGGTGGAGAGAGGGGGCGCTAGTCCCTTTATCACATTGCCAGACCGAAGGCTTTCCTTTGTCAGGTCGTTCCTTTTTCGGCTGCCCATCAGTTTTTGTTGTTAACAAGAAAAAGTGAACTGTGCTACAGCGGTCTTTTGTCCAGTTGAGTGGCACCCTCAAATCCCCTTATTGTTTGGTGTTTTCCTAACCAAAGATGGCGCCCCAAACCCCTTGTTCGACGAGGTTCACTGGGCGACTGGGGGATGGTCAAAGGGAATACCGAAAAGACAACTTGCCTTTCCTGTAAGGAACCGCACATAAATGCTTGGTTGATTGAAAGGATCTTTCAATCATCCTCCACAAGTGTGGTGTTTTGAAGGTGAGGGATGGGTTAAAACCATCGCTGAAATTTGAAAAGGGGTTCGAATCGCCTTCCGTCCCCGCCAATCCGCAGCGTCGCTTCATGGATTTCCCTGCGAACACAGGAGCAGACAGGACAGACCCAGACTGACGGACCCGCCTGATTTAAAAAAAAAAAAAAAACATGTTGCTTGCTCTAAGACCGGTTTCCCGGACCCATCGACGCGCAAACAACTTGGGTGTTGAGCGGTTACTAACCTGCTGGGTTATACAGTAGCCCACTTGCACGTGCTTGAGCTCAATCAGGGATATGACGTGGGTTACAACCAAAATTCTAACCACTTAACTTTGAGGATACTTGTGGGATGATGTCAAAGGACAAGCAGACACCATTGAACCATTCGGAGGGGTCCTCCAATACCTCGCGGACCCATTTGAGTGGGCAATATCCCTGCTTGTGGATTGAGCCACCCACTCAGGACACTCAACCATGAGAACGTGTGTTTCTCAATGACCCTGAAATGCCCATGGTTTCCTGAAATGGCAATGCTTTCCTTTCCCTTCAACCAAGCAGAAGGTCTCAAATCCATTTGGGCTTGTCAAAATCGAGGACCCCGAGGTCGGTTTCAGACTGAAACCAGCAGAAGCCCTTGCCATAGGCCCTATTGCACACACACATTTCGACATCTCGGGTAACCCCTTGAATTCCATGTATGGTTCCCTTTTCCTTTAAGGACTTGAAACATGGTTGATTGGGGTTCCTTTCCCCCCACCTCCCCCACCCTCCCCCCCGCCCCCGAAAGAGGCGGGGGGGGGGGGGATGTTTTGACAACCTGACCGCACCCAGGGCCATTCTCTACGCGGAGAAAGGCGATCAGGACGCCGCCGGGGGCTAAGCTGCGAATGTGGATGGCTCGTCTCTTTCTGTTTTTTGGCTCGCTGGATTCGAAGGACGCGAAAAGCTGGGGAGTTCTTGGAAAAGCCAGCGATCCTTGAATTGGAAACCCTCTAAACAAACCAAGTTGCCACACAGTTGCCCCACACGAAGCCGTTTTGGGGCGGGTGTTGGTTGGGAAATTCCCAGAGCAAAACCTTAGCCTTTTACTCTCCCCGGCTCAAAGGTCAAAGCCTTAGCAATATTAATTTAGACTCAGGAATACTCTTGGCAATACTACGTACAGGTAGACTAGGCAATGCTAGATTCAGTATTGGCAAGTCGAAGTCGAACCCGCACCCCAAACTTGTTCACTAAAGAGGACTCCCCTGAATGTTTGCACTGTGCAGAAAAAAAAGATAGGGCTATTAGAGCAGGCCCAACATTACCCTTTTGGTGTTGGTTTGAAGGAGACCTCACTTCTTTAGTTCTTGGACTTCAGTGAGTTTTTTTTTCCGCTAAGACAGTTTTGTGGCATCCAAACTGTTTGTTTTTTCCAGGCTCAGAAAGTAATTAAACGAATTATTTGCGTGTGTTTGTGTGTTTGTGTGTCTGTGTGTGTGTTGTGTGTTGTGTGTGTTGTGTGTGTTGTGTGTGTTGTGTTGTGTTGTGTTGTGTTGTGTTGTGTTGTGTTGTGTTGTGTTGTGTTGTGTTGTGTTGTGTTGTGTTGTGTTGTGTCGTGTCGTGTTGTGTTGTGTTGTGTTGTGTCTGTGTGTGTCTGTGTGTCTGTGTGTCTGTGTGTCTGTGTGTGTCTGTGTGTGTCTGTGTGTGTCTGTGTGTGTCTGTGTGTGTCTGTGTGTGTCTGTGTGTGTCTGTGTGTGTCTGTGTGTGTCTGTGTGTGTGTCTTTGTGTGTGTGTCTTTGTGTGTCTGTGTGTGTGTGTGTGTGTCTGTGTGTGTGTGTCTGTGTGTGTGTCTGTGTGTGTGTGTGTCTGTGTGTGTCTGTGGGTCTCTGTGTGTGTCTGTGTGTCTGTGTGTGTCTGTGTGTGTCTCTGTGTGTCTCTGTGTGTCTCTGTGTGTCTCTGTGTGTCTCTGTGTGTCTCTGTGTGTCTCTGTGTGTCTCTGTGTGTCTCTGTGTGTCTCTGTGTGTCTCTGTGTCTCTGTGTGTCTCTGTGTGTCTCTGTGTGTCTCTGTGTGTCTCTGTGTGTCTCTGTGTGTCTCTGTGTGTCTCTGTGTGTCTCTGTGTGTCTCTGTGTGTCTCTGTGTGTCTCTGTGTGTCTCTGTGTGTCTCTGTGTGTCTCTGTGTGTCTCTGTGTGTCTCTGTGTGTCTCTGTGTGTCTCTGTGTGTCTCTGTGTGTCTCTGTGTGTCTCTGTGTGTCTCTGTGTGTCTCTGTGTGTCTCTGTGTGTCTCTGTGTGTTTCTGCGTCTCTGTGTCTCTGTGTCTCTGTGTCTCTGAGTCTGTGTCTGTGTGTCTGTGTCTCCGTGTCTCTGTGTCTGTGTGTCTGTGTGTCTGTGTGTCTGTGTGTCTGTGTGTCTGTGTCTGGCTCTTTTTAGCTACTTAGGGACCCTTGAAACAACGCCCTACCCCCCACATCCCCACCTAAGGCCTTCTTTGCTTCCCAAAGCCTCCAAGTGGCCGCAAAAAGTTGGTTATTGCACCCCATGACGAAGTCCAACTCGATTTTTTGGGGAACCCATGGCGAGTTCCATCTTCTTAATGGGTATCTTTCGGGTCCAAGTTGGGTTGTTGACCCCAATGCCAACTCTTACTCATCCCATGGTTGTCAAGGGCCCAAGACCCCGATCCCAAGAGGGAATAGGGGCCAATAGCCACAAATGAGCCATAATCAAAACCCGGGTAGATGAAGGTTGGTAAGGGGCAGTCCCAGCCGGAAATAGTTGCGGATATCCGCCTTTCTAATTCTTTACATAGTTCTGGGTTCACCATTTTTGTACCAGGTTTTGATTGAGACTCAAATGAGGCTCATTAGAAACTGAGCCAAACTGTGTGGGTGCCTTTTTCAAGCGAACCAGGCAACCCATGGCGAATTCCACCTCTGTTTTTTTGGGCATCTTTCAGGTCCAGGTTGGCAAAAATCGACCCCGAACCCCTGGACCCCGATTTGGGGGGTCCTTTGGTTTTTGCCCTTCGCCCAGGCGGAGCACATGGGCGCGCCAGGCGGACATGCGGACACTTCCCACGGCTCTGGTCGCTATCAGCTTTGTGGATCCCAGTTGCAAGTGACTATTCTACTGAAGACTTTCAACCAGTTTGGTGATCCCAGTTTGGTGGTTCGCAACCATACCCTCAGACTTTCCGATTTGTGGAGATGAGGGCTTCATAGCATATGACTAGGGGTTGATTCCTGTTCAATTATTTTCAACCATCGTTCTTTTCAACAACCGACTGTTGCCCCTGGGGTTCTGATAGTTCTGACGGTTTTCTGGAAAGAAGGATCCCTGGAAAGAATGGGGAAGTGTTCCCTAGAACTATGTTAGGCAACCAACTTTTCCTTAAAGGCTTTTGAAGGGTGGTTCCATGGTTGTTGTTGGGAAACATTTTACATCCTTGCTTACTGTGGTTTAGTGGTTGAAATCCAACCGCTTAGCTGCTAACATTTTAATTTTTTAGCTCCCCTTCCAACGTGAACTGAGGTTCCTTTGGCTATGCCAGTGCGAACCTTTGGTAAAGCGGGCTCCAAGTTGGCAAGCGCGGGGACGCCCTTGGGATTCGAAGCCATCGCACCGAAGTGCCAGAAGGGGCCATTTTGACATGCCGGCACGTGCTTCCCTTCCGCTTGAAGAACCCAAAGGCTCACGACTGCCCGGTCCTCAAAAAGAAGCTGTTTGAGCAGGGCTCATTAAAAGATCTCCATTTTGCAACCATTTGAAACATGTTGCTTTTTCAACACCAAAATAAAAAAGGGAAACCACCATTTACAAGTTGCAATGTTCGATCGGTGTATGCGGTGTCACGAGGTGTAAACCGACCCCTCCCTTTTGAAGGGTCCATGAGCATGGACGACCTGAGGTGAAACCCGACTCCCTTCGACTCTTTTAGCTCCTCCAAGACCCTCTGGTTTTTTGGCCGGGTCTGAAAGCCGGTGGTCCAAAGCCGGGCTTCTCCTTTCTTGCTGGTAGCAGGGAATGAGGGAATGACCCTTATACAGCATTCCTTGTGGTTTCCTTGGGTCAGTGTGTGGTCAGTGGTCCAAAAGCTGTCCCTCTAAAATGGTGGCAGTTCCCCAACTCGAAATCAACCATGGGTGGGTGAGTCCGGGGTTTCATCCTATACAGATCAACATGGACCCCCCCCCAAAAAAAAAATGGACTGCTGAGGACATTGCTTTAGTGAGCTTTACTTGAATGTTCAACCAACGTGGGTTGCAACCATTCTATAGCCATGGTTATAAGCCAACTAACCCCAGTTTCCCCAGTCATACCAATGTTTGTACTCCACTTCCATGACGTTGGTTGAACATCCAAGTGATAGGGTGTGTTTTTTTCCTCAAGTAGTGAGAGATGAAGCCGCATCTCTTGGTCCACCGCTTTTCTTTTTTTCGCGCCAGGCTCCGGGTGGTACCCCTCGCTGCCGCGGACCTTGTCCATTCTGGCGGCCTCCTTGGCATGACCCCAGCGTGCAAGCCAACTGACCTCAGCGACCCCAGTTGCAACCTTGGTTCTATCCTACTTGCTACACGCTTCCATCCAGTTGAAGGTTTGGAGCCCGGTGCTTGAGTTAGAAGTTTCCCATTGTTGACTGGTTGTGTTCGCACCAGTTGGGACATGAGTAATGGCGGCCGGGGTGTTTATGTATCGAAGGAACATGGTTCCAATATATCGGCGACCCTGCAGACCGCTCACGCCAAAGCATCTACCAGTTTGCTTCACACCCCCCCAAGGGGACCAATTTCTTGGGAAAGACTACAGAAAGGACCATTTTTGGGTTGGTGTGAAAGGATGATGGTGTTTGGGGGTCCAAGCGGAAAAGTTCTATGATTGATTCACTTGCTGGCTGTCAGCAGGGAATGAGTTGGAATGGCCCCCGCAAGCTATCCCCTGTGGTTTCCTTTAAGGGAATCCCCAGGTTTATTCCCCAAAGTCCCCGGGTCATTCCCTGAGCACCAGCAAGTTCATCCGCGGTCAACATCTCCTGGTGTTGAAACCGCTCGGTTTTTTTTTGGGCGGGATTTGCTTCTTGATGGCGCCGCATTCCCTTGCGGGTAGCCTGAAATCAAAAGGACCACCTCCGTTTTTGGGGTCCCCCCATTTTAACAAGACACAAATTCTTCCCTAAAAGGCATGAAACAAGATTGTGTCGTCCCCCTTAGTTATTGTTCCCCTAAACAAAGTCTTCTCCAAAAGGCATGACAAAAGAATTTCTTCCCTAAAAGGGGTGGAACAAATTGTGTCGTCCCCTTATTGTTTTGACCCTTTCCTTGTTCCGTGACCCCGAGGCCAAGATCTACCGCGTGCTGGAAATGTCCACCTTCCAGGGGCCGCGGGTCTCAGCGCGACTAAACTCCCCAAACCACCTCCATTCAGGGCTCCACTTTTGGACTACCCCAAGAGAGACTCAAAGGCTGGGATTCTCCTTTCGGGGCAATGAACCACTGGGTTTAAGTCTACCCTGGCGCAGTCCAAAAGTGGAACCCTGCACCATTTATTTCAAATCAAAGCGAGTCCCCGGACCCTGAGGACTGCGCTGGGGACCCTAACTTCATCGAGACCCCAGTTGAAAGGTCGGTCAAGAACAAAAGGGTGCAACACCCCCAACAAGAATCCGGATCACCTTTAAAGTGGTCCAGCCCGCATGAATATCTAGGGAGCGAATTCATCCTGGGTCGACATGTTGCCTCATATTTCAGAGTCTAACCGAGCCATAGAGGCGTTGGTACACGCAACCCGAAAACTCCCGAGATGGGGACTTGTACAACGTCCCAGTGCTTAGCGTGTTGGGAAACTAAAAGGTCATGTTCGTCGGATGTGTTGCATTTTGTGTGAATTGAAGGGAAGCAGAGGCCAGTGCTTCCAGGCAAGCCACAACAAGCGGGTAGCCAAGGCTTCTACCTCTAGTTTCATGTTTTGTCTATGGTCACCTACAGTGACAACTGGAATCATTGAAGGCAAGTTAAGACGCCACCTCGAGGTACCTGCAAGCTGCTCGAGGGGTGAGAATGGCCACGGGTTCATGTTATAGACCTATACAATCAGCCTTAGTACTCAGAGATCTGGTTGTACCCTTGCAACATCTTGCAACCCCGAAATCGCTGAACATACCTTACTTGGACCCCATCAAAGTACATGGTTACGGCCCTGATTTAAAAAAAAAAAAAAAACTGATTAGGGTCAATTTCCCGTTGGCTGGTTTTATTTAGGGATCGCCGGCCTTCGGGCTTTCGGGCGTGATCGTAGTGAGTGGCAAAGGGTCCAAAGGGTCCAACGGCTGGGGTGCCATAGGGGCCGAATGCTGAGGATGGCCCAGGAAGCTGTGGATCTATGCATGCACACGCTGAAGCAGGCACGCACGACTGCAGAATAAATTCCTGGGCTTCCGGCGCTTGCCGCTCAAAAGCCTTCGCAGGAAAATAAAAGTCTTCAGGATTCCAGAGTACTCTGAGGGGTTGCACCAAATAGCTCCTTGTACCTCGCTCTGGACCCTCAAAATTTGCTGACACTTGGGTTGCTCAAAATCACGGGGTGAATTCCTTTTTGAGAGGTAGTGTCAGGGTCCAGGACACTTGGAATGTCTGGAAACCTACCATCTAGTCTACCCTCTTGTTGTGTGCTCTGTCGAAAACCATTGGGCCTAGCAAACAAGCTAGCTGTCTGAGTAACTCAGTTGTCCTATGTAGCGGGTTTACTTGGTTTACTTGTTTCTGGTATGCATATACCTGGACCCTTAAAAAACATGCCCTGTACAAAAGGATTTTTCTCATAATTGTGAGCCACATCCATTTTTACAGTAGGAATTTCGGCGGTCCAGGTTTGTACATACCGCCCCCATACGGTATGGGTCCCCCCCCCAGGACCCCCCCCCCCCGCCCAAGACCCCGAGCCCCCGGATCCTGGCACCTACGGTCCCATCCCCACCCCGACCCCCTGAACTCGCACCCCGACACCCCGGCACCCCGACACCCCGACACCCCGGCACCTCCACCCCCAGGACAAGATAACCCGCAACCAACTATAAACCAATCCTAAACTAACCCTAAACCAACCCTAAATACACCCAAAATCAAACCCTAAACCGTAGACCTCTAAACCTAAACCAATCCTAAATCAACATAAACCAACCGTAAACTAACCCTAAACCAACCCTAAACTAGCCCCAAATACACCCTAAACCAATCCCTAAACAATAAACCCTAAACCTAAACCAACCCTAAATACACCCTAAACCAAACGCTAAACCAAACCCTAAACCGTACACCTCTAAACCTAAACCAACCCTAACCCAACCCTAAATCAACATAAGCCAACCAACCCTAAACCAACCCTAGACTAACCCTAAATACACCCTAAATATACCCTACACCAATTCTAAACCAACCCTAAACCACGACAACCCAACCACAGGACCACAACCACAGGGGGGGGGGTACTTGTTTGACCCGTGACCATTGGGGGGGGGGCTGGCAACGCTGTACCATATATGGGAGTCGTTCTAAAGGTCCTTGTAAGGAGTTTAGTATTCGGTGACCATCGGTGTTGCTTGAGGTAGCTCCGCGAAAGATTCGCGATGGAGTTGCGAAAGTAACTTTTTTTCTCGCGAAAGTTTTGCGTAACTGTATCTGGTTAATCAATGATATGTGGAACCGTTCATCTTTTCTGCTGAGCCTTCCTTCTATTCTGATTAAACCATTTGGTTGATGTTGCGCTGATTAAGCCTGGTGAGGCTACAGTTTGATACCCTGCTTGGCTGGTTAGTGCTCCAAGCCGGTGTATGTGTGTCTGTGGGTGTCAGTCGGTGGCTTTCCGCTCTGAAACGTGGGCGATTTTTCGCGAAAGTTCCGCGAAAGATCCGCGAAAGCCCGCGCGAAAGTGCAGGCTTCGATTGCAAGGGGAGGTATAGTCTGAGCGCCGATCTAGTCAGTATACTAGCTTGGTACTGGAAATCTGCGACTTCAAGCTGGAGCTGCACGGCGAACGAAAAGCTGCGACTTTCCAGCCGGCGCATGTCATGTACTACCCCTGTGATGAAAAGTTGCGACTTTACAGCTGGAGTTGGGAAATCGTCATTTCGCTTACAACGCTGGCACTTAAAAGCTGCGATTCTCCGACTCGAGAAATGAAAGAGCACGGCGATGAATCCGCGAAAGATTCGCGAAAGTAACTTTTATATTCGCGAAGAATGGCCGTTTCGAGACAAAGGAATTTAGATCAACCACCATATACATACACTTAGATGTTCGTCAAGGATGGACACAACATAGGCTTTGAGCAGTCAACTCAGCGAGTGAACATGGAGCATGTGCTTTACTTGGACAACCTCAACCTTTCAGGAGGTTACTTGCACCATTTGCCATAACCAGACTATGCAATCAAAAGGCCGGGACTCTAGTCACGTGTATCCTGGATTTCCTTGCCGCCATCAAAACACATCGGCGAGGACCCACTTTAGATGACCATCCTCAGCTAAATGGCGGTGACATATGAACCCAACCGTGGTTTTACTGGCCACTGAACCCCAGTTCCCTCCCCCCCCCCCCCCTCCAGTCCCCCCCCCCCAGTTCCCCCTTGAACCCCAGCTTTCCCCCCCCCCCCCCCGTTATGTTTTTCGGTTATGTACCTTTTAGGTTTTTGGGAACCGAGCCACCGGAGTCCCGAACCTTTTCATGTGTGACACGCCCACCTCGCCGCACGCAAAGTCCAGACTTTCCGAAAATATGAGGCCCAAGTTGCCCGGGGCTCCTAAAAACAAACATGTTGCAACCATGTGAAACATGTTGCTTTTTCAACACCAAAATACAGGGACACCACCATTTACAAGGCAATGTTCAGGTGTATGATGTAAGGATCCCTGTTGCCCCATGCCCAGGGAGGGAACCCGTGGTTTTCCTCGGCCTACTTTTCACCTTTCGTGGTTGTTGTTGGGAAATATTTTACATTTTGGCTTATTGTGGTTTAGTGGGAAGTCCCCACTTCACTGCTAAAATTTGAATTGTTGCTCCCCTTCCAACGTCAACGAAGCTTTGACCAAAAGAAGATCCGCCATAGGGTTCACTAAATAGGATAGGGACTAGTTTGGCAGGACACTCCCCAAGCGTACAGCAAGGGCCATTGAAACTTCCCACACCCTTCCATTTGCTTAGGAATATGTGTTCCCGGACCCGAAAGAACTACCAATAAACAAAGCGGACTTCACCAACCACAATGTCGGGTTGCAATAACCCATTCTTAGGTTTGACTTTCGAGGGTCCAGGTGATTCTTGTCCCTGTGTTTTTTCGTTGAGTTCTATCGCTGGACATATCGTTGCATGTGTAAACCATCCCAGAGCCCCCCAACAACTGCTTTTTCCAATGCTCAAAATCCCGAGTGTCCAAAAAGCAGTTGTTGGGGTGGGGTGTGCTGGTCCCATTTGACTTTTCCTGAGATTTCAATCAGGTTCATTCCCGTTTGCCATGTTAGATGGTGCTACCTGGTTCAATAGGACTTATAGTGGTCTCTATCTAGGTGTGTCTTTGCAAAAAAAGGTGGTTTCAAAAAGACACACCAAGTTCAGTCTAGCTAATGTTGACCCCATATTAAGCAACCCCAGTTGAATAAGGGGGGTGTTCCCCTCCAAAAGTGGTTTGCTTCCCCACTAAACCCGGGGACACGTCCTATTAATAAACCTAGTATTACTTAAAAGTATATATAATAATAACCTTAAAACAAAAGAAAACACCGGTCAACATTCACCAAAAGTCAATCGTGTTTTTGTGCGCTCAATCTCAACCGCGCGCAGGCGTCGGAGTCTTTGGCCAGGAGGGCCCTACCGAGGTGTGACGAAAGCCTGCAGGCGATGGCGGGGTTGGGGTGAGTTTTCAAGCGCCAGAAAGTCCAAGAGGATTTTCTCCTCACTTTCTGAGTTCATGAACTTTACACTTTTTGGGACGACCGTTTAAGGGGTAAATATGTGTTTTTTGTGTTTGTTGTGCCATCCCCCAGCAAGTGAGCCTCTAATTTTCCCAAGACACCTGGAGTCTCCTTCTAACCCTCCAAAAATGGGGTCATTCCCACAAAAAAGGGGTCATGGACCCATGTCTAAAGGGTCATGGAGACTCCAAGAAGCACTGTTTTCACACGTCGCCAGGGTTTGCGCGGGTGCAGTTGCAACCGCGACACCCTGCCCGTAGCTTTCCATTTCAATACTCAGGCAGATGTCGCCACTTCTGTTGAGTCACATCCCCACTGGTTGCATCCTCTTTACAGGAAACCCCTTCTGGGTCATTGCTTTAAAAGGAAGCCAGGGGGCGTGTTGTTTCTGCTTCAACTTGCAGTTGATCTTTGGGTATGTTTTGGACCCTGCCCCCCACCGAAGTGGATTACGGATTTTGGATCCGGTCCAGCAAATTCTGGCAGACTGGCGTTTCACGCGCTCGCGGCCCGCTTCCGTCTGGTATGTTGGCGAAGTGAGGTTTCCGAATGGATTGAATTGCTAGCAGGGGAACATGAGGGAGATGCTTCTGAAAGTCAAGGAAGCTTGCTGCAACTCAGCGAAGATTCGCGCAGCTTTGATCCTTATACTGTTCTTCGGACCAAACCACATTCCACGGGTTCAGGGACCTTACCTTCCAACGGCCGTCCATTTGGGATGGTGCCTTCGGCATGCCGGTGATGATTGCAACGGGACCAATTGCTAGTGACAGTTTCGGGCCATAAACCTTCCATTCTGCTATGGTTCTAGCGCTACCTTCCCCATTCTTCCCAGGGATCCTTCTTTCTAGAAAACCTCCGGAAATCCACTGAAAACGGATCCGGTCTTCGAAAAGAACCATGGTTGGAAAGCATGGACAAGGAATCAACCCTTAGAACGATTCTGGATGCCCGGGAAGCGTCATTTCACGCGACGCAAATCGTTTGAGTTCAGGCGCAGGTGGGTACAAGCGCTGTTGGAAGCAGACAGTTTCCAAGAACCGCTTGGTAGCTGCCATGCAGGTACCCTGGGTCCCCCAGTGCCCGACTTCTCTCCCAACTGTTTGGTTGGGAGGGTTCCCTTCAAAAATAGAGGGTGCCCTTATTCTAACCTCTCTACTGGAGGACCTAGCAGCTTTGACCCTTCAAAGACATGCTTGGATACTCCGACCCTTCAATAGGTATACTTGTCTTCTTCTAAGAAGACACTTGCCAAAACCATCCTGCCAAGGTACAAAGAGACCTTGAGGCCCAGTGCTTGCACTTGCACTTGCAGAGTAGGTTAGCAGGAAATTCATGATGAAGCAACAATGCCTCGAAAAAGTGGGTAGTATTCCTGGTTCATAAGTCCCCGTCCATTTTTTTCCGCAACATTCCAGTGATCTGGACTTATGAACTGGGGTTTCTGTTAACAACATACCTGATTCGCATGGGCGGTGGTCCAATTTTATCAAGCAAGTGCTCAAGTGCTCAAGCCAGGCTGTGCTGCCGCTGGTCCAGATGATGGATTCCCAGCTCTTCCTGGTGAAGCATCTTCTGCTCGGGGCTGAGGCTTTTTCGAGCCGTCGAAAGGCCAAATGACTTGGCCCATGTTTGCCAAGCAGACGACCGCTGCCCCGAACACGAGCTTTGCTTCGATTCTTGTTTTACCTTCCCCAGACTTAGCTCCTTGTTTTTTTTTGTTTTAATTGTTTTCATTATGTTTTTATATATTTTTTTTGGGGGGGGATCTCTTTGTTTTCCACTAACCAGTATTTTTTAATTTGTTTTGCTTGGGTCCTAGTTCCAGCCTAGGTCCCCGAGTAGTGCCCTTTCTCTCCCAACTGTTTGGCTGGGAGGGTTCCCCTACTAAAATAGACTACAGAAAAAAGTTGGTACCCTTATTCTATCCTCTCTACTGGAGGACCCAGTTTAGCTCAAGATGGGTGCGGCTCAAGATTCAAGAGCCAGGGTTACGCAGGTTTTAGTCTCTGGTTCCATTTACCAAGGTGCCATGTTGGTACATGTTTTTGAGCCACAGCCAGATGTATCATCAGCCCCCCTTGCCCCCACCCTGCCTCCCAAGCTTGGCGGAACTATTTTCTTGTTTGGCGCGGTTGACCCTACATGATGTTCTCCCATCTGTAAGGGGATGACATTCAGCACACTCACCAAATATATATATATATATCATATGAGTCAAGCAATTTGATACCATAAAAGTCAATGAGGTGATGGCAACTCATCTTAGTACCATAAAAAAAATGAGGTGATGGCAACTCATCTTAGTAACTCCCAGACTAGTGGTGCCTTCTCTTCGGATCTTGCAACGTCAACTTCAATTTCTCACTTCCGATCGAGTTCCGTTTCGCACTTCAGTCCCTTTTGGGGGTTGGATCATTCGTTGTTGGCCTTGCCCAATAGCCTTTGGTTACTTTTTGTTGGCCCATCCACTCCTAGGTCCTCCAGTAGAGAGGTTAGAATAAGGGTACCAACTTATGTAGTCTTTTTTAGTAGGGGAACCCTCCCAACCAAAACAGGGTGAGAAAGGGCACTCCTGGATGACATAGACTCAATCCACACCCAGTGCCCCACGTCTGCAACCCCAAGGCCCCTTCGAGTGCCGTTCGAGTGCGGCTCGCTTCGCTGGTTCGCTTCGCAGCGTTCTCGAGGCTGCTGAGGGAGCAGGTCGCGGCCTTCGAGTGCGAGTTGGTGGTCTCCGAGAAGTACTTCAACTTTGGAAACCTTTGGGAGGCCTGCGCCTCAGTGCTTGGTGGCTTCGCTCTTGCCATCCAGCCATCCGGTTCCTTAGCCTTTTAGCTGTGTAGTGCTGAGTGGGAGTTTCCATTTGACCCACTAGAAGTGAAATTTTTACGGGAGATCTAAAATCGGGCAGTCCAGGGACCTCAGCTAGGTCCCCCAGCAATTGGTGCCCGACCTCTCACCCAACTTTTTTGGGGGAGGGAGGGTTCGGGACCCTACTAAAATAGACGAAAGAAAAAAATCGGGTATCCTTATTCTAAGCTCTCTACTGAAAAAAAACCTAGTCAGTATATCTGTCTCCTTCTGACCCAAATCAAATCAACAGTATTTGATCATTACCCAACAGAAAGGGCTCATGGACCCATTTTTGATTTGGGTCATGGAGACTCCGGGTACTTCCATTCGCTGGACGTATTCAGACCCCAGTGGTTTCCATTTGCTGAAATGAATATGTTGTTCTTGTTTGTAAAGGGAGTCCGAGAATTTGTCTGTGAGGCGGGCAGGGGGTGAAGGGGTGAAGAGGTTTTTTGCTGAAATGAATATTTTTTGGTATTTTCCCCTGGTTGGGTTTGGAGTTGGAATCGATTTCACTAAAGGGGTGTTTTTTTTGGCGGGGGTAGGAGGCGGAAACATATGGCCCAAGAAGGCGTTTTTGATGGCTGGAGTGGTCTGCAATACGGCGTTTCTTTTTGGGATCGGGGGGGGTCTAGTTTCATCAAGTTCTGTGTAGAAGCAAGTGAGCCACAATCAAAATCCGGGTAGATGAAGGTTAGTAAGGGAGAATCCCCACCATAAGTGGCTGCGGCCGCTTTCTTATTTCTTTACATGGTTGTGGGTGGACCATTCTAATACCAGGTTTTGATTATGACTCAAGTGAGCATTTGTTGCGGCTTCATGTTACCCGCGCGGAGTCCTGTCTCACAATGTGTCCTAATCATATTTGACCACTTGGGGTGGATCCCTTGCCGGGGTAGTGCGTTTGGGAAGCCAAGTTTCGAGGTAAACCAAAAGTTCAGACTTTGTGGGGCCTATCCATTCACTTCACCAAAAAGCTGACCAACCTAAGGGAAGATGATCGAGCACTAGCGCTCGGTTGGAATTGTGGCCGGACTGACAACGGCCTGACAAGGAGCACCTCATGCTCCAACTTCAAGACTTTTCAAGTACCGCTGTACCGTGGATGGGCGAACATCTTCACCACGAAATGAAACCAAGACCATTGTTTGCTGGAGTCCACAGGTTTCAGGCTTGTTTTGGAACCCATTCAACAGGTCCAAGCTAAATGGCGTGGGATCCGTGCGTTTTGTGGCAGGGGAAGACCAGAAAAGGATGCACTTGGAACTCCGCCCGGATGGGGGGACGCGCGCAGGCGCAGGGTAGTTTGCGTTTAACGCAAGGCCGCGTTCCGGCATGCGTGAGGGCTTGTTTGCTACGCGCGCACGCATGCGCGTTTTCGTTTCTTGCGTTGCTTGCTTCTTCGTGATTGCATGTATGTTTGCTTTGCGTATTCTTGCGTGTTTGGCCTGGTTGCGTTGGTTCGGTTTGATTTGGTGCGTTGGTGTGTGTTTTTTTGCGGCACGAAAGGTGTTGGTTGGGTACACTTAGTGTTGTGTGTTTTCATGTTCACGAGCTGTACCCTCGTTTCAGATTACTTCATGTTTGCTTGACTGCTTCGTGTTGGGGATGCTTTGTTGCTTGACTGCGCCTTTGGAAAAAGGTGCATCGGTGTGTCGGTTTCTTGCCCGCGTGCGTTGTTTGTCGTGCCGCTGCTTGTTTGCTGGAGTCTGTTCCTCGTGGAAAATAAGGCGCTGCGACTGGCGCGTGTTCGAAACGCGGACCTGACTCCTCAAAAGTCCAACCAAAAAGTGGGTGATTGCAACCTGGATTTGTTTTTTGTTTTGTTTTTTAATCGGTAGTTGGAGTCGGTCTACCCGGAATAAAGGGGTCATGACCGACCATCTTCAAAGGGTCAGAAGGAGACTCCATGTATCCCTGCTTGGTTTGGTTTGGTTGGAAGCCAAGTAAAGTACCTTCCCCCATAGCCCCCCCCCCCCAAGGTTTTTGTTTTTAGGATTTTATTTTTTTTATTTATTTTTGTTTTTTTTATGACTTGGTTTTTCTGGGTAGTGCCTTCGGCTCACACGGGAAAAAAGCGCGCGCGCTTTCGCGGCACGGGAAACGCGAGCCGCCGAGGCTCTGAACTTGAAGCTGCCCGACGGGATCCTGGGCATCCTGAAGCCCACCATCTACTACGCCGAGGTGGGGATGAGCTTCCACTCAGCAGCTTAGAATTTTGGAGGGTACCCGGATCCTCAGTCGCACGGTTTTGAGGTTTCCACGGGACGGCTGGAGCGGTCCCGGTGGTACCTGGGGTACCCGGATCCTCAAAAGTCAAACTCAACAAGGTTAAAGCTGCGCAATTGAGTAGGTGCTTTGTTTTTTTGTCTGACCTGTTGGTCTTAAAGCTGGAATGGATTTCGACCTAGAGTCCCCTTCTGACCCTTTAAAACGGGGGTGTTTGCCCAAAATTACGAGGTTCTGGCCCCATTTGTGTAGGGTCAGCAGGAGACTCTGGACATCGTGTCCTTTTGTTTTTTCCCGCAGGGGACCTGAAGCAAATGGAGGGGATGGGATGGCACGTTTGCGCCGGCTGTATCCGGCCAAGCGCGCTGAAAACGGGCAGAGGCGCAGCCCCCAAGGGCGCTTTGAAGGAGCTACAAGACACGAGTCGACGAAGGTGATGCTGCCGACATGGACCCAAAACCTAAAATAAAACGGGAATTCACTCGTAATTTTTGGGGTAAGAGTCCAGGTTTTGAAGGGAGTTTTGAGGGTTTAGGTATACGTATACGGTAATAGCAATGTCGTCGTTGTGCCACTCGTTCTGGGAAGAAAGAACTTTTAACCTTGCGTTTTCGCTTTGGCAAGTTACGTGTGCTCCACATAACGATCCAGTTGCTCCTCCGAGGATCCCGCGAGTTTTGTACAAACCACCCGAAGAGAATCCACGCCCGACCGGGGAACATGTGTTGTCCTTATTGGGTCCTATGTTCCGGCTTTTTAAACCAGGCTTGTTGAAGGAATGGTTGGAGTGCCCGGAAATGGCTGTGGGTCAAAACCATTGGTACAACCTATTTTCGTGGTTGGATTGAGCCGGATGTTCGCTAGGGGTACGATTTGGCTTTTGACCCATGGCCAAATGAGCCACAATCAAAACCCGGGTAGATGAGGCTTAGCAAGGGATGATCCCAACCATAAATAGCTGCGGATATCCGCCTTCTTAATCCTGTACATGGTTTTGGGTAGACCATTTTAGTACGGATCGGTTTTGATTGCGACTCAAATCGACGCCAGGTGGACAGCAAGAAGGACATCGAGTCGCAGCTTAAGGCAGGCTGCTTGTTTACGGAGAAGCGAGGTCGACCCCCCGCTGCCCCGGGTTCGATCAGTTTTTTGCCCGGGAGACCGGAAAGAGACTGGCCGCAGCCACCTTTTAACTCTACCGCTATTGGGTTGGATCTTTAGACTTTAACCTTTTTGGATTCCCTTCATATTTCCTTTTAACCAGCAAAACCTTTAACTTGTTGCCGATCTACAGCACCCAAGCTAAGGCCCACATGCAGCCAAGGCGGTATGAATCCCCTGGTATGACCCCGTCGTTTATTGGGTACTTGTGGCTTGATATGGGACACCCGGCAATCACCAAGTTTGGCCCCGAAATGGCCATGGGTTCAAATAATTAAGGGTTCATACAATCAGTATTTTACAAAGTGATGGCTACGACCTCGGGAGGTTTTTTCCTGACCACCTGGTTCTTTCCTGGAGTCGCTTGGTACCTTACCATATTTTTTGGTTGGTCTTTTTTTTGTCCTGGAGGGTGCCTGGGAACCTTCCAAAGATGTACATGTTCAAGCACCCCACTGAGTGCACCCTGCTTGACTGCTCGCGTATGCTGTCCACCGACAGCTCGATCCTTGACGCGGCCCAAAGCTGACAGAGAGCAATCCAGTCACGCAGCCCAATGGATTTCCAGGGGCCGGATTTATGCTGTCTCGGTTTGGCGCAAGCCATCGCAACCCATCGCAACCCATCGCAACCCGATCCCCCCCCCCCCGGGCACAAACACCACCTCGAAGGATCGCCGGATCGGATCGCGAGGAAGGCTGTTATGGCCGTCAGGGGGGGTTGTTGTGCGGTGTTTTTTGCTCAGCGGGGCTGCGTTTGCGAGGCGCTAGAGCCTTTTCAAGTCGCCGCCTCGTTGCACAGCCCATAATGGCGGTACCCCGATGAATCAAACTGGCGAATTGTCCAACATGCTGGTTTGCCGCAGAAGTGGGACACTTCCCCCTTGAAACAAGTCAGGTTGCTTACTCCAGGGTCAAAATGACCTTAAACTATGGACAGGGTTTCGGGCAGGCAACGATCCCTACGGTACTCTTAGAAGGCACCAAGGACCCTTTTGGCGATCTGTCCAACTTCAGAAGAGGAATTAGGGACCCCCTCCTAGTGTTGACCCATATAAATCAATCCCCTGTTTGTTAATAGGGGTGTCCTGGGTGAACTGTCGGGAATCAGACCACTTTTGGAGGGAACACCCCACCCCCCCTATTTCTAATCCGGCCGGTACCCGGATGAGTTCAGTTCGGACCCTCTTTTCTCTGGGGTTCAATCCACCACAAAAACAATGGGGGTTCCAAGACCACCATTATTTGCCTAAGGCTTGTTGTCATCTAATTTGAGCCAACGTTTGTTTTCATGGGGGCGAATCGCAACCCCACGGTCCCCGGATCCGAAGCCAAAAACAAGCCTCGGCCCCGGCAGTCTGCGTGCGAAGCGCTGATCACGAACATCACTGCCCGGCTCACGGTGGAATTCTCTGACTGATGGATCCGCCATCTGGGTATGCTGGTTGGCAAGTAGCCCAACTAGCTCCCCAGCTAGGTGCCCTTTCTCACCCGTTTCTTTTTTTGGGGGGAGGGTTCGGGACCCAACTAAAATAGACTAAAGAAAAGGGTACCAACTTATTCTAACCTCTCTACCGGAGGACCTAAGGTGTGTCTTTTTTGGGTACCAAGTTAGTGTTTTTTCAGGAAACCACCATTTTGGGAGCCCCCTATTTAAAGACAAGCCCATATCTTGAGCTTGTCCCAAAAGGAATCCTCAAGGAAATGTTGCATGGTTTTCCAGAGTTTTCATTGAAGACCCGTGCAGTTCTTTCCTGGAGTTGGCAAGCTTAAAACAGATCTTCCAGGCTGTTTGAAGTCCTGTTGCCGGATCTTCCAACCTGAAAAGGGCCAGTTGCCGATTGATTTGAGGGCGCCCTTGACTCGAACTCCGCATCTCAGAAGCTGTGGCCTTTAGGTCTCTACACTGAGCTTCTTAATCTTTGAACGGCCGTTCTTCGTTTGGGGCCAACTGGTCCCATCATGGTTTTCATATAACCAACCTTTGTTTTCATGAAACCATTTTTTGTCAACCAACCATTTTTCCTCAACCATCCATTTTTCCTTAAAGGCTTTTGAAGGGTGGTTCCATGGTTGTTGTTGGGAACGATTTGACATTTTTGCTTATACGGTTGAAATCCAACCACTTAACTGATAATATGTAAATTGTTGCTCCCCTTCCAACGTCAACCGAGCCATGTTCCCAACGTTTCGAAGGTTGGTTCGCTAGCCCCTTGGACTCTGTGAGAACTGTGAATGCCTACGAGTCATCTAGGAGTCTCGCACAACCTTTTCAGAAACCATGGAGTTGAAACCATCACAGTTGGTTGGTATTTGCGATTTTATGACATCGTTGGTCATTCCGTGGGGTTTCTTAGGTGGTGCGATTTCTGGATTTCGCAACCATCCACAGTATGAAGGCTGTTGACCCCCCGTTGGACCTCAAAGCAAATTTGGGCATAGGGACCCGAGACCTTGGGCCACTTGGGGCAATCCTAGTCCTTCCCTGCGAGACCAGGGACTCTTGGGCGGCCAAGTTGAAAGTGGTTGCCCTTAAGTCCCCATGTCAGTGTGGGTTCTATTGGTGCAGGGCCAATCCCGGCTTGCGCCGACTTGTCAAGTGGGAATATTCGTTTACACTAGAATGAACTTTCGTGGGACTTGGTTGTTTCACGCTCTGGGTTGTTTGGCTTGCAGTGCTGCCAACTTGAAGGCCAACGCCAGTCAGGGACCCAAACTACTTTGCCCGAGATGGCAGCAGGAATAGCGGAACAGCAGAGCAGCAGTCAGTCAAGAGCAGAGGAGCAGCAGTGGCAGTATGAAGCGGACAGCGTCGGCGATGAGGGCGACAAAGCGGCCGGCCGCGAAGCCCAAGAAGAAACTTGCTTCGAGGACTCAAACTGCTGGGCTCAAACTGCAAAAGCCGAATCCTTCTCGGGAATGTCCTTGTCTCCTTCTCGGCCTTTTGTTGATCAAGCAAATGTTCTACGCCTCGGATGGGGAGCCAGAAGCAAGATCTGTTTCAAATCTTGCAAAAAGCCAGAGCCATACCTCGCCTCATGTGAGCATTGGTGAGCTGCCGCTGTAACCGGAAAGATTACTTCCAGCAATTGGCAGGGCAGAAGGCCCAAGTAACCTAAAAACGTGAAGAATGGGGCAAGATCAACTCAGAGGACACAGTCTGACTGTCACTTGTCGGTGGTGTTTGTTTGCTGGATGGCATCAAGTACGGTTTCTTGCGGTTTCCCTTACTTAGGGGTATAGGTATAGCCCTTTTGGTGAAAGCAGGTGCCCCAAACCTTACTTTTTGTGTGGAAAACGATGCCCTAAAACTAAGGAGCCCGTGCCGCCTGCAATGTTCAACTGCGACCAGCAGCATCACCCTGCAAGCCAACCCCAGTAATTACCTGATGGCGCCTGAAGATGGCGCCGATTCAGACTTATTTCTTGCCTCTGATATTTAACCTGAACGTTCCAGCCTGTTTGGCACCCGCGTGTGCCAGACACGGCGGCCGTCAAACCCGTAACCCCCTCTCTCGACAAGCCTGTTTGCGTATCGGCGCTACAGGCCCTGCTTCGGGTGGGGAGCAGTACTCTCCAAAGAACTCGCTCTGGGGAGCGTGATGCACGAACCACAGGCGGGAGAAGGCGCCGAAGCACCCAACCTTTGGTTTCAGACTGGAAAACAATGTGTTTGCCAAATGGGTTTGAGTTGTCGTGTTTCTCTGGGAGACTTACCAGTCCTGCCCTGAATTGATGCCTACAGACTTCAAGCTGCCCAATGGGCGACACGTGGTGTCCCAGCGCTGGACCCTTCTTGGTGGGAAGGACTGGCTACTTTTTGTGTTGCAAACCCTGCGCTTTCTCGGCGCCAGGAGAAATTGCGCCCGCAGGCGGAGGATTTCCTCCGGTATTCTCTGGAAGCCTTGAACAACAGCCAGCAGAGCAAGTTGGCAGGAAACACGCGGCGCCCCTCAGTTGTGCAACGCGGAACTTTCCTTTAATTGATTGATTCGTTGTTCAGTTCTTGTATCTGTGCGGCAGCAGCTTTGACTGTTGTGGCATGCCGAAAGCCTACTGTCTGGTCATCCCGCGATGCGCACAGAAAAAACCATTTATTCAGAGCCCGTAGAAGGCTCACCTGAAATGCGGGCACCATAGGCTGTTTAGCAAAAATAATCTGTCCAATTTGGCAAGTTGCGGTGAAGGAAAAAGCCTGCGACCCTTCCATGTTCTGTCCGCTTGTTGCAACACCTACTTACTTTCCCACGTTCTGACATTGAATCTTGAGATTTGGTTCAAGGGCCCAGGAGAAACACCATGACCCCCAAGAATGTTGCGAGAAGCGGAGGAATTGCCTCCCAAGCGAAAGCTATCACATCGGGGGGATGCCAGCAGGGCCGTTTGCAACAACCTGGACGATCCTTGCCCTTTGACCAGGGCCATGGAATCTTGCGTGGAATGCGCGCATTCATTGAGGCATGCTTCTGGAACGTCTCTCCCACCTGATGCTCAGCCTTTGCCGGAATTGCCTTTGAACGCTGAGGGAACTCTGTACCTTTGGGGCCATGCCTTACGGGGGGACATTGAAAGACATAGCTCACCGCGCTTGGCTTGTTGATTCCAAAAATTCGACTTTTGGAAGGGTGCTGGGACATGGTAGCACCATGTCTCTTAAATGACGGTTCCTCAGCAGCTACACTAAAAGAGTAGTTCTGCAGTCTAGAGGTGGCCCTTCCACAAACCCTTCAGTGTTTCGATTGGTTTTACACTCTTCGCCTGCCAGGCTTGGACCCCTCGGAGCCAGGCTCAACCTTTGAAAAGCTATATCTCGGTCACCCGCCTCCCGAACACCCAATTCCTCGGCGAAACTTGTGGGAGAGTAAAACCGAAGTTTGGCTGAGGACCTCGCAGAGGTCCTCGGCGAAACCCCACCCCACGGGGTGCCAAAAAGCACTTTCCTTAAAATAACAAAAATCTTGGATAACAACACGCGGCTTCTTGGGGGGGGTGGTGGGGGAGGGTTTGGCTGAGGACCTCGCAGAGGTCCTCGGCGAAACTCTGAAGCCAAGTGAATTGAGTTTCGCTGAGTTTTTGGGCTCCCGGCAAATTCTTTATGGTTTCGATCTTGCTCAACTTGAACGATTATTCATCTTTAGCAAACTGGTATTTTTGTATTTTTGAAATATTTCCACCCTTCCTGAAACCAGGCAGCGCAGAACCATTTAGCGTAGCTGCTGAGGAACCGTCATCTAAGAGACCTGGTGCTACCATGTCCCAGCACCCTTCCAAAAGTCGATCTGTGGAATCAGCAAGCCAAGCACGGTGAGCTATGTCTTTCAATGTCCCCTGTAAGGCATGGCCCTAAAGGTACAGAGTTCCCTCAGCGTTCAAAGGCAATTCCGGCAAAGACGTTCCAGAAGCATGCCTCAATGAATGCGCGCTTTCCACGCAAGATTCCATGGCCCTGGTCAAAGGGCAAGCATCATCCAGGTTGTTGCAAACGGCCCTGCTGGCATCCCCCCGCTGTGATAGATTTCGCTTGGGAGGCAATTCCTCCGCTTCTCGCAACATTCTTGGGGGTCATGGTGTTTCTCCTGGGCCCTTGAACCAAATCTCAAGATTCAATGTCAGAACGTGGGAAAGTAAGCAGGTGTTGCAACAAGCGGACAGAACATGGAAGGGTCGCAGGCGTTTTCCTTCACCGCAACTTGCCAAATTGGACAGATTATTTTTGCTAAACAGCCTATGGTGCCCGCATTTCAGGTGAGCCTTCTACGGGCTCTGAATAAATGGTTGTTTTCTGTGCGCATCGCGGGATGACCAGACAGTAGGCTTTCGGCATGCCACAACAGTCAAAGCTGCTGCCGCACAGATACAAGAACTGAACAACGAAGCAATCAATTAAAGGAAAGTTCCGCGTTGCACAACTGAGGGGCGCCGCGTGTTTCCTGCCAACTTGCTCTGCTGGCTGTTGTTCAAGGCTTCCAGAGAATACCGGAGGAATCCTCCGCCTGCGGGCGCAATTTCTCCTAGCGCCGAGAAAGCGCAGGGTTTGCAACACAAAAAGTAGCCAGTCCTTCCCACCAAGAAGGGTCCAGCGCTGGGACACCACGTGTCGCCCATTGGGCAGCTTGAAGTCTGTAGGCATCAATTCAGGGCAGGACAGGTAGGTCTCCCAGAGAAACACGACAACTCAAACCCATTTGGCAAACACATTGTTTTCCAGTCTGAAACCAAAGGTTGGGTGCTTCGGCGCCTTCTCCCGCCTGTGGTTCGTGCATCACGCTCCCCAGAGCGAGTTCTTTGGAGAGTACTGCTCCCCACCCGAAGCAGGGCCTGTAGCGCCGATACGCAAACAGGATTGTCGAGAGGTGGGGTTTGACGGCCGCCGTGTCTGGCACACGCGGGTGCCTCAGATTCTGATAGGCTGGAACGTTCAGGTTAAATATCAGAGGCAAGAAATAAGTCTGAATCGGCGCCATCTTCAGGCGCCATCAGGTACTGGGGTTGGCTTGCAGGGTGATGCTGCTGGTCGCAGTTGAACATTGCAGGCGGCACGGGCTCCTTAGTTTTAGGGCATCGTTTTCCACACAAAAAGTAAGGTTTGGGGCACCTGCTTTCACCAAAAGGGCTATACCTATACCCCTAAGTAAGGGAAACCGCAAGAACCCGTACTTGATGCCATCCAGCAAACAAACACCGCCGACAACTGACAGTCAGACTGCGTGCAGTTAAGAAACTTTGTCCTCTGAGTTGATCTTGCCCCATTCTTCACGTTTTTGGGTTACTTGGGCCTTCTGCCCTGTGAATTGCTGGAAGTAATCTTTCCGGTTATATACAGCGGCAGCTCACCAATGCTCACATGAGGCGAGGTATGGCTCTGGCTTTTTGCAAGATTTGAAACATATCTTGCTTCTGGCTCCCCATGCGAAGCGTAGAACATTTGCTTGATCAACAAAAGGCCGAGAAGGAGACAAGGACATTCCCGAGAAGGATTCGGCTTTTGCAGTTTGAGCCCAGCAGTTTGAGTCCTCGAAGCAAGTTTCTTCTTGGGCTTCGCGGCCGGCCGCTTTGTCGCCCTCATCGCCGACGCTGTCCGCTTCATACTGCCACTGCTGCTCTTCTGCTCTTGACTGACTGCTGCACTGCTGTTCCGCTATTCCTGCTGCCATCTCGGGCAAAGTAGTTTGGGTCCCTGACTGGCGTTGGCCTTCAAGTTGGCAGCACTGCAAGCCAAACAACCCAGAGCGTGAAACAACCAAGTCCCACGCAAGCTCATTCTAGGAGTTTCAGGACCTCAAATATAATGAGGCCGTTTGGGAATTCCGGGCCCTAGTTAGGATCCAAGGGGCTCCTAGGGGGAACCGGGAACCTGACATGGGGCAGTGATCTCACTACCTAAGTCTCCCAGTAGTGCCCTTTCTCACCCTTTTTTGGGGGAGGGTTCCCCGACTAAAACAGACTACAGAAAAAAATCGGGCACCCTTATTCTATCCTCTCTACTGGAGGACCCAGGTTCGGTACCCTGAGGATATGCAGCGGTTGCATGTTGCTCAGGCTCACATCACGCAGCCTCTGGCCGTCCGCTCCTGAATTCGCCGGCCGCGGGTCCGTCCCGTCAAACCTCCCAAAGGGGTTCCAACGCGGGTCAACGCTTCAACATGGGCCACCCCTTTGCCAACAGTCAGGGAAGGAAGTGGACAGGATGGTCTTGGAAGACTACCATCGAGGGGACAGGCCCCTCCACTTCCACTGTGCTAATTTCGGAGGGTTTCACTATACCAACCTTACCTCTTAAAAACACAACTTTTCAACTTTTTGGGTAACATGGGCTATATGTCTGTAAAAGATTAACTTCCCCAGGGCGACTGGAGTTTTAAGGGGTAAGCAACCATTTCCATATTCGTGTTTGACTCAAAGCCGCGGGCTTGGTAAAGTGTTGGAACCCACGAGCTATGGACAACAAGTGCCAGCGCCTTTCTCCCACGAGCATTGGATTGCCCAAACCCGGTGGAAATGGACCCTGTGCGCCGCACAATGTTTGTGTGAGGGCACGCGTTTTCTGTCTAGAAGTTCTAGTCACATTTTAGTCAATATGGTTGAGTTCGCAAAAGTTAAGCTGCTTGTTGGCAAGTGTTCTCTTCGTTTTAGTCAAGGCCCACAAACGCTGTTTGCGCGTTAATTTGTTTGTTTGCTGTGTTTGTTTTTTTGCTTGCTTGCGTTTGTTGCTTGCATGGCCAGTTAATAATATACATGTTAGTTTGTAAGCCTGTTCGTTAGTTTGCTAGTTTGTCAGTTTGTTAGTTCATTAGTTCGTTAGTTAATTAGCTCATTAGTTTGTTAGTTCGTTGGTTCCTTACTTTGTTAGTGTGTTAAACTAAACAGTCAGTTGGTCATTGAACTAGTTGGCTGGTTAGCCAATTCGTTACTTGGTTAATTAGTGAGTTAGTTGGTTATTTGCTTCGTTAGGTAGCTAGTTTGTTGGTCAGTTCGCTCTTTTGCGTGTTCGTTCGTGACTTTCTAGGTGGTTTAGCTAGTTGGCTAGCTATAAAAACTTTTTGCTGGTCTATCGATCGGTCGGTTGGTTGGTTAGATGGTTTTTGTCTGACCACTTCAGCAGACCTGAGGTTTCTTCTTTTTCACTTTAAGGGTCATGACACCTTCAATGCGGACCCCCGGGCCCTCCAACGAAGAACCCGACCAATTCCTCAGGGGCGCTTGGAAACAACCAGTGAGGGCCCAAAAGCCATCGGGACCCTTAAGAGAAGTAACTTATAGCCAAGCAAACCCCAGCTACCTCACCCTAGAGTTCAACCCCCCCTCAAAACAAAGGTTGACTCAGTTTGGGTAATGACCATCCTTGGGTAAGCAATGGTGGTTATGTGAACCCCCATTGTTCTAATGGTGGCAACTGAACCCCAGTTTCCCACGTTATCACCTTTGTTATGTAGAGGTGGGTCTGGGTTGAACATCTGGGCGCACCTTGTGACGTGAGGTTTCTTTCTGGAGGTTTCTTATGACCCTACAAGGAAGGTTGGTCATTCCCCAAAATAAAGAAATGGGTCATGGACCCATGTTTAAAGGCTCAGAAGGCGACTCCAGATACTTCTTCATATCATCATATCTCAGATGGACAAACTCCATTTCGCACCATTTCAGAACCCTTGGAATGATTAGATTTCCCATTGTACCAAGAAACGCTGGTTACCCCATGGCTTCAAACTGGTCTAGGATCTTCTTACCCGTCACCGGTCTCGAGCCTTGAGGCGGTGAACACTCAGATCGGCCACTTTCTGGCCAGCGGAGCCTGGCCCTCGGTCCTCGGTGGCGCGAAAGGAGAACACCAGTTGTGAAGGGAATTCTACTTTGGTTGGGCTTCAGGGACTTACTTCAAAGTAGGTTAGTAGGTATCGGAAGGGAATTATACTTTGGGTGTTAGGGACTTACTTCAAAGTAGGTTAGTAGGTATCCGTTTCCCTTTGATTGCCAAAGTAGGTAGCTTCGGGTGTCTTACCTCTAGGCAGGTTTCACATGATGAAAGCAACCGAGATTAGGAAGACTTTCTTACATGGCCCTAGCCCCAAGACCTGACTGTTTGAGGCTTTTTGGGAATTCCAGGCCACATTTAGGGTCCAAGAAACTCCTAGGGTATGGCTCAAAATTCAACCACCAGGAAATGGACCTCAGGTTGTCTCGTGCATATTTCCACTTACCAGGGCAACGCATGTTGGGTACCAAGTTTGACCCACAGCCAGAATTGGGACACTTTGAATCGGGTACCCGCGGCCCGCACTGATGTTGTTTCTGCTAGTTTAAGATAATATGTTGGTTGTGAAACAAATGTTTTTCTTTCTTTTTTCACATGTGAGTGTGCGTGTATGACACGGATGTATTTGCCCCAACATTGGTCTAGGCTAGTTTCTGGAGAGAGGGAACACCCACATATACTGTATATGAGTTTTTGTCAAAGCTCCGGCAAACTATGTTCATGGTTCCCTCGGCAGGAATCCTTACATTGTTTGTTGAACATATCCAGACTCAAGGGTTCACCACCGCCCTACCCACCTTCAAGTAGAAGCGTGTTCAGGTCATGGATGGCACATATCACGCGCTCCCAACATGCTGGCCGTAACCTTTACATTCCAAGGGAGCCGTCTTTTTTGAGGGACCCTTTTTCATGGCTTTGACCGGGAACCCAAAAGGAAAACCTGCCATGACGAGGGTCTCCCAAGAAAAGACACACATATGCTGGGACTCCTTTCTTCCTCGATTGTGTGCGAACGACGCTGACCCCGAGGTCGAACGCACATCGCTGAAGGAGGGGCGGAAGGGCAACATACTATCACCCTATGTCCTCAGTGTATCCCCAAAGTGCCTGTTGTTATGCTGCTTTTGGCCAACCAAAGGCTGGTCTGTAGGCAGGGGAAGAAGAGGTACTTTGAGGAATCTTAAAGTGGCTGTGTGTCAAAATTTCCCTTTTGTTGTTGACTGTTTGGAGAAGCGCACAAATAAGGGCGCAATTAAAAAGAGAGTGTATAAATCGGCCCCCTAGATTGGGCAAAGGACCATTTTTGTGCACGGTTGTCCACAGCTCATTGAGGAGGATATAGAGGGAATTAGAGGGGTGAGGGGTTTTCCATATACCACAGGTAGATACAGTTCGCAAGTCATATTGTTCGTTACTTGTTCTCCACCATATCGAGGCCATGTGCAGAACATATTAATATGCTCATGTTGATTGAGATATTCACAACGGCAATGACACCTGGCACAGATACTAAGAGCACAATAACATCATTCATTGCTTTGCTCTGCATGTGTGATGACACAAGGCGGCGGCTACTTTGATTTGTTTTTGCCAAGGCCTACAAAGCTTGCAGAACGCCGTGTGGCCAGGCTTTGGTGCTTTGGGTCACAAGGCCGTGACAAGGGCTTGCAATCCCTTGTTTCGGGGCATCTGTTCTACTGGGTGCTGGCGCTCATGGGGTTCCTAGTTGCCCTGAGGGGCACAGAAGTTGGAAGTTGGCGATTCTTTTCCGAGACGTCATTTGCAGGAGCAAGCTTTCATGCAGCCAGAGCAGCTTCAAAACGTTATAGGTCCGGGGTGGGGCTGGGCATTGTCGGGTGGCCAAACCCCACAATCAGTGGATCCTCCTGTGGCCCTCCGTTTTGCTGAACCCCAAGCGGGGCAAGCCAGGTGCAAGACGACCAGCCATAAAGTCTCACCCTTTTGGTAAGCTGCGACGCACCAAGATCAACGAAAGATTCGCCTTTTCTTCGTCTCGTTGACATTCAAGGTTCAGGTAGCGTCAGAATCGGTGAACTTTCAAAGTGGCTTCAGCGTTCCTTTTGGTGTCCCTATAAACCAACCAAAGAAAGGGGTACCCTCAATGTTCTGACCGAGCTGAACTCGGCGCCCTAAGGTGACCCACAAAGTGGGTCTGTTGGATTGGTGGGAAAGGGTTTTACTTGTGTTGCCTTCTTTTGGTACTTGCTGTGTCCTGCTGATTGTTTGGGATTTCCGACTGCAGAGTTGGTCTGGTTGCGTGTGACATGCGGGTGACAGAACATGAACGACTCAATAGAACGCATGTTGTGACAGGGGCCAATTGGAAACCCGGGTAGATGAAGGTTAGTAAGGGGCAGTCTCAGCCGGAAATAGTTGCGGCCGCCTTTCTACTTCTTTACATGGTTCTGGGGATCGACCATTTGTACCAGGTTTTGATTGTGACTCATTTGGGCATCATTTGGGTGTGGGTCAATATTAAACCCAGGTTTTGGTCCATGTTGTCACTTTTCAGGGTTCATTTTGGGGTTACCCTATTTTTGACCCACAGCCATTTGGGCATGAAGCGAAATCACAAACCGTTCGATCTCGCCCATGACCTCATCTCCCTTGGAAAAAAAAACCTTTTTGCATGGTCTTTGGACCTTAGCGCCTTGGACCTTTTTTTGCAACAGCTTGCCCATTGCAAATACACATGGGTACCTGGACCCTCACAATATCAACTTTAACATGGGGCAAAGTGCGACCCAAGAATATGGTTGGTGGACTCCCCTTTTTTGGGGGGTGGTTTGAGAGTTCAGGTACACCCTTTGCTCGGGGACCAACCGAGTCATTGTGGTGCCTTGTGACGTACCCTTACTCCAATCAGAGCAAGTTCACCGAGGAGTAAACGGGCGTACCCATGAAGGTCCTGTGTGTTTGTGTATGTGTGCGTGTCTCTGTTTGCTTGTGGTTGCATGTGTTTGTGTTTGTGCTTGTGTTTTTGTGCTTGTGTTTTGTGCTTGTGCTGTGCTTGTGCTTGCGTGTTGGTTGGTTTGTTGTGTGTCTGTGTGGGTTTGAGAGCTGGACTCCAGAAAGGGTCTCCCAAGTTTGCCAGTTTACGCGATAGATGGCGGGTGACAAATGGCGAGAGTGCCACCAAATCTCGGAGGGGGTGTTTGTTTCCCTCTTGTTGTTCCGGCAGAATATGAAAAGGTTTGCTGGCTCTCTTGGCTGGCACGGGTGATAGCAAAGCAAAGTTTCTCTACTATGCTCTGCTTTGCAGCATTTGGCTCAATCAACAGCGTTTGTGCGAGCGGCACAAAGCAAGTTGTTAATTCCATATTGTTTTGTCCACTTCTTGCTTGGCCCAAGTATGTTTCAGAAGTGAAGTGATAGCCAATTCCATTTGCTTAAGAATATTGCTTATTTTCCTTGTTGGTTTAAAAGGAATTTATCACTACTGTTTAAAAAAAAAAAAAAAGTTCCAGGGGTCTTAACCAAATGGTAGGCCATGAAAAGCCGAGCTGGGGCATTTGCACTTTCACTCAGGGAAACACCTTGCTGCCTGCCATGCTTCGCAGCTCCCTAGTCGTTTCTGTGCTTTGTACTCTGGCGTGTCAGGATCAACACAACGACGAGACCTGCTTTGGACCGTTGTTTCTGCAGACCCAGGTGAATCAGCGCTTGCGGAAAAACGATCCCAGTGACATTGAAACCGCTGCAGATATGAACATGGATGAAGATAGCATGTTGTTGTTGTTGTTGTTGTTGTTTTTTGTTTCGTTCCTTTTTTTTCCTTTGTTTTTCCTGTACCTTTCGAGTAACATGGAACCCAAATAGCCATGATTTCAAGAGGAAGCTCCTTTTCGGGGGCAATCCGTGGCGTTTTTCTTTTTTTGTCTGTACTCCCCTGCTCCTTTTCGGAGGCCCAAAAAGGGTTTCGTGAATTTGCCGGGGAGTCAGCCCTTCTTCGGGGTTATCCATTTGAAAAGGCGCGTCCTGAAGGGCATCTCGTAATTTGGAGCCCTGAAGGGCTATGAAATGCTTGTAATGTCGACCACGGCTATCAAACGCTTGTAATGCTTAATAATAGGGGCTGTCCCTTGGTTTAGTGGGGGTTCAGACCACTTTTAGGAGGGGCCAAAAACCACCCCCTACTGTGGATGGACGAAATCCTGCACCGCCTAAGCAACCCTGGAATGGTGCTTCCCCTGGAAATACCAATAAACAATGGTTTCCCGTGCTTCAAAGTGGTGCAGGATTTCGTCCATCCACAGTATGAAACTAAACTGGTTGGGTGAATGCATATCTGGGATCAGCTCCAGAAAGGCTGCCAAAGGCGGCCAGTTCAGAGCTGTTTGTTTGTTGGGGGGGTTCTTGATGTGGTCTCAACCTTGAAGCACCCCCGAAAAGTGGGTGGTTTTCTTCTTACCGCTTTTGGTCGCGATCAAAAGGGGCCTTCCTAAAAAAGACACCATCCTTGTTTGTTTTTTTGGTGTTTGATGCAATCTCAGGAACGGCAGGTTGTGTCACTTGTGCTCTTTGCCGCCACCTGAACGGTCCGATCGAGTCTACCTGCAACGCAGTGACTGCGGAAACCAGAGCCTGTTCGAGCACCCGGAGAATCGACAAAGACCCTGGGCCAATGTTTGGTAGCATCTTACATGGGTTTGAGGGTATCATGTTGTTCCTGTGTTTAAAGGATAACCCAAACGCAAGCAATGATTTTGGGGCTTCCCCTAGTTTGAGACAAACCCACATTTGTGCCCTGGTCTGAATTACGTCTGGAAATAAAGATTTAAGTTCTAGGTCGAGGGTTGAACAATGACGAAGGACCCATTGTGGAGTTTAACAAGGAGGGCAGCACAGCCTACTGCGAATTGAATTATCAAAAGATATGTGCAGATGCAATTTACAACAGAGACTGGCTTTTGCAGGCTAAGGCCGTGAACATTCGCACGTCTTACGGCACCGACTACGATCCGTACTATTGCTTGCACAATGGATGGCTTTCCAGAGATATCAGAGTCTTACAGCATGACTACGAAGGTCTGAAGGCGAAGGCAGATGAGTATTGTGCTATTCGGCTGGACAGCTGGGTCAACATGACCTTTGATGAAGCCGACGCAGCTTACTGGCCCGGGTATTATCGTGGCAGGCCAACCAAAGAAGAGGCTGCGGAGCAAGCAGCATGGACATGCGCAATGGGCACAGCAGCTTGCGACATGGCATACTGCGCCTACAGCTTTTGTGACCTTGGGAACACGGTGGGTACCTATGATGATTGCGAAGGCTGGGACCCAGTGAAGGGCATGCCGTTCTGAAGGCTACCAATGCCTGTCCAGCACTCGCAAGGTGTGTGAAAATTGTGCAATTACTGATCTGTTGCTCGCAGTCACTTTGTTTCTTGGAGCAGTTTCGACTACTGTCAGCGCCTTCAGTTTTCTGTGCCCGTCGACCCAGTCGTTCAATCTGTCGCACGCATCCAGGCACTGAAATGCCACGCCTATCGCTCAAACAAATGCAAGTTTGGCCTGCTTGTGTGAAACTGTGGCGAGCCTTATACTCCACACCCAAGCCAAACCTTTGTTTTCTTGCCGGTGCTCGGTAGGGAATCGGGGAATGAACCTGGAAAACCCCTTAAAGGAGACCGCCAAGTGGAAGGTAAAAAGGGGGTCACTCTATGCCTCATTCCCTGCATCTCTCGAATCCGATCCCAAGCATAGGTGTCCTTTTTGGTTGTTTTGCTTAAAAAATAGAAGGCCCTGGTTTACCTGGTTCAATCGTCTACCAGGGCCATCAATTTTCAAAGGACACCTATGATCCCAAGTTTGTTTCCCAGTCACTCGTCAGCGAGCCCGTGCTCTCGCCAGGAACCTTCCTCGCCCACGTGAAGGCCAAAGTGCCTTTCGCCACGGCGCGCCTCGGAAGCAGACGACGGGGTGCGCCGTACCCTGGGGCACTCCAGGGGTTCGAAGAGGTTCAATGGGGGTTAAAAGGGGGTAAGGTTGACCCCGGATTAAGCAGAACCCCTGTTTATTAATATGGGGGTGTTCCCCGGGGCTTTAGTGGGATGTATCACTTTTGGGGTAGACATGAGACATGTGGTTTGTTTTTGTTGGGAGCTAGAGGGGTTGAAAAGGGGTTTCAAGCGGTTCACAAGTGTTTGAAGCAGTTTTGAAAGGGTTTAAGAATCTTAGATGGTTGCAGGGTTAGCAAGCCTTATCGCCTTAACTGCTGTGTTGGGGGAGGGGGGGTCTTTCTTTTGGGGGGATTGTTTGACTCAATCCAGACCACCTCAAAATCCCCAAAGTTCTTCAGGAGATCCTGCTGTAGCCGCAGGATCGGTTCAGCCAATGAACATTTTGCCAGCCTTTTCAGTACCTAACTCCCAATGACTAGCGGATTGCAGAAGATCGGTTTACGGATGCGGCTTGCGAACTGCGGATCATGGGTTTGCACGGATTGGCCATGCACCATAGGTGTTTTTGGACCGACAGGTTGCTTCTCGGATTGCGGATTAAGAAGGATACAACCCAACACAAAAGTTAAGCGGATGGCGGATTGCGGGATTTCGATCATAGTCTTGTATGAGGCGAACGTATCTTCACAGAATCAAGGGGAGCCGTCTGGGGTTGGTCTAAACCTCAAGCTACCATAAAAGGATGGAATCATGTCGACCCATTTTTGAGGGCATTTCGAAAGCCCAGGAACTCACTTGAAGGGATGTGGTTTGTCCACCCAGCCCAGCGGCATCCTTTATATTGCATCTGGCAGGGGGGGGGGTTACCTTCAAAACTCATTGCTTGACATATCGCAGGTGAAACTTTGGCGCATGTTGCCCAGGGATGTTGGCTTTTCCGTATTGGCCCACTAAAGGTTAAAGAACTGTTCGCAGGGGAGCAGAAAGCAACCGAGATTAGGAATACTTTCTTATATATGGCCCCAGGAACCCCAAGACCTGATTGCTTGAGGCCTTTTGGGTAATTCCAGGCCCTCATATTTAGGGTCCATGAACCTAGGGAGCAGAAACCCAAGAATAGCCATGGCCTTTTGGCTCATGGGGCTGTCAAAAGAAAGCAGGCAGACCCAGGTGGGTTTCATCCCCATGACAAAAATTGGGCATGGGTCAAAATGAAGCCACCAGGAATTGGACCGCAGGATTTAGTCTATGGTTCCACTTACCCGGGCAACCCATCTTGGGGTTACCCTTGTTTTGACCCCCAGCCAATTGAGGCGCAACGGCAAGCTCTGAGATGAAAGTTTTGGAGGAGATCGGCCTGGAGTCTCCGAATCTGACCCTTTAATCAATAATGGGTCAATGACCAACCATTATTTGGGGTTATGAACCCATTTGTTAAGGGTCATGGACCAATGGAGACTCCAGGGACCCCTTGATTATTTTTCCGGGTTGTCCTTTGAGCGGGGGCTTCGGACCAAGGATGGAGAGGCACCCAGCTCCCCTTTGCTCAGAGCCGGCGGTTTTTTGAAACCGGGGTCAATACCTAGGTCCCTCAGTGCCCTTTTACCGCTTTGGGGGGAGGGTTCGGGACCCTTCTAAAATAGACTACAGAAAAAGTTGGTACCCTTATTCTACCCTCTCTACTGGACCTAGATACCAAGCCCCACAAACCCTCCGCGCATGAGGCACATCCGTCTCTACCTCTCGGCCCCGCGAGGCGTGAAGTTTGCATTGCTTGCTGGTGCGATTGGTAGGGAATGCTCTTCGGGAATGCTCTTCGAGGGGAATGAACCGGTTTGGACTTCCCGAAAAAGGAAAAAAGGAAAGAAAGAAAGAAAGAAACAAATAAGAACAAAACACATAGGATGGATGGCTTGTCGAGCGGAGCAATGGATGTGCCTTTTTTGAGAGTTGCCTGGGTTCACCTGAGTTCCCGTACAAATCGGCCAAGAGTGTAATTACTCTCAAAAGAAGACAACCACACATGGTCATACGAGTTGTGGCGCTTGTTTTGTTTTGAAACAAGACAAGTTTCACACGGGTCTTTTTTCGCAAATGACCGAACCGAACTGGCCACACATTTGCCTGTGGCCAAATGTTGGGGTTTGACCGATGCCAAGTCCAGGTGGGTTCTGACTGACTGACCGAAGGTCAAGCTGTTGTCCAAAGGATCCATGCCTTACTGTGGACGGATGCGAAATCCATCCAACGCACCACCTAAGAAACCAAGCCTGGAATGATTCGATTCCCCAACGCAAATACCAAAGAATGGTTGCAACCATGGTTTCAACGTGGCGAACAGGATTTCGTCCATTTGTTGTCCCAACATGGCTGGGTGTTGCTTGACAAACACTTCCATGAAAATCCCAGGGGATACTTGTTGGCTCTTTGTGTTAACGTGTTTTTAGCTAAACCAAAAAACGCCAAAAAACACCAAACCAAAACAAACAAACAAAAAACGATTGTTGAACAGAATGGTTGGAATCAGCCCCTAGACCCATGTTTGCTTAGGTCCTTTCGTCGTTCGGAGTCCTCTTCGTTCGCTGCACAGGCCTCAAAAGGGGATATTTTGTTGGACTCGATCCAACCTGTGCATATAGGACCTACCTATGAACTCCCAATCAAAGCAGTTCTTAGACTGAATCCGAATCTTTGAGTCACCTGCAGGACATGTCTCCACAGATCCTGTGTTTCGTGGCGATGTTGTTTACTGACAAAGGCTTCAGGAGCTCGGGTAGAACTACGTAGTGGTATCACCCATGATGGCTCCTTGAAGATTTCTGAATACGATTGTTGAATACGGTCCGTGGGGTGTCAAAGTGAAACCTAGCGTGGATGGACAAAATCCTGCACCACTTTGAAGCCATGGTTTGTTGGCATTGACAGGGGAATCATCGTTCCAGGGTTTTTTAGGTGGGTCAAAATGGATGTCGCCCATCCACAGAATGCGGGTATTCAGGCAGCCTTGTGTGTGAAGACGGGTAGGAGTCCAGAGACCGCGATTTGCGCTTCCTTGGTCGCTTTCCTTTGTTCGCTCATGCCTTCCGGCAGGTGAGGATGCGAGGCGTGTCAGCGGCGGCAGGGGCTTGGTAGTAATTGCTTGCCCCAACCGAGAAGGACAAACAAGGCAAACTTAGGCACTGGTGAGTTGGTTTGTTTGTTTTGTTTTGTTTGGGGGTGTAGGGTCTTTCGGTAGCGGGCACCCTAGGTGTCGTTGATCACGCTGATTTGCCTTTGGCTTGTTTGAGATATTTATTTTCTTAAATCCGGAAATCCGCAAGTTTGGTAGTTTCCCTTTGGTTGTCCTTTGGCCACTCCCAAAAAGGGGCCCTCAAAAAAAAGCACGCCCGCTTTTCCTGCTTGGCATTTATTCATTGTTCTCGCCTTTAAACCATGGCCCGAACACACACAGGTCAGGTTACCCTTTATAAGTTGGTTTGGATTGGTGGGAACTGGGGATTTGACCCATGCACTGGCTTTTGAAGAGAGTCCTCCTGAACCCTCAGACCACCCATCCAAACCACAAATTAGAGAGAAGCTGAACAAGAGTAGACAATTTGTCCACGGCTTTCTACAGTTTTCTACGACCAAATTCAAGTTGTGCCGATCGGGCCTTTGGGTCAACCCAATGGAGAATCATAGGGTGATGTTGAGATATGTGCTTGGGCCATAATCGACCCATTGCCCGTTGACATACGATAGTCTCTCAAAATAAGGGTGGGACCCTCACAATTCCAACTAAAAAAAGGTTATTGCTCAGAATTGTGGGGTGAAGTCTATTTTTTTCTGGGTGAGGGTCCAGGTACCCAATTTTGGGATTTTCATTTGGGCTTCAAACCAACCTGAAGGTACCAACTCATAAAGGAACCCTAAAGGGGCCAAGCGGAAGTGATCTTCCTTCGACTGCACCCAACCCTTTCTCTGACCAAATGGGGAGACCTTTTGGATCACAACAGTTTTTTCCAACTATACATGTCGATGACCTTTTGCTGAGAGGAGGAATTTAGCTAAGAGGCAGCGGGGGACGAGCAAGGGTTTTGTTTTTGTTCGTTTTTTTTTTTTTTTCTTTTGCCAGGAGCACATCGCCTCGGCCCCGGCTTGAAATGCGGGTCAGAAACCCACAAGCACACGCCGTTGCCAGACTTAGCTCGGTAACCAGTACCCTTTTGGGGTGTTCCTGAAATCTCAAACCACCCATCCAAAAAGTTTGAATTCACCCCCAAAAAATCGGGTCATCACCCATTTTTCAGGGATTGTTTTTAGGGTTTAGGTTCCTTTTTATTTTCCCCCTGCACCAGCAAGAGGTTCTCGCTTTTCTTTGGTTCGGGTTCAGCCTCTGACTTTTGGGGGTCTGGTGGGGTCCAGGCCAAAGAACCCATGGCGAGCTCACCTTATAGCGAGCTCACCTGGGGGTAGAACGAGCTCACCTTCATACGGGTGACGTGAGGATCCCTGAATTCGGCTTTTGGATTTTCGTTGAAGTTGCAGTTGTGTTGTGTTTTGTATTTGAGGGTGCCTGGCTTTGGTGGGTTTTAATCGGAAACTATCGGAATCACCAAGCCGTTATCGCATTTTTGGTTGGATATTTGGACTTGTTCTTTTGTTTGAAACGGTGGATTTGGCATTGGACCCACAAGGAGTGAAGCTTTTTGCAGAGGGGTCGTTGCAGCAACCAAGAAGATCAACCCAAAAAAGGGGCGCCGGCCGTTCAAGATCCCACCAAGGGCCCTCCTGACCCGAAGCGGGCGGTTTCTTCCAAGCCAATTGGAGGGGTCCAACCGGAGGCAGCGTTCGGGAAAACACCCTGCTTTTGGTTGACGCGTCCAAAGCCAAGCTGTGAATCTCGAAGGCCTGAGTTCCGTTTTGGACTTGAGGCACCTTTTGGGCCACCATAGTGGTAAACAAGTCTTGGGCCGCTTTTTTGGCAATCCGCTCAGGAAGTGAGATTTAGACGCTTTTTTTTTTGGCCAATGCCAATGCACTGAGGAAGTGAGATCTTTAAGACTTTGTTTTGCCGGAGCCACCAACGAGTTCCCGAGGCCCAGCCTTGAGTATCATCCAGTGTTCATGAACTTGTAGTTGGCCCGCGCAGTTTCGCCGGGAATTTCGGCCATCATCTTGAAGGGTTGGATTCACGTGTTTCCCTCAGTGAAACCTTTGGGGTTGTTGGGATCCGGTCCGGGGCCCATCCTGCTTCAACTACCTGGACCCTCAAACCACTACCCTCAAACTACCCTCAAACTACCCTAACTGTTGGGTTGCAATAAGTTGTAATTTCTTTCGGGTCCAGGTATGCCCAACTTGAAGGATTCGAATCATACAACATGTTGAGACTCCTGTCTAGTATGTAACTTTTTTTTTCTGCGCTTAACTCACTTCCTGAGTTCCTGGACTTTAGTCACTCTTTGGGTTTGGACCATTTCAGTGGTGAATTCGAAAAGTCTGGGTCCTCTTTTCTGGCCAGCTCAGGAAGGGAGTTCATGTCGGCATGGGTTTTTGTGAGGCCCATTGTGATCCCCGTTTGGATTCTTGGTTTTGTTATAGGTTCAAGGCTTTTTTGGTTGCCAATGCATCGTTTTAACCATCAATGTTGACTTTTTCTCGATTGGGTCCCCTCAGGAAGTGAGAGGTTGGCATGGGCTCGGGTTGTCTCCACCCATCCTCAACCACAACCCCCGTTTCTTGCTGTTTTTGGTTGTTTTGTCGTGGGTTTGTCAACCGGGTCCAGCTAGGTGCCCTTTCTCACCCCTGTTTTGGCTGGGAGGAGTTTCCTCTACTGAAATAGACGAAGATAAAATATCGGGTACCCTTATTCTAACCTCTCTACTGGAGGACCTAGTCAATGCTTTTTGGTTGCTTGGCCTCGGTTTGTCTCCAAGGCCCACCTATTTTCCAGTGGTTTGGGCGCGTTTTTTGGAGAAGGATCCCTGAAGAGAATGGAAAAGGAGGGTAGAGAGAGAGTTTTCTCCAAGGCCCATCCTCTCCAACCCTAACCCCGCTTCTGGCTGTTTGTTTTTCGTTTTCTCGCGGGTGTGTCTAAAGGCTTTTTTGGTTGCTCGTCGGGATCTTTTTCGCAAAGGCCCATCCTCTTCAAGCCGGTGGAGATGCGGCTGGTGGACACGTGGGGCCGTTTGGAGGGCCTACTCGAGGAGCAGCGCTTCAGCAGCGAGGAGCTCGCCGCGCGGGGACGCACAGAGCGAGCGCCTTCCGATGCAATCGAGGTGTTGTGGTTTTGGATGGGGCATGTACCTGGAGTCTACGATCTGACCCTTTAAGAAATGGTAGGTCATTACCCAACATAGAGGGGTTATGGACCCATTTTAAAAGGGTCATGCAGACTCCAGGTAAGGGGTTCTCGATTTCTATGTTATGTTATTTTTGCTTTTTTGGGCAAGGGGTTGACCTGTTGTTTGTTTGTTTGGTGTTCTGGGTTTCTCAAAGACGACTTTTGGGGAGGAGTTCCATTCGATCCACCATTCAGAAGGAACAGTTCAGGAAACTGTGGCCCTGCAAACCACCCAAACACATGTGAATGTGTTATGCCTTGTTCGTGGCGAGCGCGCAGCGGTGACACCAGGGCACCATTCCGAGTCCCTTGTTTTCGTGTTTGGACTTATGGAGTTTGCTTGAAATGTGGTTGCTAAGTCCAGATAGTAGGTATCCTTTTGGTCGCCCTTTTGAGGACCCGTTCTGTTTCCTTTGGGTTGCCTTTTGGCTTTCCTTTTGTTTCCTTTTTTGGATGAGTCCAACCACGGGTCTGACTACAGTGCATTTGGCCCAGGGACATCCCGGTGTTCATTTTGTTATAAGATGCACCCAACCAAGAATAATAATTAAGATAGTGTCCCTTAAGCCATTTGTATCAGAATAGATGTGGGACTCATCTGAAAGGTCCTTGTATTTGAGCTCCGTTGCCTCAGAAAGAGCTCTCAGAATGCTTTGATCAGTCTTCCTGGACCCTCAAGCCACCCATTAAAAGGCACAATTCAGGTGGTTTCAAAGAAGGCTTTGTTGCCGCCTTCCCCGCGTGCGCTTTGGGCTTTGGGCTTTGGGTTTCCTTGAAATTTCTATGGCGCTCCGTGCGGGGAAGCCATGCGACTCTCAGTTCCGGGGCTGTTGGAGTTGGATCCTAAGATCCCCATTTTCCTATCCCCCCAGCAATTGCTGCCCCTTTCTCACCCTTTTTTTGGTTGGGAGGGATCGGGACCCTAAAATAGACTGCAGAAAGAAGGGTACCCTTATTCTAACCTCTCTACTGGAGGACCTAGTTTTGCAACCATTTGAAACATGTTGCTTTTTCCACCGAAATAAAGGGAAATCACCATTGACAAGTTGCAATGTTCAGGTGTACAATGTAAGAATCCCTGTTACCGCCTGGGCCTTCTTTTTTTTCTCCCCCAGGCCTTAGGGTTCAAGCCCCATGAAAACAAAGCTTGACCCAATTTGGATGGGCGTTTTTGATATCTTTCCCATGCCCTAGGGTTCCTTGCCCCCAGAAAAGAAAGGCTGACCGGACCCAATTTGGATGATCACAATCCTTAGGTAAACGTTGTGGTGAAATATGCACCCAACCACCGTTTCAATGGTAGCAACTGAACCCCGCGGAGAATGTTGCGCAACTCATCAAAGGACGCTTTCTTCCCCTTCTTTCCCAAAATAAGGTGCCCAGCCCAGCCAACGGGGTAGTTACACAAAAGGCGGGTGTCGTTTTTTTTTTGTTTTTTTTCTCGGAAGGGGCTCCTTCGCTCCATGCTTTGGGCTTCTTGGCCAGACCATATTCGTGGCCAAACACAAAGCCCTACCCCCCCCCCCCAAAAGAAAGAAAGAAAGAAAGAAACAAAAGAAAGAAACAAAAGTGGTGTTCCTTTGGTTTCCCTCAAAAAACAGAGGAAACCACAGGGAACTGTTCCTTTGGTTTCCCTTAAGACACACGGAAAAACAGGGAACTGTTCCTTTGGTTTCCCTCAAAAAACACAAGACAACAGGGAACTGTTCCTTGGTTTCCCTCAAAAACACCGAAAGAAAGTGGTCTTTCTTTGGTTCCCTCAAGACTAAACACAGATGGACGCCCGGACAAGACACACACCGGAAGTCCCAGGCTGGGCTTTGTGCGCCCAGATGCCCTCCGGGAGTGCGATGCCCCAGATGGTCCGGGCCGAAGAAAGGAACCCCAGGAACCCGACAGAACTGGCCTCACTGTTTCGCTGGGTCATGGAGCCAACACGAAGCCACAGGTTTTCTTGGGCGTGCCCCTGCTGAAACGACGCGCAAACTCCGAATCTGCCTGGAGAAAACCTTCCGACCCTTGAAAAATGGTGGGTCATTACCCAAAGGAATAGGGTCATTGACCTATGTTAAAGGGTCATGGAGACTCCAGGTGCCCCCTATTTTGGTGTTTCTCTTGGTTTCCCTTGAAAACCACCAAACAAGGTGGTAGAGTATAAACAAAAGTTGGACCTTTGTCACCCATTCCAGAAATATGAGTTGCAATATGTTACAATTGGCTCATGCTGAAGTTGGAGTTTTCAGGCAGTATATCAATCAGGAGATTGGGTGACCGGGTCTGGTTGATCGCTGGTTCTACTCAGGGGTCAACCGAGGCCTTGGAATTGCACTTAACTGCTAAACTTCAATTGTTTGCTAAGATGTTGTAGTTTTCCTGGTCGTTGCCTGGTCTGACCGGGCCCAAAACGGTTTTAAGGCTGTGCGTTGCCTTAAGAACGCTTACTGCTTCCTGAATCGTTGGGGTCTTGGGTATTCTGCTGGGGGCTCCCTCAAAAGAATGTTATATTCTAGATTAAATATGGGCCTGTCCTTTGGTTGAGGGCAACCCTCCCCCATTTTTCGGTGGGTTCAAAAATGGAACCAAAACGAAGCCACACATTTTCTATTTTTGCCCCTGCTTTACGACACGCGCAAACGCAGAATCTGCCTGGAGAAAACTCCTTCTGACCCTTAAAAAGTGGTTGGTCATTACCACAGAATAAAGAAATGGGTCATGGACCCATGTTTGATTCGGGCCAGATTCGAAAACACCCAAAAACATCCGGCTCGGTGCCTCCCAGAGTTCGCTCGGTCTCCCGGTGAGCCTTGAGGCTGA